ACTGATGGCTGTGGTCAATTTAGTCTGGAGCTATTAAGATGGGTATGGGGGAGTTGTTCTGTTTTCGCTATTTTATGCTTGTAGAAATGGCCTCAATTTTCTCTTCTGTCTGATTAGTCTTAGCATATGGATTTCTTTTTTGCCATATTCTATTGCAGAGGCTGCCTCTCTCTGCTTTTCTCCCTCACATCTGGAATCCAGCCAAAAGCACCAGAACAAGATGCTTCTCACATTTGAGCCCTTTTGTAAGGGTGCTGATTGCAACTTGGGTAACTTCAGTATAATCTAAGGTGGAAGCTTTCTGCTGCTTTTGGGGAAAAAATAAATGTCTAAAAATAAAACCTAGGCATAAAAATAGGGCCAAATACTCATTAACTGCCTCACTTAGCTGAACGCTGAAATTATTTCAACAGCACTAAATCAAGCCTTTGTGTAGAAGAGGTTGGGTATTTTTTTATCCATAGTACTTTATCTTAGATGTTAAATGGGTTACTGTAATTTCTAACTTTATTCAAAACATGAGTTAAATAGTCCTCAGAGACTCAATTTTTGGCTTATGCTCATGCTGACCCTTGACTTGGAGCACTTGTGTTCACAGGCCTCCAGGAATGTATTTTGTGGGCTGCTGTGGGAAAGGATGGGGGGACAGACAGGACCAGGAGCAGAGTATTCAAGGCTTGGGATGCTAGGGTTAAGAATTTGGATCTTACTCTCGGTGTGGTGGGAAGCCACTAGAGGGATTTAATTAGAAGAATATTACAGAATGACTTCTTTGTTAAAAATATGACTCCTGACTGCTGTATTGACAGTGGATTGGAAGGAGACAATAGTAGGAAAAGGGTAACCAGCCAAATGCCTATTTGTAGATATCCAGGTATGAAGGGATAGTGGCTTTCGAGCAGGATTGAAATATAGTTGGAGAGAAGTAGACAAATAATGGAGTTTATCTAATTCATTAACAACAAAAAGACTGGTTAATAGACTAGATATGGGGCATGAGAGAATGGAAGAGTCAAGACTGATTTCTAAGTTTCTGGCCCAAACAACTGGAAGAATTTGGTACTAGTTGAGATGAAGACTGGAGAAAGAACAGGATAGTTTTTGATGTTTTGTTGTGTTTGGGGTGGGTCATAGAGCAATGGAAAAGGGAATGAGGTTGAAATGGTTCATGTTAACTTTGGGAATCTAAATGAATAGTTCAGAAGAATAGTTGAACGTATGACCTTGACCCAGTAGATAAGTTTGAGAATCCTTGATGTACAGATTATATTCAGAGTCATGAGACCAACTCACCTAAGGAGAGAGTAGACAGAAAGGAGAAAACCTGGTAATATTCCATATTTCCACATAAATAGGGCAAGTAGAAGAGAACCAGTAAAGGACTAAGAAGGGACAGCAGTGAGGAAGGAAAAATAGGAGAGTATGATGTTCCAGAAACCAAGAGAAGACTCTTAACAAAGGAAGGTAACAGTCAATTACATTAAATGCTGCTGTGAGGTTGAGTTAGATGAGGACAAATAACATTACTGTTTTTGGTGTTCTTGGTAATATTGACAAGGGCAGTTTATGACATGTCATGCAGAAAAGAGCCGAGAGTTGATAGGAGATTGTAAAGTGGGAAATGAAGACAGCTACTTAGACAATTACTTCAAGAAATTAATGGAGCTGAGAAATAGATAATCAAGAGTAAGGGGAGAATTTTTGTTTTTTTCCTCATGTTTCTAAGATGGGTGATTGGAGCATTTATGCCTGTAGAATTGATTCAGGAGAGAGAGAGATCGATCCTGATGATGTGGTAGAAAGGAAATATGATTGCAGGGACAAATTTTGTTTTTTTTTTTAATTATACTTTAAGTTCCGGGTTACATGTGCAGAACACACAGTTTTGTTACATAGGTATAAAGGTGCCCTGGTGGTTTGCTGCACCCGTCAACCCGTCACCTACATTAGGTATTTATCCTAACGTTATCCCTCCCCTAGCCCCCTATCCCCTGACAGGCCGCAGTGTATGATGTTCCCTTCCCTGTGTCCATGTATTCTCATTGTTCCACTCCCACTTATGAGTGAGAACATGCAGTGTTTGGCTTTCTGATCTTGTGATAGTTCGCTGAGAATGATGGTTTCCAGCTTCATCTGTGTCCCTGCAAAGGACATGAACTCATCCTTTTTTATGGCTGCATAGTATTCCATGTGTATATGTGCCACATTTTCTTTATCCAGTCTATGGTGGATAAATGATGGACATTTGGGTTGGTTCCAAGTCAAAATTAAAAAGAACTAGAGAAGCAACAGCAAACAAATTCAAAAGCTAGCAGAAGACATGAAATAACCAAGATCAGAGAAGAACTGAAGCAGATAGAGGAACGAAAAACCCTTCAAAAAATCAATGAATCCAGGAGCTGTTTTGTTTTTTTTTTTTAATCAACAAAATAGACCACTAGCCAGACTAATAAAGAAGAAAAGAGAGAAGAATCAAATAGATGCAATAAAAAATGATGTAGGGGATATCACCACTGATCCCACAGAAATAAAAACTACCATCAGAGAATACTATACACACCTCTACACAAATAAACTAGAAAATCTAGAAGAAATGGATAGATTCCTGGACACATATACCCTTCCAGGTCTAAGCCAGGAAGAAGTCAAATCCCTGAATAGACCAATAATAAGTTCTGAAATTGAGGAAGTAATTAATAGCCTACCAACCAAAAAAAGTCCAGGACCAGACAGATTCACAGCCAAATTCTACCAGAGGTGGAAAGAGGAGCTGGTACCATTCCTTCTGAAACTATTCCAAACAATAGAAAAAGAGGGAATCCTCCCTAACTCATTTTATGGGACAAATTTCTTGAATGCAGAAAGGCATGAGATGCAGAGTACAGGGAAAGGTTTGGCTTTGGATAAGAGCAGAAGGAGAGACAAAAAGAGTGCACCTAGATGTTAATGGGTTGGTTGAGTTACTGATAGGAGGATGAGGGAGTAGCCATAATCAGTCACAGCAATTAATGAAGTCAGAGCATCAGCTGGAAAGGAGGTGAGAAAAGGGAATGTCAGTTTCAAGAGAAGGTAGCAAATATTGGAGTCATTCTAGGCAGTGGGAAGATGAACCTCTAGTAGGACAATGGACATGGAATGTTTCAGGGTTACATTAAACAAGGTGAATTTGAGTTAATTTTTGCTTGGAAAGAGACTGTAATTAAATTTTAAGGTTTTTTTTTAATGGCATATAGAGGCAAAAGGTATTATTACATGTTTACATATTTTCATAGTAGAAAAATGAGTTTAACGATTACTTGTAATCTTACTATTCAGAGATAATCATTGTGATATCCTTTTATATATTATACATACAAATACTTCCATAGGAAGAAATATAAAGGTCTTAATCTTGATACCAATACTATTTTAGAACAGTTTTGACTTTACCAGCTATCTTAGTTATTGCTCTAAGAGAAATAAAAACAAATGGAGTGATAAATTTGTCATATTGCAAAAGTATTTCTATATTTTGTTGCTTTTTCCATTTTTATAGAGATATATCTGTAGTAGAAAATGTACAGTTAATGTTACAAGGTCTTCTTCCTAAGGTTGTGTTTTCAATAACTTTCTTATGGTCTTTAAAATGTAAAAATGAAACTCTAAATTATTAACCTACCAGGTTTTATTTTGATAAGATGTGATTAAGGAATCTAATTTTACTTTTTTTTAAGAAAAAATTGTTATTTTAAATTCAGGAGATACATGTGCATGCTTATTACATGGATATATTGCATGGTTAATTTCACTTCTTAAAATAGTTTTAAGTCATTCTTAAATCACATTATCTCACAACAAATATAGAACATATTCTTGTAATAATAGAGCTCCTAAATTATATCTTTTTATTTATTTTATTATTATTTTTTGAGACAGAGTCTCACTGTCTTGCCCAGGCTGGAGTGCGGTGGTGTAGTCTCGGCTCACTGCAACCTGCGCCTCCGTGGTTCAAGCAATTTGCCTGTGTCAGCCTCTTGAGTAGCTGGGACTACAGGCACATGCCACCACACCCGGCTAATTTTTGTATTTTTAGTAGAGACAAGGTTTTGCCATGTTGGCCAGGCTGGTCTTGAACTCCTGACCTCGAGCGATCCTCTTGCCTTGGCCTCCCAAAGTGCTGGGATTACAGGTGTGAACCACCATGCCCAGCCACCAAATGATACCTTTAAAATTTTCTTTTAGAGATTTTTAAAACCAACTGTATGCTATTCTTTAAACAAGCTATGTAAAGTGTAAAAATTATCTTTAATCCTATCCTCTGGGAAAATCAGTTATATTGTACTTGCTTGAAACTGTAATGTGTGTACATGTTTTGCCATCTGTATTTTCTCACTTTTTTGAGTTTTTGAAACATTCTTTGTAAACCATGAATTTAATGACTTGCACTAGTATCGGATATGTAAAAATATATTTTCAGGTTTTAGTTGTTCTTTATTTGTGATTATAAAAAACATCATAGTTAATACCACTGGCACTTAATATTGAATTTAAATTGATTTTAGTATTTTCTATCATAAAAGCAATATGTCCATGTAGAAAGACTTAAAAATGGCAAACTATTATCCAGAGAACCACTGCTGCATATATACCAAATCTTTATCCATTCAAGAGCCATGTTTCAACACCTGTTAATAGCAGTCACTGCTTCACATATGAAACCTGCTCTTCATAGTTAATATCCTCATATATTTAGTCATATATCTTGTCAGTAATCCTATGAGCAGAAATGTGTATGCTTTTATAAAAGGAACCATGCTATTTAGAAATTGTATTGTAATCTAATTTTTCTCCGATAACCCATTAAGAAATTCCTTCCATGCCATTGAACCATCCTTTATAATATCATGTTTAATGGCTACAAAAGAATTATTCGTGTGAATATACCACTCTTTTCCAATTCCCTTTTGCATTTTAAATCCATAACATGTGCACTTTACTTCTCTTTGATAGCATGACTAATATGTCCTGCACGAGACATGAAGGCACAGACGTCTTTCTTCCTCATTCTCATATCATCTCTGAGTGGATCTCAAGGTAATTTCCTTTGTAATACAAGTGTTAGTTATTTGCATTATCAGATAGAAACATGAGCACACAATGCAAGGTGGCTATTTCTTCCATAGCCATAGCATTGTGAACTTTCCTAAATCATCAGTTAATCAGAAGCAAGGAACAGGCTAGAAGTCTGCATGAAGACTAAAAATTATATATATATTTTGTGTCCACTCTGATTAAGACTCTTTCTAATCTGTTATCTGCTACCAGAAATAAGTTCACTGGAAAAACAAGTTTGATTGATTGATTTTTTTTTTTTTAAGTGTAAGCTTGGTACTTACCACTTGACAGAAGGCATTATCAGCTTTGCTAGGTCCTATGACAGGCATTCTTAATTATCCAGTGAAACATTAGAGGGGTTTAGCAGAGCAATTAGGGAGATCGACAATCACTCTTTTCCTTGCCCATCTTTCCGTGTCTTTCTTTCGGCATAATGCCACATCCCCCTAGCTCTCTGAAGAGAAACTAAGTCTCTCTGAGGAAGAGAGGCAGGACATGGTAGGGTAGAAAGAGCCCCAGAGGGAAAGGCGGAGGATAAAGACTGTGACAGAGCCACTTGGGCACCCAGTTCTTCCATCTTGGGTGGCCTGGGCCATGAGCCAAAGGAGTTACTCCATTGTCCAAAAAGTAAGGACCTTTCCAGTGCTAATATCTTAGAATCCACAGACAGGGCACAAGATCTACTTAAAATATTTTGTAAATCAAAGCAGTTAGATTACTGCCTTCAATGATAGGAAGTGTCTGCGTATATTTTCTTTGCAAAAATCTCTTATTCTGCTGATTTCATTTGCTTTTTGAAATCAACTTGTGAAGTTGACAATGAAAAGAAAACAAAACAAAATAAGTAAATCAAGATAATTGGGGATTAGGCTTCCACATTTATCTCCAGATATTCCTTACCTACATTTTGACCAACTCAGGATATCCTGAGAGCAGTCTTAAAGTCAAAGCAAATGAATGACTCCATTTTCCTTTTGGACTTCTCCTGCTCATGTCCTGCCCTATTTAGATCTAGTCTACAGATATTCCTATCAGATTCCTGAACCCAGCATTGTCTTCTACGTGCTCCAAATATTTTCTTACCCAATCAAGCTGAGTTTATTCCATTCTTTTACGGCCCGCTGGCTGTTGCTAGCTGGATAAACTAATTTATTATTGCTATAGTAGGAGTTAAATGTGAATATGTTCTGGGAATGAAATCAAAAGGAGTCTTTCAACATACATGATTTCCAGGCCAGGATTGGGAGATGAGATTATTGATCAAGTGGGCAGCAAACCAGTGTTTCTACGCCTTGGGCTGTTACCAGTTCTCCCAGTTACATTGAATAAAACGGATATTCAATTAAAATTAAAACTCAGACACAGAGCTTCATGGTTTGTTTCTAATAATCAGACAACAAGTGTTTTTGATGATGTGGTCTATTAATAATCAGGCTGCCAACCTAGGAAGGTTCTTCTGGGTAGTTCTGGTATAATCCTGACTAAGCACACATCATTAATTCTCTTTATAACTTCTCTGCTCTTGACTGTAGGCATATTCCTTTCAGCTTTCTTCACTTACGTTCCTATGAATGAACAAATCATCATTGGAAGACTTGGTGAAGATATAATTCTCCCTTCTTCATTTGAGAGGGGATCCGAAGTTGTAATACACTGGAAGTATCAAGACAGCTACAATAGCTACAATGTTCACAGTTACTACAAAGGCAGTGGCCGTTTGGAAAGCCAAGATACCAGATATGCAAACAGGACATCCCTTTTCTATAATGAGATTCAAAATGGGAATGCGTCTCTATTTTTCAGAAGATTAAGCCTTCTGGATGAAGGAATTTATACCTGCTATGTAGGAACAGCAATTCAAGCGATTACAAACAAAGTGGTGCTAAAGGTGGGAGGTAAGTGTGCATGTAAATTTTCATGAAACATAGCAATGACATCATTCCGTGTTATTAGTAATCATATTTGTCCTAATATGCCATGAGCTTCCTTCCAAGTCAATACATGGAAATCTCCTCATTTTTAATGCACAGTATCTTGTAGTATACTAATGTTATAAATGATACAACTGTTCCCCTGTTGGTGGGTATTCAGGCATTTCCAGTGTTCTACATTACCTGGTTGTGATGAACACCCTTATAGCTGTACTTAATACCAGGAAATAATCTGAAAGCAAAGTACCAGAAGTAAGATTTAAAAAGGTTACTGACACTAACAGCATAAGACTATCCACTTTCTCCTTAGTCTTATCAGTACCAAATAACTGCCAATATCATGACTGAAAAAATATTGAATTGTTGATTTAAATTGCATTTTTCTATATTATAAATGAGGTTAATTTTTGTATTATATGCTTTCCTTCTCTGTATTAGCTATATATAACACTATACCTATCTAACTATAAGTCATTAATATAGTTAATATATGCAGTTATGTACAGTTAATATCACTCAAACACAGCTTCATGGTGGTTATATATAACTATATATTAACTGTATTACTATATTAACTGTTGCTGATTCTCATAGTTATATTGAACCAAACAGGTATGAGATTAGATTAGAAGCTCTTTGAAGAAACTCAAAGAGCTTCATGGCTCCTTATTACTAGATTACCAAGAGTTCCTGATGATGTGCTCTGTTAATGATCAGGCTGCTGATCATTTATATGTAATATAGTTAGTATGTAGTATAATATATAGTACAATTTTACATATAGATATATACACATATATATGCAGTATTTTCTTATGGATTGTTTTTCCCAGCACTTGTTTCTTTTTCTTCTGTCCCTTTTAGCTGCTTCAGACCTTGATTCAGAAATCACAAAATTATGTGTAAACAGAGTCAAATAGGTGCTTTGAGTCAGTATTTGAGAAGTGTAGAGTGCCACATGAACTCTATTTTATAGACTTAGACACCCTCATTTTGGTTTCTCAATGAGGCCATTAGATTTCTTTTCCAGCTATGTTTCTAGAGAATTGAGATTGCTAGTTGCCACATACCCATGCCTGCTCTTTTTTTATTTCTTCTAGATAACTACACTATATCTATAAGGTTCTACAGAGGTGGATTTTTTCCCCCCTTTCAGTAACTGCCAGATTTTTTTCATAAAACTTAGCTTTTCATTTCATGGGTATTAAACAGTATTCTGCACAGATGGCCTATAAAAAAAGCCAATGATGGCAGTTTTTCATGTGCCCTTTTTTCTCCTATGTAGTTTTTCTCACACCCATGATGAAGTATGAAAAGAGGAACACAAACAGCTTCTTAATATGCAACGTGTTAAGTGTTTATCCTCGTCCAATTATCACGTGGAAAATGGACAACACACCTATCTCTGAAAACAATATGCAAGAAACAGGGTCTTTGGGTCCTTTTTCGATTAACAGCACGCTGAATATTACAGGATCAAATTCATCTTATGAATGTACAATTGAAAATTCACTTCTGAAGCAAACATGGACAGGGCGCTGGACAATGAAAGGTAGGCTCCACAGGACTTTCTGTGTATGCTATTTCGAGGTTAGGGGGTAATGGGGACTGATTTTCAAGGAAAGAAAGGAAGATGAAAGAAAAGAAAGCAAATCCATCCGCAGCAGTTAGAAGACCAAGACCGGAGCCCGAGGGCTGGTTCTTCTGACTGTATTACATTAAGCAATCATTCTTGCTTTTGAGCATTAGTACCATACCTCATTGATAAAATAGAAGTAATTCTTACCTTGCTAGGTATTTATGAGTTGATTGAAAACATTTATGAAGTGGAAAGAAGCAAATCTATTCTTGAATATTAGTGTATTTCTCAGTGGCTCATCCTTCAAACAGGATTTTCTATCAGCATTGCTCTTTAAAAAATCAAAAGAGAAAGAATACGTGTCTTTCAGCAGATCACAACTTCGTCTTTCAATTAAACAAAATATTAATTAGTATAATTGCTTCTTTTTAGTTTCTTTACATAGTATTAGCCCATCGATCTTTATCCACTACCTCTATCACAACATGGTCAGTTTTTAGTACTCTTTCTTCTCATTTATTTCAACAGATCCAAACTCTGATCAATCTCTATATCCAAAACCTGTTTAATAAAAATTAATTTGCTATCTCCATATTCAATTCCAAGCAAATTTGTTTTCCTTTTGAGATGGAGTCTCGCTTTGTTGCCCAGGCTGGAGCGCAGTGGCGTGATCTCGGTTCACTGCGATCTCGGCTCACTGCCACCTCGGCTCACTGCCACCTCCGCCTCCCAGGTTCAAGTGATTCTCCTGCCTCAGCCTCCTGAGTAGCTGGGATTACAGGCATGTGCCACCACGTGTGGCTAATTTCTGTGTTTTTTAAGTAGAGATGGTGTTTTACCATGTTGGTCAGGCGAGTCTCGAACTCCTGACATTATGATTTGCCCACATCAGCCTCCCGAAGTGCTGGGATTACAGGCATGAGCCACTGTGCCCAGCCTGTTTTTCATTTTATTCTTAATAAAGCAAAAATTTTCTGTCAATCTCCCTTATATGGGGAAAATGGAGGGTAGCTGTTTTTTTCAGCCTTCTCTTTCCTAGCATCTCATATTCTCAAAATGCTCACCAAAAATATACTGAAATTGTGGGTGATTCACCACATTTACATGAGTCCAATGTTAAAGGAATGAGTACCCAATGTTCATTCTCCATCAGTCAGGCAGCAATGGAAACATGGGAAAGGGTTGCAAATGTTAATATTATAAACATCGTCTTTGGAAAATCCTAATTTCTCATGTTCATTTAGAATTGAGTGTCTTGAAGCATGAACAGTTCTTTAGGCTCAGTACTGTTTGGTCTCATTGAAAAGCTATTACGTGCCAAGTTTTGTTGCTCACAGACTGTGAACTTAAGAACATGGTCTCTACTGATTTCTGGATCCACAGCATCTAGTACAGATGTAAAAATTAAACTAGGAACATAGCTTACAAAGGGAGTGATTAATTCTACTCTCTGTGGTGGGGCACAAATGGGGTTGTTACAGAATATGTGCTTAAGAAAGTTGCATAAGGGCAGAATTTTAGAAGAGTAGTAGGACATTCCAGGAGAACAAGAATATTCCAGAAAAAAGCACAGAAAAGTAAAATTGCCTGGATTTGTGGAATCTACAGATCAAGAGATGAACCTGGAGAGGGAGGCAAAAAAAAAAAAAAAAAAAAAAAAAAAAAAAAAAAAACAGATGAAAGACCTTTTACACATTGCTAAGGAGCTTGTTGAGTGTTGGAGATAGGATGGATCAGAAGAGGGATTTGAAACATCAGAGAGCCCCTGGATTTGCCTTTTGGAAGGCTTGCTTTGGCATCACTCTCCTGCAGGTAGACTGGAAGCCAGCTGAGTCTAGAATCAGGGAGAACAGTCCATGGCAGTCCATAGAGGTCAGCCTACGGCACTACAGAACAGGAAGGACAAGACAGAGCTGGGTCTGGAGGGGCAAGGCAAGAAAATTCAGCAGAGTCTCTCCTAAAAGGGCTTAGTCCAGTGGGGGTTGCCTGCACTACAGCTGGAAATATTCTTACATGCAGAAAATGAGATTTTTGTCTAGATAAAGGGATTAAGAAGTAGTGAGGCCATAAAAGTTAGAGACCACTAGGGAGTAGGTAGGGTAACAAAAGGGGTGTTCTGGGGAACACCAGCATTAGAGAGGCCAAACATTGAGTTTAATAGGCTAGCAACTGGTAGCAACATTCCTGAGTGCTTACTGTCAGGTTCTAAGAGTTAAAACAAGTACATCACCCCTCTAGCTGGCCCTGGCTTTGCCCTCCTTGAAGGTTTAAACTAACCTTGGTGGGAAACTTTAAAATAGTGGTAGTAAAACTTGTCTTGTAAGAAACCACAGCACAAATATAATTACTTTCCAAAAAGTTATTTCTAAATATATCAATATTAGTGCCTTTGTTCTCTGCTTTCTAAGTGTAACTTAGAGAATTCTTTTGAAATGTTTATCTTCATTGATGTTTTCTTTTCTATTGTGTTGTTAGATGGCCTTCATAAAATGCAAAGTGAACATGTTTCACTCTCATGTGAACTTGTAAATGATTATTTTTCACCAAACCAAGACTTCAAAGTTACTTGGTCCAGAATGGAAAGTGGGATTTCCTCTATCCTGGCTTACTATCTGAGCTCCTCACAAAATACAACTTTCTATGAATCCCGATTCTCATGGAACAAAGAGCTGAAAAACCAGAGTGACTTCTCTATGAATTTGACGGATCTTAGTCTTTCAGACAGTGGGGAATATTTGTGCAATATTTCTTCGGATGAATATACTTTACTCACCATACACACGGTGCACGTAGGTAAGCTGCAAGTAGGTTTGGATAATGTTTTGGCTATAGCATTAGAGATTTGTGAATATCAGACAGAAAATTAGGTTGACTTTTCAAGAATACATTGATACCCTCTCAAAATATAATCTACAGGGGTATTTCTGGTCAGGATGTCGATTATCCTCCCTCCTTCAACCACATAAAAGTCCTGTTTTGAAAAAAAAAATTACTCCCACAGATTTCCTTTCAGGATTTTGGGGCTTCAGAAATGAGGAGGAAACATACATTTTGATGACTCCATGGGCTGAGCATCTTCCATTTCTGCTCACTGCTGTGCCTAATATATACCTTAGCCCTAATGTTTGGGGAGTCAAGGCTAGGGACACATTAGGAAGTTACAATCGGGGTCCTGAAGAATGCTGGGAAAACATGGCAGTGTCTATGAACTTGGAAATAATCACCGCACAATATTTGAAGCACCAAGTATATATTCCTGGTTCAGTTCATTTTTACCTCTGTTGATAGTTCACTGCCAAAAACCATTATCTAAAATATTTCTAGTCAACTAACCATCGAGTCATGGAATATATACTCATGAAGCTGACCTTCTAGGTGAGCTAGATGGTCCCACCCTTAAACTATCAACTTCACATCATGGCAGACCATGGTAGCTCTTTCTGTCCTTCAATAAAGATATTTGAACCAGTGGAACTTATGTTTTAGAAGTGTTTCTATCATTTCAATTGTGAAAACTAGGAGGTATAACATTTGAAGTTTTGGTGATTCTGTGTGGTGAGATTTGGAGACAAGAGCAGAGGGTTGTCCTTTAGGTTATGTGATCTTCAAATACTTGGAAGCTTCTGGACATTGAGTAATAACACTCCCTTTGTAGAGCTGCCACTTTGAGAGTAGAGAATGAAAAACTGGGGCTACATTTGAAGCTCCTATTTTTCTCCAAAAATAAAAGTGTCAGTTTTATGTAAAATACAGTTAAGCCTGCAATCTATTTTTAAAAATGTTGCCTCATGTTGGATTCATTTTGGAGTGTAAAAAAAAATAGTCAAGAAGAAATGTCCTAAAGACCACATATGGCCCGTCTTCCCACCCAGAGATCTAATTTTCAGTTCACACAAAGTGAAACATCAGGACCATTCCATCTCTGACAAAAGAGTATTTTCGGAACCTCTCATTCTCAAATAAATGTTGGCAGGTGGGGCTGGGGGAGGGTGTGCTCACCCTTCCCCACCAGGAAGGGGACTTGGCAGGAGCCACCCTAGCAGGGCAGGAAACAGGGCAAACAGTCTTGGTACCTTAAATATCATCCTTTCAAGGAACTTGTTTCCTATTCTGAATTGTGACTTTTCCATTTGTTGTCTTTCCCAGGAGGTGCTACAACAAGATAGGGGTCTTATGATTCCTCGAATCTAGATCTGGTCAATTAAGGTTGCACCAAGCTGAATGGAATTAAATAACCCTTGCTAAGTTTTGCTGCTGAATCAATACGTGACCTTGGGCAAATATCTTTAGAGATGGGGGAACGTGAGGGTCACGAGTACAGTGAGAAGTAGACTTGTAGATTTCCTTGTAGGATTTCCTTTAGGAGGAAGAAAAATGCAAATGCAAATGCAAATGAAAACACTGTAGAAAGTCAACCTAATGTTCCTACTTAATATCTCCTTTATGTAGGTACATTAGTCCCCCCTTTCCATGGGGAATATGTTCCAAGACCCCCAGTGGATGCCTGAAACCATGGACAGTATCAAACCCTATATATGCATTCCCACATGGTACCAGGATTAATCTGTCCTTCCATGTTTATGCCCTGGTGCCTCATTCACACTTCTTATGATTACAGGTTCTACTGGGCATCTTCTTCCAGCAGAGCTTGTTTTCATTGCAATTAAAGACTTGCTTTGGATGGAAATGTGGCTGTAGCTTCATCATCAGCAGACACAGCCTCTCCAGTAATCTTTATATTTTTCAATCCAAGCTGATTTCTAAATCTGTGTAGCCATCCTCTACTTGCAGTAAATGGCCTGTTTCAAGGGATCTCTTGCTGAAGTCTTCATAAAAGCCCAAAGCCTTCCAGTGTAACATATCATCAAGCAGAACACATTTCTGTTCATGTCTTCCACCCTCACATTTAACGCCATTTCCATCTTAGCATATACAACACAGTGTGGCCATAACTGTTGTAGGTTGAGACAACACAAATTTTCTTCTTTCTTTCTTCACAATTTTACAGATAGAAGATTCATTTTCACCATAGCTCTCAGCAACCTCAATATATGATTTTTCATATGTCAAGAGCTTTAATTGTTTTAGTTCAAGGAAGCACTTTATGGCTTCTTTTTGGTACATCCAAATTGCCAGCATCACTACTCTTGTGCTTTGGGGCCATTCTTAAAGAAAATAAGGGTTACTTGAACACAAGCATTGTTATACCATGACAGTCAATCTGATAACTGAGATGGCTAGTAAATGATTCATGGTGGTAGTGTGTACAACATGGATATGCTGGACAAAGGGTGCAGTCACATCCCAGGTGGGGTGTGACATCCTCAGAATGGCACGCAATTTAAAACTTAAGAATTGTTTATTCTTGGAATTTTCCATTTGGTTATGTTTGGACTACAGTTGACCATGGGTAACTAAAACCTCAGAAAGTTAAACCATGGATAAAGGGAACTCCTGTATGGAATTTCAGAATGACACAAATAGGTGAAGAGATTAATATTTTATTAGTTGTAAAACACTATCGTATGTTCATAGAAAATTACATTTGTTATGTAAACAGAGGTATTCATTCTAAAGGATAACCACAAATATTTTCCTCCTGAATTGACCTTTGTGCTCTATCGCTTGCTGCCCATATTTTACCAGAACATAGACCATAAGGTTAGCAGGGTTCTGACTTTGGTAACCCAGGGTCTCTGGAGTCCCCACTTCCATTAATACTACTTTCAACAATTCTAGTCCTGACCAAGATGTTGGAGAATGGAGAAAGTTTAGGCTCCTCCAGTTATTTCTGAGGAGCTCTAAACACTATCAGCAGGTCCTCCTTTTCTGCAGTTTGTTACCCAAAGTCAACCGCAGTCTGAAATTTTTAAAAGGAAAATTCCAGAAATAATGTTTTAAATTGTGTGCCATTCTGAGCAGCATGATGAAATTGCATGTCATCCCGCTCCATCCTGCCTTGAAGGTGAATCCTCCCTTTGTCTAGCATGTCACACTGTGGATGCTGCCCGCCTGTTAGTCATTTAGCCCTCCGGATAATCAGATCTACTGTCATGCTATTGCAGTGCTTGTGATCAAGTAAGCCTTATTTTATTTAAGAAAGGCCTCAAAGCACAAGAATAGTGATGCTGGCAATTCGGATACACCGAAGAGAAGTCGTGAAGTGCTTCCTTTAAGGGAAAGCTCTCAACTGAAGGGAGAAAAAAGCATATGTTGAGATTGCTAAGATCTACAGTAAGAATGAATCTTCTATCTATAAAACTGTGAAGATGGAAAAAGAAATTAGTGCATACTATGCATAAGGTTTGGTACTAAGGTTTCAGGCATCCACTCAGGGGTCTTGGAATGTATCCCCCAGGGATAAGGGGGGACTACTGTGCCTATTATCTCTGTGGTCACCTGCCACCTCTAACTCAAGACCATGGCTTCTACTTAGCTCCTTTTATCACCTCTGAACTTACCACTGTTCCCTTAGGACCCTGTCTTCTCTAGGCCAATGGCGGACTGCACTCTTACTTCATCCTCCAAGGTGAACACTGGGCTGAGGCTAATTTATGGACATAATTATTCCTTTATAAAAATGTGTTATTTCTTATTACAGTATAAAGCAATAGAAACTGAAAAGGCATAATAGACGTATTGCCTCTCCGGTTTTCAGACTTTTCTCCCAGCTCTCCCAACCCCCACCAATCTCTGATAATATTATGGTATCTGTAGGTTTCCCACAATAGATACACTGAGACTAGGAGATATTTATGCTCAAGACAAACTCTCCTGTCCAGTCTGGGTTCTTGGCTTTATCGTAAAGGACCTTTTTATTATGCAAAGTGTTTTCATATTAATTCAGCCTCCTACCTGTAATGCAGAAATAACTAGTTTTAAAAATAGTAAACATACTCCACCCTCACCCACCCACAAATTTCTTATTTGGTACCTTTTCTTCCAGTTCACAGACTTTGTTTCTCTGTTTTATTTAGAACCAAGCCAAGAAACAGCTTCCGATAACAAAGGCTTATGGATTTTGGTGGCCAGTCTGATTTTGGTGCTCTGTCTGATTTGGCTGATTTGGAAAGTAAAATGTTCCACAGGTAATATCTCAGGAAGAATTTGGGCTCTGCCCCACATGTTCCACATCATGTATATTAAAGATAACATGGAAATACATGCCCAAACAGCTACTGGGCATGTAAATTGATCTGAATTTTCTGGAAGGTCATTCACAAAATTCACCCAAAATCTTTTAAAATGCTCCTACATTTCCACCTAACCGTTCCACTTCTAGGAATTTATCTCACATTAAATGAGCAGAGGTACACCAAACTATATACAAGCATATTCACTGCAGCACACTGCTATTGCTTTAGATTTCCTACTATTGTCAATAAATAATTGAGAAATTAATTAAATTAGATGATCATACTTTTTAAAATTTTAATCTAGTATTGAGATGATAACCAGGATGACTTAATCATCCTGCATTAAAAGGTAACTGGAAAGAAAAAAGCCAAAGCTTTAAGAAGTTGCCTTTGGAGTGATGGGACCATGAGTTCTTCCTTACCCTCACACCTCAGAAGGAAGCCAGATACCCCCTTAAGTCCCTGGGCTCTGCTTGTTCTCCCTTGCTCTGAGCTGAGTCAAGGTTGGTGCTCCGATTGAAACTGCATTGTTCTTTTCTTATGGGTCATTTCATTTTAATTGTTGTTCAATTAATTTTTTTCTAAATTTTAGGCAAAAAACCTTACTAGTAATTTAAACTATCTTAAGATGCCATGATCATGGGAAGTACTTTTAGGGAGTACTTTCTTAGAGTACTTTGCTTTTAGTAACAGAATTTTGAGCTAGAGAGCATCTGGGCAAAACTTAGATCTGGTTGATCTCCACATTTTACAGATCAGGAAACAGGAATCCGGGCAGTTAGCTCAAGTGCTAAGTAGGCATGTGAAACAGATTTAGGTGGATCATTTAATAGCCCCAAGCCAGCTAGTGGCAGAGGCAGGTTCAGGCCCCCAGAAGCCCTCCCTTTCTCCACTATCCCCCTGAGGAGGCTCTGGGTGTCCTGGGAACTTGAGCTAGATCCTGTGTCTCTTTTATCCGTCTTTCTGGTTGATATTTGGCTATTGCCCCGCTGAAGTTAGGAGATTTGGGTTATAGCAGAAACTATTATTGAAGATATAGTTTTAGGGGCAATGGAGAGCAAGCATCTCACCAATTCTAGCCCTGTGATCAGTCGTACTAATAGGTAGGCTAGTTCCTGTCCCTTGGCTGGCCAGAAGTAGTAAGAGACCACAGGCAGTCTAGCTTGTCTACCAAGATCAACCATTGACCTAATATACTGATATCTGTGATTGGATTAGGTTCAAATTATGGGAGAGGTGGTGCTACATCCTACTCAAGAATGATAGTTTAGTTTCTTTAGTGGAAGTCTGCATAAGTCAGTTCTCAACTGTAAACACATGGCACACTCAAAACTGGATAAAGAACTTACGAGACAGTATATTCACAGCTGGGAGCACCCAATTCACTAGCAAACTTAAACTTTAAGGGACAAGGACAGAGAGCAGTTCCCAAAACTTGAAAGGAGAGAGTCACATAAGATTAGTTGCCTTGTAAGGACAGTGACTGACTTCTTTTTTTCTTTCTTTCTTTTTATTTAAGTTCTGGGATATATGTGCTGAACATGCAGGTTTGTTACATAGGTATACATGTGCCATGGTGGTTTGCTGCACCTATCAACCTATCATCTAGGTTTTAAGCACCGCATGCATTAGCTATGTGTCCTAATGCCTCCCTCTCCTTTACCCTCATCCTCTGACAGTCCCTGGTGTGTGATGTTCCCCACCCTGTGTCCAAGTGTTCTCATTGTTCAATTCCCACCTATGAGTGAGAACATGCGGTGTTTGCTTTTCTGTCCTTGTGATAGTTTGCTGAGAATGATGGTTTCCAGCTTCATCCATGTCCCTGCAAAGCACATGAACTCATTCTTTTTTATGACTGCATAGTATTCCATGGTGTATCTGTGCCACATTTTCTTTATCCAGTCTATCATGGATGGACATTTGGGTTGATTCCAGGTCTTTGCTATTGTGCATAGTGCTGCAGTAAACATATATGTGCATGTGTCTTTATAGTAGAATGATTTATAATCCTTTGGGTATATACCCAGTAATGGGATTGCTGGGTCAAATGGCATTTCTGGTTCCAGATCCTTGAGGAATCGCCACACTGTCTTCCACAATGGTTGAACTAATTTACTCTCCCACCAAAAGTGTAAAAGTGTTCCTATTTCTCCACAGCCTCTCCGGCATCTGTTGTTTCCTGACGTTTTAATGATTGCCATTCTTACTGGTGTGAGATGGTATCTCATTGTGGTTTTGATTTGCATTTCTCTAATGACCAGTGATGAGGTGCTCTTTTTCATGTTTGTTGGCTGCATAAATGTCTTCTTTTGAGAAGTGTCTGTTCATACCCTTCACCCACTCTTGATGGGGCTGTTTGTTTTTTTCTTGTAAATTTGTTTAAGTTCCTTGTAGATTCTGGATATTAGACTTTTGTCAGATGGATAGACTGCAAAAATTCTCTCCCATTCTGTAGGTTGCCTGCTCACTCTGATGATCGTTTCTTTGGCTGAGCAGAAGCTCTTTAGTTTAATTAGATCCCAGTTTGTAAGGTGTAAGGAAGGGGCCTGGCTTCTATTTTCTGCATATGGCTAGCCAGTTTGCCCAGTACCATTTATTAAACAGGGAATCCTTTCCTCATTGCTTGTTTTTGTCAGGTTTGTCAAAGATCAAATGGTTGTAGATGTGTGGTGCTATTTCTGAGGCCCCTGTTCTATTCCATGTATCTGTTTTGGTACCAGTGCCATGCTGTTTGGTTACTGTAACCTTGTAGTATAATCTGAAGTCAGGCAGCTTGATGCCTCCAGCTATGTTCTTTTGCTTAGGATTGTCTTGGCTATATGGGCTGTTTTTTGGTTACATATGAAATTTAAAGTAGTTTTTTCTAGTTCTGTGAAGAAAGTCAATGGTAGCTTGATGAGAAGAGCATTGAATCTATAAATTACTTTGGGCAGTATGGCCATTTTCACACTATTGATTCTTCCTATTCATAAGTATGAATTTTTTTTCCATTTGGTTGTGTCCTCTCTCATTTCCTTGAGCAGTGGTTTGTAGTTCTCCTTGAAGATGTCCTTTACAACCCTTGTAAGTTGTATTCCTAGATATTTTATTTTCTTTGTAGCAATTGTGAATGGGAGTTCATTCATGATTTGGCTCTCTATTTGTCTGTTATTGGTGTATAGGAACGCTTGTGATTTTCGCACATTGATTTTATATCCTGAGACTTTGCTGAAGTTGCTTATCAGCTTAAGGAGATTTTGGGCTGAGATGATGGGGTTTTCTAAATATACAATCATGTCATCTGCAAACAGAGACAATTTGACTTCTTCTGTTCCTATTTGAATATTTTCATTTATTTCTCTTGCCTGATTGCCCTAGTCAAAACGTCCAATATGATGTTGAACTATGGTGATAAAGGTCATCCTTGTCTTGTGCTGGTTTTCAAGGGGAATGCTTCCAGCTTTTGCCCATTCAGTACGACATTGGCTAAAGGTTTGCCATAAATCGCTCTTATTATTTTGAGATATGTTCCATCAATGCCCAGTTTGTTGAGAGTTTTTAGCATGAAAGGGTGTTGAAGTTTATCGAAGGCCTTTTCTGCATCTATTGAAATAATTTTTGTCATTGGTTCTGTTTACATGATAGATTACATTTATTGATTTGCATATGTTGAACCAGTCTTGCATCCCAAGGATGAAGCCAACGTGATCATGGTGCATAAGCTTTTTGATGGGCTGTGGAGTCGGTTTGCCAGTATTTTATTGAGGATTTTTGCATTGATGTTCATCAGGGATATTGGCCTGAAATTTTCATTTTTTGTTGTGTCTCTGCCAGGTTTTGGAATCAGGATGATGCTGGTCTTATAAAATGGTTAGGGAGGAGTCCTTCTTTATCTATTGTTTGGAATAGTATCAGAAGGAATGGTACCAGCTCCTCTTTGTACCTCTGGTAGAATTCGGCTGTGAATCTGTCTGGTCCTGGGCTTTTTTTGGCCGGTGGGCTATTAATTACTGCTTCAATTTCAGAACTTGTTATTGGTTTATTCAGGGATTCGACTTCTTCCTGGTTTAGTCTTAGGAGGGTGTCCAGGAATTTATCTATTTCTTCTAGATTTTCTAGTTTATTTGCTTAGAGGTATTTATAGTATTCTCTAATGGTAGCTTGTATTTCTGTGGGATCAGTGGTGATATCCCCTTTATCATTTTTTATTGTATCTATTTAATTCTTCTTTCTTTTCTTCTTTATTAGTCTGGCTAGCAGCCTATCTATGTTGTTAATCTTTTCAAAATACCAGCTCCAGGGTTGACAGACACCTCATACAGGAGATCTCCAGCTGGCATCAGGCTGTTGCCCCTCTGGGACAAAGCTTCCAGAGGAAGGAGCAGTCAGCAATCTTGCTGTTCTGCAGCCTCTGCTGGTGATACCCAGGCAAATAGGATCTGGAGTGAATCTCCAGAAAACTGCAACAGACCTGCAGAAGAGGGGCCTGACTGTTAGAAGAAAAACTACCAAACAGAAAGCAGTAACATCAACATCAACACAAAGGACCCCCATACAAAACCACATTCAAACATCATCAGACTCAAAGATCAAAGGTAGATAAATACATGAGGATGAGGAAAAACCAGCACAAAAATGCTGAAAATTTAAAAGACCAGAATGCTGCTTCTCCTCCAAATGATTGCAGCTCTTCTCCAGCAAGAGCACAAAACTGGACGGAGAAAGAGTTTGACAAATTAACAGAAGTAGGCTTCAGAAGGTGGGTAATAACAAACTCCTCTGAGCTAACAGAGCATATTCTAACCCAATGTAAGGAAAGTAAGAACCTTGATAAAAGGTTACAGGAACTACTAACTAGAATAACCAGTTCAGAGAGAATATAAATGATCTGATGGAGCTGAAAAACACAGCACGAGAACTTCATGAAGCATACACAAGTATCAATAGCCGAATCAATCAAGCAGAAGAAAGGATAGCAGAGACTGAAGATCAACTTACTGAAATAAGGCGTGAAGACAAGATTAGAGAAAAAAGAGTGAAAAGGAATGAACAAAGCATCCAAGAAATATGGGACTATGTGAAAAGACTAAATCCATGATTGGTTGGGGTCCCTGAAAGTAATGGGGAGAATGGAACCAAGTTGGAAAACACACTTCAGGATATTATCCAGGAGAACTTCTCCAACCTAGCAAGACAAGCCAATATTCAAATTCAGGACATACAGAGAACACCACTAAGATACTCCTTACGAAGAGCAACTCCAAAACACATAATCATCAGATTCTCCAAGGTTGAAACAAAGGAAAAAAATGTTAAGGGCAGCCAGAGATAAAGGTCAGGTTACCTACAAAGGGAAGTCCATCAGACTAACAATGGATATCTCTGCAGAAGCCCTACAAGCCAGAAGAGGGTGGGGGCCAATATTTAACATTCTTAAAGAAAATAATTTTCAACCCAGAATTTCATAACCAGCCAAATTAAGCTTCATAAGTGAAGAAGAAATGAAATCCTTTACAGACAAGCAAATGCTGAGGGATTCTGTCACCACTGCCTTACAAGAGATCCTGCAGGAAGCACTAAATACAGAAAGGAAAAATCGGTACCAGCCACTGCAAAAAAACACCATAATATGAACACCAACGACACTATGAAGAAACTGCATCAACTAATGTGCAAAATAACCAGCCAGCATCATGATGACAGGATCAAATTCACATATAACAATATTAACCTTAAACGTAAATGGGCTAAATGCCCCAGTTAAAAGATACAGACTGGCAAATTGGATAAAGAGTCAAGACCCATCAGTGTGTTGTATTCAGGAGACCCATCTCATGTGCAAAGACACACATAGGCTCAAAATAAAGGTATGGAGGAATATTTACCAAGCAAACGGAAAGCATAAAAAAAGCAGGGGTTGCAATTCTAGTCTCTGATAAAACAGACTAAACCAACGAAGATCAAAAAAGACAAAGAAGGGCATTACATAATGGTAAAGGGATCAATGCAAAGAGAGCTAACTATCCTAAATATATATGCACCCAATACAAGAGCACCCAGATTCATAAAGCAAGTTCTTAGAGACCTACAAAGAGACTTAGACTCCCACACAATAATAGTGGGAGACTTTAACACCTCACCGTCAATATTAGACAGATCAATGAGACAGAAAATTAACAAGGATATTCAAAACTTGAACTCGGCTCTGGACCAAGCAGACCTAATAGACATCTACAGAACTCTCCACCCCAAATCAACAGAATATACATTCTTCTCAGCATCACATAGCACTTATTCTAAAATCGACCACATAATTGGAAGTAAGACACTCCTTAGCAAATGCAAAAGAATGGAAATCATAACAGTCTCTCAGGCCATAGTGCAATCAAATTAGAACTCAGGATTAAGAAACTCACTCAGAACCACACAGCTACAAGGAAACTGAACAACCTGCTCCTGAATGACTACCGGCTAAATAACAAAATTAAGGAAGAAATAAATAAGTTATTTGAAAGCAATGAGAACGAAGACACAACATACCAGAATCTCTGGGACACAGCTAAAGCAGTGTTAAGAGGGAAATTTATAGCACCAAATGCCCACATCAGAAAGCAGGAAAGACCTAAAATCGACACCCTAACATCACAATTAAAAGAACTAGAGAAGCAAGAGTGAACAAATTCAAAAGCTAGCAGAAGACAAAAAATAACTAACAGCAGAACTGAAGGAGATAGAGACACGAAAAACCCTTCAAAAAAATCAGAGAGTGACTTTCAGTTGAAAGACAGAGCCAGACCAAGGTGACCGTACAGGGAAAAAGCTGGGAGAGTGAATACCTAATTTCACTCTTCCCTGTCTCTGATCTCCAGCCCAAATAGAAGCCAGGAGGAGCAGATACCCTGCTGATGGAGCCCAACGAGGTCAGCCTCCCATGGCTGAGAGAAGAATGGATTCTGGTTCTGGAGGAGTAGTCAAAAGATATGGGCAAAAACTTTGTCACAGTATTGGCCACTTTAAAAAATAGATATATTCCATACTTCTGCAGTGAGATGGGCTGAAAATATATTTGAAGCTGTTATATGAAAAGCCACAAAACCTTTCCTAGCTCCAGCTCCCTGGTTGCAGTTTCATGACTGTGGTTCATATGTTTTATTTTTAAATTCCCTTTTCTATTACTGTTTTAAAATGTACTTTGTCTAAGATATGTATTAAAGGGCCATATTTTATGAAAGTCCATAAGGAGGCCTTCTTTGAGAAATGACATATCCCTTTTTCTTTAACCATCACTCTCATCCCCTCTTTGGCTATGACATTTCCATTGTTAGCAGTTGGTAGGAACCAGGCCAAGGATCACAAGAAGCCAGGAATTGCTGAGCTGACTGAACTGCCTTTACTCCCCTGCTTTGGAGCACCTGGATCAACCATACACATTTACTGCTGCTTCTGATGATGTGTTTTTACATTGAATGCATTTTTCATGTTGTTTGTTAAAGATATGAAGGGAGAGTAACTCAGATGATTCTATTAACATAATTATATTGAGATAGGACTAAGGGAGAATTTTGGTGTTTGCAAAGAAATTATTTTTAAGTTCTCTTTTTTTCCTGTAGAAAGACGTCGTGTCTCTACTGAGAGCACTCACGATGATAATGCCTCTGATAATGCCGAAGAAAACATGGTAAGGCATTATTTCCTTTATCAAACAATATACAGTATAAAAATGCTTCTTTAAAAGGGTAATCGAAGTTCTGACTGATTCACATATCATCACGCAAGACTTTTATATAGAAAAAAAAAACAGCAAGGAGGGGTTGCAGGATAATATAGCACGAAAAATATAATTAGACTTTTCCCAATGTCTATAATTAAACAGGCTCTACTTGCTTAAATACATGGTTGTTCTTCTTGTCTCCTATTGTTGTTTGTAGAGAAGATCTCCAATGGCATTGTGCATATGAGGGTGAGCCAATGTACTTATGATAGAAGCATGAAACATGGGATTGTATACAAGTGGAAAGAAACACAACTATAATTCACTTGCAAATTATAGTTTGATTGTATACTTCCTTTTTACTGCATTCCTTTTATTATTTACGTGTTCCATTAATCAGAATATAAATAAGGGCTAGGAGTGTGATAAACTTGTTTTTCCCACTGTTAAAAACCCTGAAATAGCTAGTAGGGAGATTAAAATTAACTGATAAGACTCAGACTTATTTTGTAATGGTCTCATGGATTTTTAATTACAGATGCCAGCAATAGACTAAAGCTTCTTACCGCCCACCCCAAAACACTACTATCATTAAATATTTAAGATATAAATGGTTATTCTGACTTGAACAACAGACATTTAGAGTCTATTTTTCTCGGTTCTAGAGTCTTTCAGGAAGAGTACAGCAAATGAGAGAAGACCTTGACAACTCATGACAAGCATCCTTAATATCCAGTGACTTCATATCCCCTTTCTGCACTGCAATTCTAGGCAATGGCCTGTCAGACCAGACAGTTCTACCACTGCAAAGACTTGTAACCATTTTCTAATATCACATTTTACTTTTCAAGACATAAGGATCATTCACTGACCCACTACCTGCATTGAGTATAAATGCCCGGATGTTAAGGATTTCAATTTAACTTTGAAAAGAACTGTCTCATTCATTTACATTCCTGTTCCAGTCAGCCCAGGAGGTTACAGTGAGCTCTCCGCTAAGAATCTGGAAGAAATGCATCACTAGGAGTTGGTTCCCAATCTGATCAACTGATAATGGGTGAGAGAGCAGATAAGAGCAGAAGTCACCTTAGTGGAAAGGTTAAAAACCAGAGCCTGGAAACCAAGATGATTGATTTGACAAGGTATTTTTGTCTAGTTTTATATGAATGGTTATATCAGGTAACCAACTCAATTTGGGATGAATCTTAGGGAGGCCAAAGAATAAGACTGTCAGTATCTTTAAGATTGCTAGGAAAAAGGGCCCTATCAACATAAGAATCTCTGAAGTTAGGTTACACCTGACCACACGAGGCTTGCATAGTTGATTGACTAGCCATGAAGATAATTTGAACTCTTCTGGCTCAACTGGCATATTACTAATCAGTCTTCTAATAAATTTAGATTTTCATATAAATTTTTAAGCAAGAAGAGAAGCGAGAGCTCAGCTAATCTAATCTGTTTCCCTTAATTTTAATCATCAACTTATGTAAAAGAAACAGTCTACTCTTAATGCTTGTGAACTTGTCACTATAACCAGGCTTTTGTGTGACTTAGTCGATCAAGGTTTTGACTCTATAAGAGAAAGCAAATTCTGAATTGTGGTGTAACTTCCACCTGGTCCAATTTTATGATATGACCTCAGTTTCACAATCCTATACCTTGTATGTAGTTAACTCTGTTTTTGCTACAATGTTGTGATGGGTTATCACAAATAGCAAAGTATTAAGAATTCCAGTCAGAATGATGATTATTAAAAAGTCAAGAAACAACAGATGCTGGCAAGGCTGTGGAGAAATAGGAATGCCTTTACACTGTTGGTGGTAGTATAAATTAGTTCAACCATTGTGGAAGACTGTGTGGGCAATTCCTCAAGGATCTAGAACCAGAAACACCATTTGACCCAGCAATCCCATTATTGGGTATATACCCAAAGGATTATAAATCATTCTACTATAAAGACACATGCACACATATGTTTATTGCAGCACTATGCACAATAGCAAAGATCTGGAACCAACCCAAATGCCCATCAGTGATAGACTGGATAAAGAAAATATGGCATAAACACCATGGAATATTATGTAGCCATAAAAAGGAATGAGATCGTGTCCTTTGCAAGGACATGGATGAAGCTGGAAGCCATCATCAGCAAATTAACACAGGAACAGAAAACCAAACCATGTGTTCTCATAAGTGGGAGCTGAACAATGAGAACACATGGACACAGAGAAGGGAACATCACACACCAGGGCCTGTTGGGGTCTGGGGGGTGAGGGGAGGGAACCTAGAGGATGGGTCAATAGGTGCATGTATTTGTTATTGATGTATCCCATGTATCCCAAAACTTAAATTGTTTTTTTAAAAAAGTAACTTACATATCTTTAAAAAATTCCATTGTGAAGAAAAATTCAATTGAGATAATATTTAAGTGTCTGCCATCTCTGCTTCCCCCTAACCTTGGTTCCTTTTAAAAATTATGTCCTAGTGAAAGAATATGATACTTAAAACTGGATGTATCCCCAAGCTGAAGTTTGACTTTACTGAGTATGTGCCTGGGGTGTGCAGAAACAATAGCATCCTGACTTCAGGATTGGTAATACGATAACAGCAAATTTCTAAGAAAAGGTTTGGGATATAGAGATGTTTCCTGAATTTAAACACTGGCTTATTAAAGGATAATTCCAAACTTATTTTTTACTGAAGTTTTTAAAAATTACCATTTCAGGAAAACAAAACCTAGAAAAGTTCCAAGTTAAATGTTTTGTGTTTTCTCACTGGGTTGAGACCGATGATAAGAAGGAGCGACTGCTTTGGATACAGCCTGACACACATCCCTGCTAGTCCACTCTGTGGCTGTGCATCCCCCTCCACCAACCACAAAACTCAAATTTGGTTTGCCTTGCTCAAAATGGTACCCTAATGTTTCAAGAGGATTCACTTTGATCTGTCTGAGCCAACCCTGGCAATTGCAGTCCTCTTGCCACTAGACTGGTTCAGCATAAGAAGGTAAAGAAATCTGTTCCGTAGGATATGAGGAAAAGTATTCCAGAGGTCTGTTTCTGGGAAGGTGTTTCTCCATTTTAAAAAGAGGTTATTGTATGGGGAGGAAATGCTCAGGACTGCTGAAGTCCTCTTACAATGACAAGAGATTCAGACAAGAATGAACCTGGATCCTCTGATACCACTGAGTCTCTGAATTAATCTTCAAGCTACCCATATGAGTCAGGGTTGGATCAGGGAGGCAGAACCGGAGAATGACAGAATAAAGATTTATTATAGAGCTTCAACCTTACACAATTGTGGGTGCTGGTGGAGAAGTCTATGCCAGGCTGCTCCCTCTGCATCTGGTCCTGGGCCTGAAGTCACGGTAGGTCGGCTGTGCATGCAGCGAGGATGAAGGGAAGTCCATAAGAACAAACAGAACCCATGTCTGCCTCATGGCCTCCACTGCAATGCTGTGGATGATCTCAGGAAAAGCTGGTGCTGGTTGCCATGGAGCTGCACACACACCTGGCCAGGACTCTGCAAAGCTGGAGGAGGCGGCTGGCAGGAGCTGGAAGAGCTCTGGGTCCAGGGAGCTGTCTCTGGTCCTTTCTAGTGCCCCTTTTTGGCCAGGAGTCATATTTTCAAGCTGTCACAATGCTTGGGTCTGTACACTGACCTTATGAGCGTAAAATAGCTGATTTTTGCTTATCAGATTAATGCAAAATTCTTTATGACCTACTCCAATCCAGAACCACGAGAGAGAGGAATTCCGGGACACGTTCCTCCGGCTGAGCTAAATTGGCACTGCAGAAATCCAGCACATCACCTGCCACTGAATGTCTTGTGTGGGGTTACCTCCATGTTTAAAGTGTGTACCAGCATATAGCCTACATGTGCGTTGATTAGGAGAGTTTTGCCTACATGTTCAAATTGCCTAACTATGGCTATATTTATATCACAATGCTGAGGAGATTTTATGACTTTCATTCCACCACTGCCAGCTCACAATATACATTCATAGACGTAGGGGTGAATCAAGCCAAAGTTGCCTAACTTCAGTAAAAACCATTCACCAACATGCCCTAGTCCCCATGGAGCGTGATTGGTCTAAGGACATCTATGAGTCCTACCCATTAAGAGGAAATATGGACAAAGGATTAAGTATTTATTCATTTTTTAAACATCAGAATCGAAAAAGTTCTTCCATTTATTTAATTTGTCATGTGAAACATTACAAGGTAGTTTACTTGCATTTGAGGATCAAAAAATCCCCATTAACTGTGGAAGCAATGATATTCCCTTTAATTATTTTTCTAATTGCCTTGTTTATATGGTGTGAAAAGCAATTTAAACATGTTTTTAAAAAATGTTTCCAACGCAAGCTAAATTTTTGGCCATGAAACAGCACCTTCCTTGTACTTCTCCAGCTGTTGTCCTTTCAAAGCAGGGGATACTATTCTTTTTGAACCTGAAAAACAGAATGTCAGTGTGTTCTGTGAATTTCCTGTGATTTTCACCAATGGAACACATGCCCAGAACCAAGCTGAGTCCTTTCCAGAGGTAAGCAGGCCTTAGCCAACTCTTCATTAACTTCAAAGGGAGGCAGGGAATTGAGACAATTATCTGCATTATAGAAAGCAGACCCCGGTAATTCACCCCAAGGGCATGCTCGGTCACTCTCAATTTTCTGCCTGCCTTGTCTTGCCAGTGAAGGCAGCGCCCTCTTTAGCCAACCCCATGAGGAGAAAGATTCTGCAGCCACACCACCAATTTGCTCCCCAGCCCTGACACAGAATTCTTTCAGCAAACCTTTTCCTTGTGTGTATGACAGTTGAGGGATTTTTTTGGCTTTTCTTCTGTGAAGGGGAAACAATTGGTCATTGCACTGCCAAGGAAGGTTTTCCTATTCCTCTCTAGCCTCTCAAAAGCAATTTCTGCTTTACTCACTGTGTTCTTTGTTGAAAAGAACTGTGACAAAGTCGAACGCATGGCATCTGTTTTGGAGGCCCTTCGACCTCCTGCAGCTGAATGCAATTGCAGCACATGGGAAGCACCTCCCTAAACAAGTAACATTACATGGGGTTGCTGGCGGGCTCTGCAGAGAAGACCCTAAATCCAGTGCCACAACACTTCTCAAATTGGGGCCAGAGTTCAAACCTCTTAATTGGCCCTCTCACATAGGACTTATCCTTGGGGCAGCTATTCAGACATCAGTAAAAAATTTCTGGAGTCTCTCAATGAGTCATATGTCTTATATTTATATCTAAGTATCTTCTATATAACCAACTCTTAGGCTCTCCTCCAAAAGAGATGCTTTTGACCTCCCTTAAGGTTGTATTTATGCATATTATTGGCAACCCTATCAACTTACCTTGCAGGGTTACTAGTAATTCAGTTTGGGCCTGGAAAAATTTGTATAAAATAATCAGGAGTCCATGGAACAAGATGATTTTAAAAAGCACAGATGGATCAGCTCAAAATTTGGAGTGCACTCTTTCCATAGTAGACACATACATGACTTTGTACCATGTCAATATGGAGTTGAAGAGGGAAGATGTTTAAGATTGAGGTAGTGAAGGAAAACAAATGAAAGAGTCTTGCTTTGTATTTCTCTGCTTTATATTCCTGATTCTGCCCAAAAACACAGAGAAATTGGGCTAGTGATGCACCACGTTTAAAAAGAAAATGAAATGATGGTGCCTATGTATGCCAGAAGCTACGCTCAGTGATTTCAGGCAATCTATTAGCTAATATCGCATGATCCAATCTCCTCTGATTCTTTTCTCCTAAAGCCAGACCTCATTTAAAAACTGTGTGTTCCTGGGAAAATTTTAATAAGGAAGCCGAGACTACCTGACCCTACCAAACATTCAGTACATTGTTCTTTGTCACTCTACCAGTAAAATCAGGGCAATGGCCTCTACCATTAGATTAGAAGAATCATTTCATGGACCAAAGAGATATAAAAAGATCCTTTCTCTGTGTTTTCAGGCAGAATCAGGAATATAAAGCAGAGAACTACAAAGCAAGACTCTTGCATTTGTTTTCCTTCACTGCCTCAATCTTAAACATCTTCCCTCTTCGACTCCATGTTGACATTGTACAAAGTCACGTATGTGTCTACTACGGAAAGAGTTCACTCCGAATTTTGAGCCGATCCATCTGTGCTTTTTAAAATCCTCTTCTTTCCATGGACTCCTGACTATACACAAATGAATCCAGGCCCTCAATCTCAGATCCTGCAAGTTAACATGGAAGCATTTGAAAAGTATAAATACAATGTGCATGCCACTCAAATGCTTAGCATTTCATCTACCTGGACAAGTATAATTTAGTAAACATGGGAAGACCTTATTGGAACCCTCTGTTCTTATCTTTTAAAAGCTTTTAAAGAGAAAAACAAATTTCTTGTTATACTGGTCCATGCAATGACATCAGCCCTAAACAAACATGATTGAAGAGTTAGAACAGAGTTGAATACCTGCCGTACCTTTTTCCCAAACTCTCTTGCTTTAATCTTGAGTTTATTGACTTGAGATTCTGCCACCTCTGCCCTTTCCTTCACTTCATTCAACTCATGTTGCTGCTTCTTATACTTGGAAAGGTATTGATTGGCTTGTGCTTCCTATAAAAATAATAAAAAAAGAAATCTCCATGCCTATATAGTCAGGTTTTTTTTTTTCTGCTCTGACATGAAAAAGTTGAATAATGTGAAAAGAATCTAAACTTCTGAGTATTGAATGGGATATCGTATTTTGGTATGATATATTAGGATTCAGACTTTCTAGCAGGTATAAGATCCATTTTTTTATAACTTTTGTTCCCTGGAAATTCAGAACCTAGTTGGCACTTTTCATCAACTGGATGCAGTAGAGCTCTCGCAGACTGAAAATGTGCTGGAATAACCACAGTTGTCTGTTTTGTCCTGAGTTTAACATCCTATTCTACCCCTGAGTAGAGGGGGCTTGTCTTTAAAATTATATGGGTCAACAGGTAATTATTAGACCTTGAGCTAGAACAGGTAGTATTTTAGGCCAAATCATTGAAATGATCAAAACCCCTCAAGAGTTAATATTAGGGATAAATCAATATATATGGCACTGACCAATTACATTCCCTGTAGTTATAGATACTGACCCAGGGATGGCAAGTACATTTCAATTTATGGTGGTTTTGTCCACAACCATATCCAGGATCATCAAGAACAAATACTGTGAACCATGTTTATATTTACCCTAGGTTTGGGGATGAGGGAGGCCCCAGGGTGACTACCTTGCCCAAAACCGGCCTTCCCTACATGACACTCTGCTTTTTCCTAGCTCATTTCTTGTTGTGCACCTGTTTGGGTGAAACCACAAAGGTAAAGGAGAGAGCTCTGGCTTCCTGGAGGGAAAAGCCACACACATTTTTGCCATGGGTGAGAATTCTAACTTGAGAAAAAAACTGAGAATGAGCAGACTCTAAGCTGAGCTGGCCCTCTCTGACAAGCTGCTGGCTGAGCTCAGGGCCACAGATCTCCCTTAACCAAAACAACACTGGGAAATCCAGGAGGCTGCAACTTCCCAAGGCACTCACCGCCACCTCGACTTGCTGCTTGTAATTGTGCACTTTTAGCTGAAGTTTATCCATCTGAGTTTGCATCCTGCTCAGATTCTTCTTGTCTTCCTCTGCCTGCAATACATAGGCACGTATGGGGAAGGTGATTCAGAGGATCCAGCAGTCTACAATGGGGTAGTCTCATGTGGGGAAATAAGGGTTAGGGAACTTTATTAAACATCATCTCACAGTTGTGATTTTTAACAATGGGTTTAACTCACCCAAGTTCCAAGAAATTGATGAACAGAACTGTCAGCACTAATGGTCATTTGTCCTGATCCACCAACCTTTGCTGAAATGGGAGTTAAACCCATTAGGTTCAGTTTGGGTCTGAATGTCTTTCCAGCTCAACCAAGCTATATCTGCCTGAAGCTGTATCTGTATACTTAAAATTAGTAGTGAATTATCTACTGTTATATTTTACTTTAAGGTGGTGGTGGTGGGGGTGCATTCCAGATGACGAGCTAAATAAAAAGCTATATCTTTAGCAGGAATGAAGTGCATTATTATAAAAGCCACATATGCAAAAATGAAAACCAATTGCTCCCCAATCAAAACAACTATTCCTTTGAACTTTCTAATTGACTCTTGGTTTTGAGTAATAGAACTATAGAAAAGATAAATTTTCTGGAATTCTGATGCAGACATCAGCAGAGATAGCAACGAAGATTCTACAAGCTGTGGGAACCATGGTGTGCCTATTCTCATTGCCTCAATTACAATCCAGCCTCGGGCTGGAGAAAGGAAATCTGGTGGGATAATGTTTCTCAACTGTGCTCCACAGAGCCTTTGGTATTCCAGGGAGAGAGGAGGCTAAAGGCAGGCAGGTAGATAAGGCTCTGCCTGCCCCCTCTTTCCTCATGTCCCTTTAACTGGAGTATTTCCACACTGGAGCTATTGAACTTTTCAAAGGCAGAAAATACCTCAATTTGCTCAGGGTGGAGAAGCTGATTTAATCAAGAAAGATCTACTGCTGCTTAAAATTTTTTTCTGGCTCCATTTGACCTATTCCATCAAGTATGAACTTTTTTGGCAGCTTTAACGTTCACCCTACTTACCTTCCATTCCCCCCACCACCACGAACCCACTCCAACCAGGTCACATTCTCCTGTTTCCGCAGAGCTCCCCTGCTTACTTTGTCCTCCTTAGGTTTAGCCAAGCTGTTCTCATCATCTGGAATGCACCCCCCCACACACACACCACCACCTTAAAGTACCATATAAAAGTAGATATTAATTACTAATTTTAAGCATCAGGAGACAGGGATGAATATATATATGAAAGAACCTAGTTGGGGAACTGAGACAAGTCTGGTTCAAATAAAATCCCTTCTTTGTTTTTATCTGCCTATCCCTCGACTTCTCAGGTTTATAAAATTCAAAAAATTTGTAGCATTATGTGCTTACAGTAAATTATAAAATCAACACAAGTTTAATTGCTAACAATCAGTTTACTGAGAGGAGAGGAAATTGTTGGTAAAGGAGGCCACACAGAAGAAAACTGAAAAAAGCTAGAAGTGGTTGCTGATGTTCCTGATGTCCCTCCCATATGGGAAGGCAAAGCCACTGATGTTAGGCCTAGGTTCCCATCTTAAGCTGTGGGGCATTGAGTAACTGGTGGCCATGGCTATGCATGTCCTAGATTTCCCAACAAGAAAAGAACTTGCCATTCAGCTGTGAGAAGTGCCGTTACCTGATAATCTCCAACTGTAGTGCCTTTGGGACCTGCCACAGCATTAGCATTGAGGCCACACACTTCCTAGGCAGCCCCCAGGCAATGGCTGGGCACAGTGAAGTCACCAGAGTCTGGCCATTTCTGCCCAACATGGGAGTCCTTTCTGGGCTATCTTCGTGCTGGATGCTTGCCCAGAGCTGCACTACCATCTGACACTCTTCCCATCCCCTCTTCCTCCCTCAGCCTCTCCTTTCACGTCTCTGCCCCATCCTGCTTGCTTGCATCTTCATCTTTCATAGATGTCACTTCTAATAGATCCTTTGTACATCTAACTCTATCCTGGCATTTGGTTCCTAAAGAACCCTCTCAACACAGCAACTTAACCAGATTGTATTTCCTTATCCCTAAAAATGATACTACATTCTTGACTAGATGTGTAAAGATTAAATAATATCTACACAGATTCTTGGATGTAGGAGGCAGTTGATGGTAGAACTGAGTAGGTGGGTGGAGAGTGAGGGGCAGAGGAACTATCTTGACCTTCTATAGCAACTACAAGTACCTAATCTTATGTTCTGCTTTATAGCACATTTTTCTAGGTGCTGGAGAGAGAAAATAGGACAACTTTCCAAATGCTAGGGGGATATAAAGGAGAGGATAAATGCGGCATGGGGACCAGTCATAGAACTGCCATGGAGCGGGACCACACTTGACTCCTTTCCAGTAGCAGAATCTTCCCAGAGGACTTCTCCTAAGAAAATGATATTTGTGCCCCTTTCAAAATGACACTTTTAATTGCACCTAGGAATGGGCTATCACCAAACACCCTGCCTCCTTGTCCTGGTGGTTATTTTGATGATCGAAATGACTCAGCATTAACCTTGAACATTTCAAAACCAAGTACCAGGAAATGTGGAATGTCCTCTAATATCTTTTTAAACTTACAGGGTCTAGCCTAATAGATATTAGCTGATCTGATGGCAGAAAATAGGCCTATCTAAGCATTCTGCAGACACTTGGAAGAAATTAATAAATGCACCTCATTCTAGCACATGAGAAACACTAGGATTATTACAATGAAGAAACAAGGGTAAGGCACAACAGAACAAGAATGCATTCCTTGGGACAATGAAAACCAAAAAAAAAATATGTAACTTTGGTTTTTTGTTTTATAATGAAGTTGTTTACAGAATAAAACAATAAGAATAATCAATAGGAAAATAAAAAGAAAAATCCAGACATTAAAGCAGCATTTCACACCATCAACACGGGTGGCTTCTCCACCCTCCTCAAAAGAAGAGTAGAATAGCAAACTTTTAAGTTCCCAAGGTGTTTACCTACTTAGCCATACACACCATGGGCCCACTTCTCAGTGGCTTTGATATACCTAGCGTGGTCTAAAGAAGTGTCAGACTAACTCATCTTACAAAAGGAACCACTTAATAATAAAAGAGCTGTGCAAGTAGCTCATTTCGTCTTAATTAGCCCAAGATGATGCTTCTGAAGTGCTGTGCTTTCTTATCTATCCTTCCTGCTGCAAGGGAAGAAGACTTTGACATCTTTAACAACTCAGCCTCAGGAACCAGAATCAGTACTAAGCAGATCTTGCATTGGCTTTGTCAAAGAAGCTGTAAAAATGGGTGCCTAAAATGAATTTGTCTTTGTATTGGAATAAGCTATCATGTGCAGTGTGAGAGAGCTGGGATAAGCTATCATGTGCAGTGTGAGAGAGCTAGGATAAGCTATCATGTGCAGTGTGAGAGAGCTGGGATAAGCTATCATGTGCAGTGTGAGAGGGCTGGAAAGTGACTTATAGCATCTGTGTTCAACAATGGAAATCACACATCTACTGTGTGACAGGGGGATGCCAGACCCTAGAGGGGAGAACAATATAGTGCCTCTGCCATCAGAGAATCTATGTTGACTGCATTAGAAAGAAAAAGGAAGCAATGATTGAAAGTGAAAATGTAAATGATGATATTTTTACTTTAGAAATGCATTAGTTACTTGTAAGAAGTCTGCCCACCTCTTTTCAATTATTGCTTGAGACCAATGTTAGTCAACAGGTGAGATTCAGAAAGCTTCAGAGGTCTCTCTTTAGTGTTTTGTTTCCACCTGGCACTAGCAACAGTGTCCTCAGTGGCCTTGAGTGTTTGTGCAACCAGAAAATAGGAGTGGAAATGCACCCCGCTCCAATTGAGTCAGCATCCCATGTAACCTGCCAGCTGGGTAGCCACCCGAGCCTCTGCCATTAACTTCATTTACACATTGTTCTCACTCAGCCACTCACAGGAAGGCATCTTTATGAAAGCACTGCAAACACTATGTGTGAAAAAATCCAGATGGTATAAATAGCTTTTCACTTCTAATTGCAACTTGCCGCTCACATTTTGTTTCCTGAGAGCTCTGAAAAGACTGATCCAAACCACTAATAGCACAGGAGCTCTGGGAGGGTGAGTCAGTGTCTACTGCTGAAGGAGAACAAAGATGAAGAGAGAACTGCAGGAGTCCCAGAAGGCCATTTCAGGCTTGAAGGAGCACTTTTCTGCAGGGTAGCGCCCAACCAGCCAAACAGGGAATGGTTTCCCGGAGTACCTGATAGGTCAGCTCTTTGATGCATCGCTCAAGTCTGCGGGCTCCCCTCTGGGCCTCTGCACTGCGACGGATTTCACCCTCCAGTTCACCTTCCAGTTCACGAACCTGCAACCAAAACGTGACCTCAGACCACATGCTGCCAGCAAGGCTGGCCTTCTATTTGCCAATTGGCACAATCATTGGAAAGACAGCAAAGTGTCAAGGGAACATGCACACACCATTTCTGGTAGTACTTAGACAGGACAGTGTCTCGGGAAAACTCTCTCACCAAAAGTAAGATCTTTTATGGATTCATAAAAGAACTGTTTAGACTGAAATATGTGAAAGGCTAATTCACACAGATATGAGAAGCTTTTTTCTTGAATTACAAAATCACACCCAAAGTGTATGCATGAATGTATATGTAAGTATAGAGAGTAAGCAATGTGTAGCCCACTTGAGGATTTTGTCAACATACTACCTAATCTTCAGCTGCTTTCTCTACATCCTGCTCTGACTCTCTAAAGATATCGGACACTGAGTTTATGTCCCATGTATGTCACCCACAACCCTACAGTCCCGCTTTGTGGGAGAGCTATCACACAGACAACTGCCTGCAGCCTTATAGAATTACACAAACGAGCTTAACATTCATTCAACGCAGGTGCCTACTACATACCACACCCCAGTGCTAGGATACAGCAGTGAACAAAACAGACAAAAATCTCTCCCCGGAATTAGCATACATTCTAATGAGGGGAAGCAGACAGACAAAACAAAGTAAAATGTAGGCTATGTTTGATGGGGACAAGTGCCACAGAGAGAAATAAGGCAGGAGAGGGAGTAGGGAGTTGATGTTCGCTGCTCCCCCTGGCTGGGGGGCTCTTGCCCAGGTATCCTCTTTTCCTGCTTTCTCCTTGACGCCAATGCCACCTTCTCCAAGAAGCCTTCCTGAGGACGGGAAGGCCAGTGCCCTGTGCCTAGCGCATCTGACCCCACCTCTTACTCCCCACTGGAGCCATTCTTCCCTCCTGTACCTCCTCAGAGAGGTGCAATGTGAAGGGAGGGGAGCAAGTGTGCAACTTCCTTGTGGATGAAGCCCATTTAAAGCAATCTTCTGACACCTGTCATATAGGAACCTGACACACAGTTCTGTCTGTCAGGATGTGAGCTCTCACAGGCCCTTCTACTTTTTTTTAAGCACTTGTTAAAAATTTTGGGGGGAATTAAAGTGATTAAAACACCTTGGGGAAAAACTGCTCTACTAAAGCAAATCCTAGACATCATGTAATTCCACCAGTAAATACTATTGGATATCATTCTAACAGGTAATGATGGCACCATGGTTGTGTCTTTAAGAATATTAACCATCATTCCTTAGTATTATCTGATATTAAGGAGTTCATTGCTGGTCATTACTACTGAGTTATCACTGGTTCTAGGCCATAATAGTGAACAAACAGCAATTGAAAATAAAATCTGGAAATCTTAGAATTGAGTTGGAAAAAACAGTTTCGTGTATTTTTTAGGGGGAAAATGCATACTTTTAAATGTTATACCTATATGCCATTTCTCTTATACCAAAAATCTTGGTTCTTATATATGTCATTGGATAAACAACAGTCTTACTGCTAATAGCAATTAAATGTTGGTATTTTGAAGTTATAAATGCATGGTTTTAGCCATTCTCTTGTTATTTTGTCCTTATATTGAGGGATGTATGGACAAAACACTATGTTTAAAGGTCACTGAGAATAATTCCTACTTGTGTATGTTTAATGCCCCCAATTTAATATGTCATTAACTTCATTTGCTTCCACTGGTGTTAAAATTTTAGGGACTGCTGAGTTTTTTTCTTTGACTTAAACTTGTTTTTTTAATTATAAAGTATGCAAATGATTTATATGATTTTTCCAATCAAAACAGTTAAACAAGATACATTATGAAGGACCGACTGTCATCTCTGTGTTATCCTCTTATAGATAGCCATTTTTATTTTTCTGATTTATCCTGTTACCATTTCATTTTGAAAATACAAGCAAATGTGTACACCCTCATCTTCCCCCACTTTCTTGAACAAAAGGATATATGCTTTCCACATTGCCCTCACTGTATGACTGTATGGAGGTCCCCGAAATGTACATTGGTATTCCATGGTATGGATATACCATAGATGTGCAAAGGTGATACCCTATTTTTCAGAGGCCCTTTTGAACAATCGAATCCTAGTTGAATATTCTTTCCATTCTTGTAGCATTTATCATATGCCTTGTCTGTAGTCATTAAAATGGATTCCATAATTTTACAAATCTTATTTTCAAGATGAGTTACTACTTGTTTTTAAGCTCCCTGAAGGCAGATACTACATCATTTCTGTCAGTCCTTACTGTATCTTCTCTGAGTCTTTCTTGATCATTGATTTAGTTGTTTTCCCTCTCCTTTCTCTGGCTGTCAGAAAATGGGCATTCTCTGCAGAGGAAATAACAGGAGCAAAGGCACAGAAGCAAGACTGCCAGGGGTGTGTTTGGAAACACCAGGTAGCCCTGGAGTGAGAGCCTGGAGCTGGTGAGGTGAGCAGGAAGGGCTGTGTTGTTAGTTAGCAGGAGGGAAGTCAGATTTCATCCAGGCCAAGGAAAGTCCTATGTGCTCACCCAAAGTCAAGCAAAGAATGAATGCATATATTGAGATCTGACACTCTTAAAGATCTGAAAGTGCTAAAATCAAAAGTGATAAAGGGTGTGTGTGTTGAGGGGCAGATCTGGTGTCACATTCCAGGACAAAGAGGTCTTGAATTGGGGACTGTCAAGCCCTCATGATTACCCAGACTCCTACCCTGGATTCTAGTTTCTGGATTTGTTTTCTACTCCCCATCAGGGCCGTCTGTTCAGCTTCAGCCAGCCTTTTCTGTAAGTCTGTAATTGTCTGCTCCATATTTTCTCTCGTCTTTTGCAAGTGGGCAATGGTATCTTGCTTCTTCTTCAGTTCTTCTGACAAGTTTGCTGCCTGGGGTGGGGGAGAGAGTGAAAAAGGGACTGAGCTAGTGCAGCGGTAAATTGATCTTAACATTTTTACCCATGATCTTCAGTTCCTGGTCTGACTGGCTGCTGCACCTTGCCTCTGTATATGTGATCTCTTCCCATGATAATCTCCCTAACCACTACCACCCTCGAGTTTGTTAACAGTAATGCAATAGAGACAGCAGTAGCTACAGGAAAGAACAGGGTAAGGAGTGGTGGAAACAGACCAAAGATGAAGAACCATATGAACACTATTATGCAACACCTGTATTAAAAGAAAGATGACCAACTGAAGCAATGGCTTCTAATTGAATAAAGTACTGGGATGATTGATTATTGAATAAAGTAACTTGTGTCACATTAATGAACCAGGAAAGATATGGAGAAGTGCCTACAAAAATCTATTCACATCTCACTTCTATAATTCTGTGACTCACTACACAAACAAGTTTGGCTCCAGGAATTTGGCAGTAACAGATGCTCTCACTGCCAATAATCTGGCATGAAAAAGGTTAATTGTGAAGCCTGCTCTTGGCTTTGGCTATGTGTACGAGGGCTTGGTGTCTCGATGCAATCATTAAGAACTGTTTTGAGAATCTCTAGGTGCATTTAATGTAAGAACATGGCCCTCACAGCCAAAGCTTTTCTATCAGGTTACCAACCATCTGCAGAATTTAAGTGTGAGACTTTCATGCAGATGGTGAGGGCAAAGAATGAATTACGTTCCGTGATGTGGGGTTGGGACTCAGAGTTAAACTGTAGGAGGTTTGGAGGGTGGGGTCAGAGATGAGTTCACTTTTCAACACAGTGTCAAGAAAATCTTATCAAGGCAAGATTAAGCAGACAGCATCTTCATAATGTACGATTGCATAAATTTATCAAACAGGAGCACCATTTTTATTCCTTTCTACCTATGTGGATTTTCCTAAATGTTACACATATTTGTTCCCTTGGCCATCAAACATCTTCAAGGTTTCACATACCTCGTTTTCATCAGAGATCAGAATACCTGCCTTGACACAAAACGGAGGAGTGATAGGCATGGTTGCCCATTCTTAGAGGGGGCTGGGTTCTACAATGATTAGGTGGTTGGGATTTGGTACAATGGTTTTGTTTAGTTCCGCAAGTGTTAAATAACTTGAGCAAATACAGACACAAGCTCTTTACCTCCTTTGAATTTTAAAATGACTAACATAAAATATAATCAAATGTCCTGTCTCCTAGTTTAGCAGGGGGGATCTGCTTCCCTTCATGTGGGAGGATCAGGGCTGTTGCATGTGGTTGTGCATTTGATGGGCTGCACAAAAGCTCTTGATGGAGAAGGGGTGAGCAGAGACAGAAACCAAGCCGGAGCCCCACTCTGCAATGGGACCTTCAAAGCTGAATCTGCCACACACAAACCTCCCCCTCCACTAATATATTTCTCCCAGTGGTACCTTCTGCTAACCATGCCCTCTGAGAGAAGTGCTGCATCTGCCCACAGGAGGTACCCAGAGGGTGGCCTTTTTTCAGTCCCTACAAAGGTTCACCAAGGTTGGCAGCCAACTCTGAGTTCAACATCATTTAGGAAAATCACTGCCATCAACAACTGGAAAATAAAGAAAGTATAGCAGCCCTGAAACCCTTTTTTACCAACCTGATTTTGCTCTTCAAGCAGTAGTACAGGTTGTAAAAAAAAAAAAAAAAAAAAAAAAAAAAAGTGAATTAAGCATTCTTTCCAAATCATCATCATAAAACTGTTATAGACCCTAGGAAAAATAGCTTTTTGTAAGGAAACACAGAAAGAATTGTTTCTAGACACTAGATATATTGATTCACAAATGAAAAGTGGCTTAACCGAAACAAAAGAAGACTCCTGCTTCTTTTGTTTATATATAAGGTTTTGCTTATAGCAATTCAACTGCTCCTTTTCATCACCAGGGTATGTTAGTGGGAGGAGCTAATTGGCCTAATTTTTCAAGATGAGAACAAGGAGGCAGAGAGGTCAGACTAACCTCCTCTTGGCTGTATGGGAAATCAATGGAATACTTTTTGGCTGCAGATGTGCCCCTGCCCCTTGGCCACTGCGCCACTGAACTCTGGGAGACAGGATTGAGTAGGTGGTCAATGGACCCACCTCAGTGGCTGCCTTCTTGGCCTTCTCTTCTGCATTTTGACACTCCTGCACCACCTCTTCAGCTTCTTTCTGCATCTGGGCAACATCAGCCTCCAGTTTCTTCTTCTGGCTGAGGAGGCTTGTGTTCTAAAGAAAAGCAGCATTCCTATTAGGCAAGTAAAAGCCAGCAATGTAAATGCAAGCTGGTCTGTTCAGGACATGCAATGGGAGTCAGCTCTGGCCAGAAGCAAATTTTATTATAGTGAGCCATATTCCCTTAAGCTATGCTCCCAACCCCAAAAGGCTTTTGCCATCAAACTTGAATGGAAGGGATTTCACCCATTAAAAGTTCAGGACTAAAGAGATTGCAGCCTGAATCAGAAGGGAGGAATGGTATCTAGATAACCTACAAGCCTCAAACATGCGTTTGGTTTTCAATGGGTTGAGGAAATGTTTCTCTGCCATTTGCTTTTGGATGTGGTAGAAACAAGTGTTCTAGAGCAGAAGTTGGGGTCAACTGCAGACATCTGAGGGGCAGAGGTTGGGGAATAAAAATTGTAAATCCCAGTATGCTGCTCCAGAAACAAAAAAAATCATTCCTCTTCTTTTTCTACTTCCCTTCCTATCTTACTTTACAGTGAGGAGGTGGGGAAAGTAGTTCAGAATAAGCCTCCTCCTCCAGCCCTTAGGTACCCTCATTACCACGGAGGATTCTTTGTGTTCTATGGTTGGTGCTGCCCTAATTCTTTCCTTCCTGAGTTGTGACACTAGAGGTCAAATATCCTTTTGCTGCTATTTGGTCTGTGTTTGAAGCCCAGCTTTTCTGAGGGTGTGAAAACTCAGTGTATATAAAAGGCATAGGCTTTCTATTTTTTTATTTCTCCTTTCACTTTATCCATTTCACATTCACTTGCCTCTGGCTAGTGCCTTTCTCAGTAGCACGATGAAGACTTGGAAATAGAAAGATATGCCAGGCCAGGTGCGGTGGCTCAGACCTGTAATCCCAGCACTTTGGGAGGCTGAGGGGGGTGAATCTCCTGAGCTCAGGAGTTTGAGACCAGCCTGGGCAACATGGCGAAATCCCATCTCTACCAAAACTTTTACCAACAATAGCTGGGTGTGGTGGCATACACCTATGGTCCCAGTTACTCGGGAGGCTGACGTGAGAGGATTGCTTGAGCCTGGGAAGCGGAGGTTGCAGTGAGCTGAGATTACACCATTGCACTCCAACCTGAGTGACAGAGTGAGACTCCGTCTCAAAAAAGAAAAAAAAAAAAAATAGAATGATATTCCAGCATCACTGGTTCTATCTACCCCACTTTCTCTATGACATGAAGCATCTTTATCGAGACTGCCATCTTTTGTCCTTGTGGAGAGCCAGGCCCTGGATACCTCCAAGATTTCCACTGCCATGGCCTGAGAGATGGGGTGGAAATAAGTTGTATTTTCCTGAAGTGTTTTTTGGATGCTCACAGCACAGACCCTATAGAAACTATTTCTTTGTAGAGGAAGGTACAAGTACAAATACTAATTTGTTTGTAGATAGAATCATTTAAAATTTGCTAGGGAGACAAGGGCTTAAATCTTTGCAAACTGAATTACTCTCTAATTTGTTATTTTTATTTTTTTTAGGAGAAAGGGAGTTAGGGGGTATTTTGCAGAAAGGTAATCTAGATTGTCACAGCTCAGGTTTGAAAAAGGCACTTGTAATCAGTCAAAGATAAGTTTAGCCTCATATGTTAGTCCTAGGCTAGAGATCTGGAAATGCAGCAGGTAGCTAAGAAGGCTCCCTAAAAGGTTCAATATGTTTTGCTCGGTAATGTTCTAGTAACTGCAAGGTGCCCCAGCATGGTTTAGGTTGAGGAGAGGTCCTTGTGAATGATATAATATCACCTAGACCAGTGCTGGCCAAAAGGTACTCTTTCTATGAGCAGTAGCACCTGAGAACGTGTTCACTTTCTAGGTCCCAACGCAGAGCTTCTGATTTAGTGGATCTGGGGTGAGATCTGAGAATTTACATTTTTTTGTGTTAGGGATTCTTATATGTACACATCAAGTTTCAGAAACTCTGCCCTAGAGATCAGGTCTCCCCTGCCTAATTTTCTTCTTCCCCAAATCCTCTCCTCTCTATGCATGCTTTTTCTCTAACTGATCCTCATCTCTCTCTAGGCTAGTGATTTTGCATCATATTGGATCCCACTGGTGCATTATTATGTATGATATGCATGGCAAATGATTTGTTACCAATAGCAATTAAGTACTATAGACCAGTGGTCCCCAACCCTTTTGGTTTCATGGCAGAAAATTTTTCCACAGATCAGGTAGGGGGGTTGGGTTGGGGGATGGTTTGGGGATAAAACTGTTCCACCTCAGATTATGAGGCATTAGATTCTCATAAGGAGCATGCAGCCTACATCTCTCACATGAGCAGTTCACACGAGCGTTTGCGCTCCTATGAGAATCTAGCGCTGCTGCTGACCTGACAGGAGGCAAAGCTCACTCCCCTGCAGCTCACCTCCTGCCATTGCAGCCCAGTTCTTAGCAGGCCCCAGACCTGTACTGGTCTGTGGCCCAGGGGCTGGGAAGCCTTGCTCTAGACAGTGGATGAGTTACTTTTTTAAAAGTCTATAGTCCATTTTATAAGAATCCAACTCATTGTATTTAAACTTTCTTGAAGAAGAAAAAAAAAATGTTTGAGTTAGTTTGTTGGGAATTATCTATAACCTACAGACTATTTGTTCTATACCACGTGGTACCCAGATGGGATTGTGTCATAGACAGGGAAAAAAAGGTCAAACTGTAGGCACAAACTAATTGCAACATATTTCAACAGGCACATTACTGGTTTATACTTTCTTTTATCCAGTATTTTTCAGTAGGGGACAACTGGCATTCTGGAAGGCGCAGTTCCTTGGGCTATCACCTTGAAAGAGTTTTGATGTCTCTGACCCTACTCACTAAATGCCAGTGGTATTGCCCAGTCACTGTGGCAACCAAAATGATCCCACAGATAGTTCTGAATGCCCCAGAGTGTAGCAGTTCTGCCCTTAGGTGCTTTAAACTGTCCTTCACAATAATCACCAGAGTAAAACTTCCTAAAATGCAAATCTGATAAGTTCACTCTTAGCTACTCAAAATTCTTCAGTGGATCTCCATGAGCTGCAAGACAAAATTCAAATTCCATCAGTCTCAGGCTCAGGGTCCCTGGTGACCTGGCTCTGCCTATCTCAGCATGATTTCTGCTCCTTCTGGCTATCCACCCAATACTCTAGCATGTGAATTTCCCTTAGACTCATAAACTCCTTCCCCCCACACCCCATGCCTCTGCCCTTAACTTTTCTCTCTACCTGGCTGGCTTCTTAAATGTCCTTCATGACTCAGACGAAGCATACTGTGCATCTACCTAACTCTCGGATTGTCAAGGAAGGCCTTCTGTAGGGGTGTGCTTGCTCTATCATTATACTCTTAGCAGTGTACTACAATTGCTTAGTTCAATCTTCATTTTTTTAGGACAGTGGAGACATTCTGTGTCTACATCACCCATACCAGTCCAGGTTATGGGGGGGGGGGTGCCCTATAAACACTTATCACACAACCCATTTACTGTAGATGCTTGTCCTGGAAACTATGGCTTCTTCTGATTCTAGGAGAAGGAGAAGGATTTAAGAATTCTTGCTTCATGTCACTTACATAACCTTCCATTAGAAGCCAGAGTCTGGACAGCGTATCATATCTGTCAGCAGCCACTCAGAACTGTCACGGCTTTCCTGGCTCCAAGGCGGAGCACTGTTTTTATTCTGGGATGCTGGGGAAGCACATGGCTTAGAGAGAGCAGGAGAACCAGGAGCAGGAGTGGTTCTGGAACATTAGGAGATGCTCATCCCTCCCTCCCCAGCATCCTGGCTGTGGATGCCCTGACAATCCATTCTTCTGGCATAAGGCTTATTGTTATGGGTTGAATTTTGTTTCACACACACACACACACACAAAGATATGTTGAAGTCCTAACCCCCAATTTATCAGAACGTGACCTTATTTGGAAATACGGTCTTATTTTGTTTAAAAGGAAACTAGAAAAAAGGGAAGCAGTGGGGTAAACGAGTTAAAATGAGGTCATTAGGGTAGAACTTAATCAAATATGACTGGTACCCCTATAAAAAGTAGCAATTTGGACAGCAACAGACCCTCACAGGGGGAAGATGCTGTGAAGACACAGGGAGAACACTATGTGAAGGCAGAAGGTTGGAGTGATGCATCCATAAGCCAAGGAATGGCAAAGATTGCCAGTAAGCCACCAGAAGCTAGGAAGGGGCAAGGAAGCATTTCCCTACAGGTTTCAGAGGGAGCATGGCCCAGCTGACACTTTGATTGCAGGTTTTCAACCTCCAGGAATGCGAGAAAATAAACTTCCATTGCTTTACGCCACCCTGTTTGTGGTACTTTGTTATGGCAGCCTGAAGGAAATAACATACTTGGGAATAAATGAAGAGTATGACTGTGGCTCTGCTGCACAGCCTGTCCCTGTGCTTCACAGGCATATCCAAGACTTAACAGGGCAATTGTGCATGGTCCAAGGCTGCAACTGCATGGTCCAAGTGTGGGAACCACTGCCTTCAACCAACTGGCCCAGCTAATACGGAGAGTATATGGGCCCCACCTGGGTATAGAAAAGATTGATTCTTTCTGTTGCTTCCAGGAGCTCTTCTTCTGACAGCCTGCGGCCACGCTCTGTCTGCTCTTGCAAGGACCTTAGATCCTCTAGTTCAGACTGAAGAAGAGAGTTGCGCCGCTCAGCCACAGCCACCTGCTCCTTCAGATCACTGTTCAGTTGTGTGCTGTCATCCAGCTGCATCTGAAGGTCCTGTGAGAGAAAAGATGGGCCTGGAGTACAGATCCCTCTGAGTTCAACATAGACTATGCACCTATGTATGCATGCTCTGACCATAGTTCTACGTATTTAGACATAAGCATGCTCCTTCACTCTGGAAAGATTGTATTTGTTGTCCTCATCTTTATTGCTGAACACAACAATCTGTTGCTTAGTTTACTTCCATAAGCAGAAACATTTTCCACCCCTCCCTACCCCATCTTACAGTTTTAAAATACCTTGATTTGAATCTGAAGCTGGCCCATGGATTTGGTTGCCTCTGACACCTGCCGGTTGGCACAGCTAAGCTGGAGTTCCATCTCATTGAGGTCCTCTTCCATCTTCTTCTTCAGCCGGGTAGCCTCAATTCTGCTCTTAGCTTCAGAATCCAGACTAGACTGCATGGAGTCAATGGTACACTGCTGTTTCCTCCTAATTTGAAATAACAGTTGGAGTGGGGGAAATGATACATCCAAATTAATCAAATTCACCTGCTATGTTTAAAACAGTACAAGAAATAGAAAAAATAAACTAAAATCCAAGAAAAATATTAAGTAACTAACAAAATAAGTCTAAGGGCTTTTATTTTAAAAACAGAGAGAATGAGAAGTTAGGTTAGTGAGTATATATCCACCATAATGGACTAAGTAAGGTTTCCAGACCAACTTCCCTGAAGAATCCAAGAAAATACAAGAAGCTTTTCAAGGTTCCTGTGAGGCAGCTTTAGTCTCATCTGATACCCCATAAAGGATGATCTAGGGCAAGCACCTGGGTTTCCTGTGGTGGCTAAGGATGAAGGAAGGATGCTCTTTCAGACAGCCATAATATTTCAACTACTTTCAATGGTGAAAAATATCTGAACAAGGCAGGAAAAAGCCACTCAGGTTGGAACAATTCCTGAGATGCAGCAATACTGCTACAGTAGCCTGGAGACACAACTCTCCTAGAATAAAATGGTTATCTTTCTCTAGGAGTTTGAGAATACACCCAAGGATTGGCTGACAAAACCAATTGTGTGATACTGAATTACTTTAACACTTTAAATTCCCTCCTAAGAACAAAAACTAGAACTAAAAACGTATTTGCAAAGTGACAGAAAACAATAGCTATGTGTTTAGGAAGGCCATAAAAAAATAAAAAATTGAGAGAATCCATGGGAATTTTTATTTCCCAAACTGTAGTTAGTTTGGGACCATGTGACTAGATTCTGGTAAATGCACTGTGGGCAGTAATGAAGTTTACCATTCCAGGGCTGGCCCATAGAAATGTTCACTTGTGAGTTCCTGCACTCTCCCTTCCCCCCTTCTGCCAAACTTGATGGCCACATACAGAAGATCATGGAATCACAAGATGGAAAGAACTTGGGTCTTTCAATGACTTTGAATGTTATTGACCCACTCTTCATCCTACCTCACAATGGCCTCAAACATAGGCAAAAATAAACTTCTATTTGTTTTAAGTCACCAAGATTTGGTGATTGTTAGGACAGTTTAACTACTATAATAGACATATGCCCTGTTAAGCTCAATTCAGAAAATAGGGACCTGGTGCTGGACAGATAATAGAGAACAGAGAAGGCAAAAGCCTTTCTATTCTTCTTTTTCATAGAACCTATCTACACAAATTAGATTAGATCAGAATTCGATTCCATGTTGAATTGTCATCAAGTCAGTGTCCTAACCTCTGTGAGGTCGATCAAGAAAGCATACAGGCCGGGCGCAGTGGCTCATACCTGTAATCCCAGCACTTTGCAAGGCTGAGGTGGGCAGATCACCTGAGGTCAGGAATTCGAGACCAGCCTGGCCAACATGGTGAAATCCCATCTCTACTAAAAATACAAACATTAGCTGGGCGTGGCAGAATGCATCTGTAGTCCCAGATGAGGCAGGAGAATCACTTGAACCCAGAAGACAGAGGTTGCAGTGAGTCAAGTTCACACCGCTGCACTCCAGCCTGGGCAACAAAGCAAGACTCTTGTCTCAAAAAAAGAAAAAACGGCATACGACCTACAGGGGGAAGAGAGGGGTCAGAGCTTGAAATTGGTTGACAGGTGGAGGTGCTGCTTTTCATGACCTCCATTCTGCCCATTGGTGAGGGAGGCCTTAGAAGCAATTATGGAAATGTATAGAAAATAACTCTGTCTGACTCCAGAGTCCAATGTGAGCACCTGTCCTCTGCCTGTCCTTAGGCTCTGGGCTTTTGTTCAGCTTCCAGATCAGAATCCTATAGGGATCTCAGTAGGTAAAGTTAATATGGACTTTTAGGGACTGCATTATGTCCCCCACAAAATTCATATGTTCTTGCTTTACCCCCAAGACTTCAGAATATGACTATATTTGGAGATAGGGCCTTTAAAGATGTAATTAAGATTAAATGAGGCTGTTAGGATGGGTCCCTAATCCAATGGGACTAGTTAGTGTCCTTATAAGAAGAAGAAGAGACACAGGGATGCATGTGCACAGAGGAAAGAACAGATGAGGATGCAGTGAAAATGTGACCATCTGCAAGCCAAGGAGGGGCATTGGGAGAAACCAAACCTGCCAACACTTTGATCTTGAACCTTTAGTCTCCAGAGCGGTAAGGAAATACATTTCTGCTGCTGAAGCCACCCATCTGTGCAATTTGTGTTGACACCTGTAGTAAACCAGGACAGGGATGCTCACACTCCACATCACCAAAAGCTGTCAAACACTTATCTGTCCTACACTGGGAAACTCGCATTTTTGCCACAGTTGACACTCCTTACACAGGAACACTGAAGCATCCCTAGCCTGGTGTCAAAATCCTCTGTACAGAAATACATTCTACTTAAGCAGGCAAACTGCATGTTTTAAACTACACTTTTCCCACAGTTGTTTATGAAACTTCATGAGTGCCTGCAGACAAGTAAAAAGTGAGATGCTTTAAGAGACATGGGTATAATACAGTCCTGGAGAATGGCTGCTAAACAATCAACACATTTCATACAGAGTCAAGAAATCTTTAAAATGAAAACTCCCTCAAGTACATTCTTTAAGAAAAACGATGCATCCAAGACCAAGGGCAATATAGGAAGAAGTACCTTCTTTTTCCTAAAATGTGAAACACAATTTAAAAGACCAAATGCAAAGAAAAATCAAGATGATAGAACTTTGAAGAGCTAATGATTTTAAATCATTAGTTCAGCATTTAAATCATTGACAATGCAATAGGTCATTTATTTCCCTTAAGATATTTCTAATCTATGTCAGAGAAATAAGGGATTTTTTTCTTAATCCAAATACATATGAGCCAGCTTTAAAATAATTAACAAGTTATTTTGCTACCATGTCTGAGTTTGAGATTCTAATTTTCAAAGACATTCGAAAATATTTTACTTAGAAGTGGGAAAAGATTTGAGCATATTCTGGCAGAGATTCACTCAGACAATAAAAGAAACCAAGTCAGATGTATATATAAATTAAGACCACGTGGCAAAGTTTGACATGACTGAGATCAGAGGAGTGGACTTTACAGAAGGAACATTACTATGTACCTGGGGCTCTAGACTAGGGGTGGGAAAACTATGGGCTGTGGGCCAAAATCCCACCATGCCCATTTATTTCCTATTGTCTATGGCTGTTTTCAACCTACAACTACAGTGTTAAGTAACTGCCACATCTCTGTGGCAAACGAAACGTGTAGCTAGCAAAGCAGAAAATATTTAACATCTGACCCTTTAGAGAAAAAGCTTGCTTAGCCTTTCAATCAGTGATTAACCAAAACAAACAAATGCAGTATGATAGAATAAGGATTTCAGTGCCTCATTCCCAAAAACACCTCTCTGGGTGTGTCTGGGAGAACAGAATACAGCTCAGAAAGACCATGGCTGTGGACCAGTATGATGACTCTCATGTTTCAACATTTCCTCCAATCAGAGAATTACCTGAAGATGCAGGATGCACCTGACCAACCTGTTGTCAGCTCAGTCTTGGGCCATGCAGTAGGCCTTCAAGCTGGCCTCGTTTCCTCTGTCTAATAAGATGGGAAGATCAAAGCCAGCTACCAGCTCTTCTTCTCCTTCCATCAGTGACTGCACCATCACCTCCCTACCTCAGCCTATGCCAACTATAACATTATTTATTTATTATAGAAATAAATAGAATACCCTATCATCCAAAAGTGTCTATGAAGGCCTGACTAGAATATGAGGCAGTGTCTGGTGAACATTAAGCACTCCAATATCTGTTGAACAAGTGAAACATATCACACACATACCAGCTGTTTGTACTTTTCACCATCAACAGGCATCCAGGCTGGGCTCATTCAGAATCAGGCCTCACCAGAGTGGAAGACATGGCTTGGCAGCAGAGCATGAGTTGAATGAGTTACCCAGTTTGCTGCACTATGAAGGTTTTCCTTTGCCTGTGGGTCACTTTCTCTTGCTTTTTGGTCCCTTTAACTTACTCACCAGGTCCTGTCTTCCTGGGAACCTTCTGTTTCTGTGGAGTTAATGATGGGTTATATGGGCATATGACCTGGAACCTGATCTTGCCCTCAGGCAATATTTTCCTTGTTCTATAACTTCCCTGGCTTATCCTTGATTGCTTGGAATCTTGTACTTGGCTTATTTTGTTTTTCCTGGCATTCTATTCAGTTTCCTTAAGATGCCCTGCTAGCCCCAAAGTCAAACTATCGGATTAAACCAAGGCATTTTGGTACAATCTATGCTCCGAGTAGAAAGGGTCTGGGCTGGTATTTGTGATATTTTGTAAAATAAGCTCATCTTTTCTTTCTGGATATTCCTATTATAGTTATTATGAATCATTAACTAAAATTTATGAATAGCTCGTCCCCCTGCTTCCAGCCCACCCCTTCTTTTCTCAGCTCCTCATGGCTTATGCCTATTCTTCAGTTCTTTCTTCTTCCAGCCCTAGCTCTTTGGATCTCTGGCTTTTTTTCACACTAAGATTCTTACAATTGGTGAACTGCTCTACGACATTCAGATGTACCTGACGAGACACAGGCCCTCTGAGGATTCATTTCTCCTCAGCTGGGTTTATTTATAGGCACAGGTCTGATATTACTTGAAATCAGTGTTATTTGTTGCTTAAATCAGTGTTATTCGTTGCTTTTTTTAAATCTGCACAAGGAGACATTCATTTTTATTCCTGGTGGAAAGAAGTAGGGCAAATATCAAGGCCCAAGGTTTTTGCCCTTCATCAAAAAAATTCTTTTAGACACTGACTCAGAACCTCTTAAGTAGATCAGAATTCCTCGCCACAGTCAGTCCTATAGAAGAAAGTGCCAGTGAGTGAGAGCAAAGATAACTCAAAGCACATAGAGGGCCAAATTTGGCTTGACATTCTCATTAAAAAATTGACCCCCTTGAGAGTTTTGTCTAAAAATGGGCTACAGGAAAGAGGTCAGTTCAATTGAACATGTTAACAGGGGTTTTTTTTTTTCTTTTTCTTAAAAAAAAATGGTTTAACAAATACATTGAAAGTAAGTTGCCAATTGAATCTCAGGCTCAAATGATTTTTCTTGCTAACATATGGCATTGACTTAAGGGAACAGATTAGATAATATAATCATCGTTAATTCCATGTGTTTATAATTGTGCCTTTGATCTACAGCGTGTGAAGTGCTTTGCCAACATCAGACTACTGATCTTCCTCACCACCTTCTGTGACATGTAGGGGCTGCTTTTATCCCCTCACTTCACTGAGAAGCTAAGAAGTGGAATGTCTAAAGTCATCAGCTTGTTATGACAAAGCTAAGAAAAAATTCTGCAACCCATGAGTCCTGTCTAATTCAGTTTCCTGACTATTAAGACTTAGCTGCTTTAACAAAGATTCAATAAGCAGCTTAGCTCTTGGCTTCTGCTCCTCTTCAAACAAATGGCTACAGGTACAAGCAGGGGGTATGGGAAAACTTCACTCTGGTCTGAAAGTACAGCATTGAATTTTTAATTTTTTTCTCCATGGCTCAGCATTTTCAGTCAATTTCTCAATGCCCAAGAAAGTGGCATTATAGGGACATGCAGACAGTATGCAGAGTCCTTATACATATAATCATTTATTTGGTGTTATCTTGAGTCTCATATGACAGCAGAAGCTCCTCAAATATAAGAAAATTATAAAATCCAGCAATAATTATATATAGATATTCCTTTATATCAATAGCGGTGAGCTCTCACCACTATTGATATAAAGGAATATCTATATACAATTGTGTATAAAGGGATATCTAATTGTGTATAAAGGAATATCTATACATGATTATAAATATTGTATATAAAAGATACTAATATACAGTTACACTAAGTTTCTTTGGTAATACTCCAACAGGGGCCATAAAAGCAACTGGACATAATGAGCTCTGTTTAGTCAAGGATTCAGAAATACATAATTGTTACATATCAAAATCATCTTAAATACCTAAAATTTTCTAATTCTTCATCTTTCTCTGAAAGCTTTCTTTCAAGTTCTGCTTTAGCTTTCAAGAGTTCAAGCTGGAAACGAAGAATCTTGCTTTCATTACGTTCCAAGGCTCCCTGGAATACATAGATAAAAAGCATTAAATGAAGTCCACTTTTAGACAAAAATTTTATTTTTTTCCCAAAACATATGTCGCTAATGTAGCTCTCTTAGAGTTACTGGGAAAGATATAGGTTCAAGTCAGGTCCCTAGAGACTGCAACACAGTGAGACAAGCAACTGCTTTCATTTGTCATTTCACTTATAGATTTGACATTCTTAGGTCTTTCAGCTGTAGCTCCAGAACTAGAATTTTAAAGCCTATTTTAAAATAGAAAATTTGAGTCTTGTCTGTGGCTATATTTAAGCTTTTTAATGTATTACTCTTGACTTTTTCTAACATATTCCAACTATGGGATAAATTTTAAAAAGTATCAGAGCTAGAACAAGGAAGGTGATAACTCCTACCTGGAATCTTCTATTAAATTCTGGACATCACGAGGGAATAGAGGAAAAGTTGGATGCATTCAGAGAACAAACAACATGGTAGTGTCCAAATATTGTCATGTGAAGAGCAAATAAAGGAATTTAGGATGTATCTGACACGTAACACTCAGCGTGAGCCATTATAACCATAATTGGTACCACTACTGCAAATGAATTGCTTTGATAGGCAGGAAGATTCCCTGCCCCTTTGTGTATTCAAATATAGTTAAGGCAATTATTTGCAGGGATGTTATAAAGGCAATTCAATTCTAAAAGCATAGGTTTGGCTAAATCTTTAAAGCCTGTCCTGAAGCTAAAAATGTATATAAAAGAAGAAACCCAAAAAGCACTTGCAGAATACCAATGATATAAGGGCATAAGGGGTGATGCAATTTTGTGGTCAGTTAGCTACAGGCAGTCCTAAAGGCAGAAGTAATTTTTTTATAGCCTCTTTTGAGGAGTGCTTAGCAGATACGACCAAAAGTAAAAAAGTAAAACTGAGTTGCAATTTTAAAATAAAAATAAAAAGATGATGGGAATTTTAATAAGACCTCCCTTGATGTTCTCTTGATACTACCTTCAATATAAAAGAAAATAAAATTGCTAACGCACACTCAAAAACAAATGCTTGGATAATAGTTTCCTCAGAGGGAATAGTGTAGTTCCTTCAAGAGGAGACTGTCACCTCTAACCCTCTAAAATGCACTGAGAAAGTGAATCTTTAGGGAAGACGACCTGGGATAATTTGAGTTTCATGGCTTTAAAACAATCTGATACAGTTTCTCATAAAGGCTCACCCAGGAAAATAAATAATGCAATGCTACAAATACATGTCCAAGTTGATGAAGTATTTATGGAGGTGGCTGATGACAGTTGAGAAAATGCGAATAGAACGCATTGCCATCTAGTGGTACTAAATGGTTTGAGCACTCTGGCCTTCCTGTCATTCTCACCCTTGACCCATGTGCTGATCAACTGAATATACAAAGATGCCTCTATGTTATACAGGACAAAAATTGCCAGTGCCAGTTGTATTTTTCATTGACTTGTCATAGTGCTTGAAATTTCTATCATAAAATTTACTTCTTTTAGTTAAGGTGGTGGCTTCAAAAAGTCCCTTGCCAGGATGGCCAGAGAACCAAAGGGAACAAGTAAACAAAACAAAGTTCACCAGCTGTATAAGGACCAGCTGTGCTAGAGGGCACCACACTGCCAACCAAAAGGAGTCTGTATAAAGTTAGATAGCCTCAGGAAACGTGTATGCATAACAGGGCAAGAGCTGCTGCCTGACAACTCTATACGGAGGGTAATATGGAAACATTTGCTTGGCAAGTTTCTTCTGGAATCATAATGGTGAGGTAAATGTAACAGACAATGCTTGGCACAGAGCGGTCCTTTGGGGTCTTGTTTTCCATCACCATACCTTCCAAAAGGCCCCTACCTAACACTGACTGCCACATCTTTCAAAAATCTTTTTTCATTTTCTACTGGTGGGAGGGTAGGGCTGTATTTTAATGTGTCTGAGTACTTGCTCAAAGGTTGAGTCAGGAAGACGAAGTTCAGCTCTGAGAAGAGGCTACACAGGGCTTCTTAACCACCTAATAATCATGATAGGGTGACTTCCTCCTCGTTAGTTTACCTTCTTTGGCAAAACATCTTCTTAGAGGTCCTTTCAATTGCTAATGCACACTCAGAGATAAAGTCAGAGACTTTTCCTGAACTGTGAACCCATAACACTGAAAACTTTCCTGTCAATCTGCACAAAGATGAGCTTTCAGAAACCACTGTTTGACAGCATTGCTTTGAATCTTATTTCCAAAACTACCAAAAGTTTTTGGGGAAAAAAAATTGAAAAGTTTTTGTGACTGACTCTTTAAAGAGGGGACAGCTATGAGAATATTTATTCATTCAACATTTGACAAATATTTACTGAGCCTCTACTACACGCCAGGCAATGTTCTAGGCCAGTGCTTCTCAAATATTAATGTGCATATGAACCACCAAGGGATCTTGTTAAAATGCAGAATCCTGATTCAACAGAGATGGGCAGAGGGCTGAGATTCTGAATTTTTAACAGCCTTCCAAGTGATGTCCATGGGCCACATGTTGAGTAGTGAGGGTCTGGGCACTGGGGATAACTGGCGAACGAGATAGACATAGTTCCTGTTTTTACTACAATCAGGAGATTTGCATTCACTGTTTGTATCCTGCTCTCTGAGTCTCAATTTCCTCTTTTATAAAATGGGGACAGTAGTTTGCTACAGTGATTATATTAAAATTATGCATTTGGCAGAGTGCCTAGCATATAGTAAATAAACATTTGAATACATGTCCTTTTGTTGGTGCTGTTGTTATTGCTAGAATGCAAATCTTCTGCCTTGTCACAGTGAAAACTTTCTTTTCTCCCTGGTGATAATACCTCTGTTTCTTCCAGAGTCACCTGGACTTCTGTCTTCTCCTGTTCAATTAGTTTCTTGACCTTTTCCATTTCAGTTAAGTTCTTGGTCCCTTCTCTAACCTGGTTTGTCAGATTAGAAATCTCTTCTGGAGAGAGAGGTAAGAAAAACAAAGTTAGTGAAAGGGCTCAGTCTCAAACCAATGATACCAGGCACAACAGACTGTTCCAGCCCACTGGAACAGTGGCCTCATGCCACCCTTGGTAACTTGATGACCTAGCCCATATGGGACCTAGAAATTTTAAAGGCATTCATTTTTTCATATAGTCTTTTGCCATCTGAAAATTGTCTACAACAAATGGTGAGGATGGTGCTTCAGAATATTGTACACTAGACAACCTTTGCAACTTTGCATGGCAGTCCTGCTCATTAGAGCCATTCCAGGTTCTACCTGGAGGAACACAGACCTGGAGTCCCTACCCTTCCAGTGTAAGTGCTTAGCTATCAACACTAGTGGCTGCCATTGTTTCAGTCACCACTCGACACCGAGACAGGAACTTAAAGTAGAAGCTGGATCACTATCTGCCAGCATCCAAGGCGTGGCTCCAGATAGGCCAGAGAATCAGAAGGGGCCCAAGTGGCTTTAGCTCAAGCACTTCAGTGTTGTTTCCTAGCCTTTCATGAACATTAGCCTTTGACAAACAGAATAGGACATCCAGAAGTCAAAAACCTCTTCCACCTGATATTGTTATGGTCAGTTCTGCCTTTAGTACCTAAGAGGTGTGGTATAGGGCCAAGTAGCTCAGAGAATTACCAAGTTCAGAGGTGGTGGAAGGAGCTCAATAAGTCACCTGCTCCTCTGGTTCTGAGATCTGGGCTGTGATGTGATATGATGAGAATTTTTAGAAGTTACAAAGACAAATATGTTAGACGGAAATTTTCATTGCATAATAAATTCTTCTCTGATAAGCTCTCTCTTAAAGATGGGTTATCAAGAAGAAAATCAGGGAAGAGGTTCTCAACTCTGACTGCACCTTAGAATCACCTGGAGAGCTTTGGAAAAAGCTCACTCAATATTCAACCCCCACCCCCCCAGTCCAAAGGTGGTGCCCAGATCAGCAGCACCGGCCTCACCTGGAAAACTGTCAGAAATACAAATCCTTCAGACCTACTGAGTCAGAAACTCTGGGGGTGGGCCCCAGCCATCTGTGCTTTAACAAACCCTCCAGCTGGTTTGGATGTAGCTAAAGTTTTCTAACCACTGTTTTAGCACCCCTCATGTCCCCAGCTAGTGCCTTGATCATAGACTATGTAGGTCAACAGAAAGTAAGCTTCATTTACGCCTCCAACAGTAATGAACTTGCTTCCAGGGCATCTCAGGGTTTTCATGCACATTGCTGTTGGTGCTGGGATAAGTTGGCAGCCTCTTTGAAGGGCTGTTTGGCAGTAAATCAAAATTTAAAAATTCATTTCATTAACCCAGCAATTTCTTTTCCAGGGATCCATTCTACTGAAATATTTTTACATGTGCATAAATACATGTATAGGGATGTATAATGTAGGATTATTCATATTTGTGAATAATTGGATCTAAAATGAATAAAGTATAGTTAAATGATAGCCATCTTTATTACAAAACACTATGTAGCTATTAACAGGCTTGTGGTAGGTCTCCATGTACAGGCATGCAAAGAGCCACAAGGTACGTGGGAAGGTTGCACAGCTCAGTAGTTAAGTGCGTATATGCTGGAGCCATGGCTGGGCTCAAATCCCAGATCTGCGACTTATCAAATGTGAATTTGAACAAGTTACTCAACTTATGACCTATATAACCTTCATTTTACATATGAGAAAACTTAACACTAGACTATTCTGAAAATTTAACAATAAATAGTTAAACAGTGCCTGGTACGTAGTATGGGCTATAGAAATATTCATTAAATCGGGAAATATATTCATATATGAAAAAATAAAACGTGTAGAACAAAATGTAGTTCGGGTAAAAAATACACCCTTGAGTATAGCACACATGGAAAATCTTGGTAAGGTTGTGGATATCAAGAAATTCTCATCAGTGGCTTCCTTTACAGAGGAGAACTGAAGTTAAAGGCAGGAAACTAGTCTTCCTTTTAGAATTAATTTCATACAAATAGCATCTAAAATTAAAAAAAAAAAAAACGGTCAAACAGAAGTATAAAAATTGAAAAGTTAAAACATGATGGGAACGTGAAAATGCTGAAGACAGCTTTGCCTGTAGCCAGGGCTCTCCCTGAGCTACCCACTCCGGCTTTGGCTCCGAGCCCAGCTTGGTGTACCTTGGAGGTTCTTGTTCTCCCTCCTGAGTGTCTCCTGGCCCACGATGCTCTCCTTGTAGGCGTGCTTGAGCTTGAGGAGCTCTGTACTGAGAGCCTGGATTTCCTTCCGAGAGGCATCCAGCAACGTCTGCGACTCCTCATGCTTCTGCTTCCAGTCCGCAAGGGCCTTGCCAGACTGCAGCTGCTTCTGGTCCAGCCTGGCTGCTGCAGAGCGGACCTTCCCGAGGTCAGACAGGGCGTCCCCGAGCTCCAGCTGCAGCCGGTGTCTGGCTCTCTCCAAGGAGGCATTTCTGGCATTGGCCACCCCCATGGCTTCCGCTGCCTCCTGCAACCTAATTGCCAGTTCCTTCCTGAGAAAGGAGGATACCCAAAGAGTGAGTGAGGCAACAACTCTCAGAGAGCTCACCAAGTCTGCCCTGGATTAAAGATAGAGCTTGGGTGCAAAGTAAGATGGCACCTCTGCAGTGGACTTAGTGGTACAAAGCAACAGCAGCTCCTATCTGAAAGTGACCTCACTGTCTGTGACCACCATCTTCTGCCTCCTGTGTGCATGGGGTCTTTATTTTCCCCCTTTGCAAGCTGCACTTGGAACTCTGGATCTCTTTGAATTCCTACAAGTATTTGCTTATCCTAAATCTCTAATAAGCAATACTGACTTGATTATTTCCTAAGAAGAGGGAAAAAAGGAAGATTGTACTGAACACCCTACCAACAGTAAGCACCTTTCAAATCTGTAGCCATGTGTAGTCACTAAAGAGCTTCTTGGCTGTGTTGCTTCTAAAGAACACTCTCTTGCTTTTTCCTGCTTATTCTCTCACATCATGTGGCTCCTAAACATGACACAATTATTTCTTCTCTCCGAGTGTGTTCTCCACCTCAGCTCCTCTCTCCAGATTTATATTCCCAAACCCATCTCATTATGCTCACTCAACAGGTCCTGCTGTTCTTATGGGGTACTTTAGCCCCCATCTGCTGTTCCTTGGGCATCTCTGAGATGGAGTGGTTTATTACAATGCTTCTTTCTCCACCACCCCCATAATATGCTACTATTAGGAATTCTAACGGATGAAATGTGTTCTGTTGCTTACATCTCCTGCAGGGTTGTTGGCAGTCCCATTCTTACTCACTTATTATACTTCTTAGATGAAAAGTACTATATGTACCAAAGCTCATCTACTGCTATTAAACAGAAAAAAAAGTTCTCCGGAATTAACAGGACTGCATAACTAGGCCAACAGAGCAATGTGGTAATAAAGCCCCCTTTGGGTGGAATCCTGCAAAAACCCCTATGTGCTTGGGATCCAGGAAGCATCTAGGCTCTAACAACATCCTGCCCCCGGCTTTCTAACCATAGTCACTTCACTTCTTTGCTTCACGTTTCTTAAGTGTGAAGAGGAGATTCTGATGCTTTACCTGACTTAAGGCAGTAGCAATGAAATAATTACAGGCAGTCGAGTGAAATAATTACATATATTTTAACTACTTTAGAAATGCTTGTTGATCAAAGAAAATAGGAGTTTCACTTTGGGTGACCAATCATACTGGATTGCCTGGGACTGAGGGGTTTCACCAGGTGATATGGTTTGGCTGTGTCCCCATCAAAATCTCATCTTGTAGTTCCCCTAATCCCCACATGTTGTGGGAGGGACTGGTGGGAGGTAATTTAACCATCAAGGTGGTAACCCTCATGCTGTTCTCATGACAGTAAGTTCTCATGAGATCTGATGGTTTTATAAGGGGCTTTCCCCTTCTTACTCACTCACTTCTCTTCCTGCCACCATGTGAAGAAGTACGTGTTTGCTTCCCCTTCCACCAGGATTGTAAGTTTCCTGAGGTCACCCCAGCCATGCTGAATGGTGAGTCAATTAAATCTCTTTCCATTATAAATTACCCAGTCTTGGGTATGCCTTTATTAGCAGTGTGAGAACGGACCAATACACCAGGACATGAGATTTTCAAAGCTAAAACAGGAAACCTCCAGGGTAAACTGGACAAACTGGTTAACCTCGTTTTACCAATAACTTGGTTCTATGTTTAACATCAACTACTATTTTGCTCTTTAACTTGCCAACCATAAGCACCTACTTAGTTATCTCGAATATGTAAGGAGGATCTCGAATATGTAAGGGGATATTGGAAATTAAGAAACTAAATCCTGCCGGGCGCGGTGGCTCAAGCCTGTAATCCCAGCACTTTGGGAAGCCGAGACGGGCGGATCACAAGGTCGGGAGATCGAGACCATCCTGGCTAACCCGGTGAAACCCCGTCTCTACTAAAAAATACAAAAAACTAGCCGGGCGAGGTGGTGGGCGCCTGTAGTCCCAGCTACTCGGGAGGCTGAGGCAGGAGAATGGCGTAAACCCGGGAGGCGGAGCTTGCAGTGAGCTGAGATCCGGCCACTGCACTCCAGCCTGGGCGACAGAGCGAGACTCCGTCTCAAAAAAAAAAAAAAAAAAAAAAAAGAAACTAAATCCTTGTCCTTGGGAACTTAGAATTCAGAAGCAGTACACTGAGTCTTAGGTGAGCTTGAGTCTGCTAAACTAACTCATCATTTGAACCCCAGCATGGAAATCAAAGCAGGCAAATCTTTAACTTCAATAATAAAAAAGAAACCAGGACCCTAGATTGTTTTGTAGCTGCCTACCTCCCTGAGGTGATTTAGAGGAAAAGATAATAATACAGACGTTTTATTTATTCAATGTCCCACCAATTTGAAAGTAAAAAAGTGTCTTCAGAGAGTACCATGTTTGCCCATTATTTTCTTTAGTTATTACATACTACAGAACTAGTTCCAACAAACCCATGTGGTCATAAAGTAGTCTATATTCTTTTGCTCTTTCCTATCCAACCCCCAAAGAAACCATCAAACAGAATGATAGATAGGCAATTTCACCTGAATTCTTCAATCATTAGAAGGGGGGGAAATCTTACTTCAGAAGTAAATACCATATTTGGATATAAGAGGGCATCTCAGTTCAAAGCCAAAACTTTCTGTGGCCCAGAGTTTTGATAAAACACCTACTGCATGTATTTTTAGTATCTGTCATTCTAAAGCCCTTTTTAAGTTACTGTGGGTACAGAGATGGATCACTTGCCCCTTCTGGGACAAAACACAGCAGCTGTTCAGCAATTGCACAGCAATGCCTCTCAAAGATTTAGGTGAAGAACTGGAAAACATTATTTCTGGTTGAAGCTAAAGAGAAATGTATTGATCTTCCCTGGATTTTTGCCAAGCTACCAAGCCAGGGACACATTCTTTTGAGTAAACCTTTAATGATTATAAGCTGGGGTTTGACAATTTCTCTTAAAAATAGAGTTTCTTGGTCTCTAAGCAAAATGCTTCAGTTCTATACCCTGATACTGAGTCACAATTCAGCTGTGCCCCAAACTTCTGTAACTACTAAGAACTTTTAAAACCTTTACATAGAAATGGCTATAAAATTGATATTCTAACCTTAGGGATGGCCTGGGGATGGTTTCTTTTCAAAGCAACCTTTGTCCTAGAAGATATGACGACAGATCCTAACATTTTTTCCAGCTTCCCTGTCCATCTTCACAGACTACTTTGTAGTCTACAAGTTGTAGACCAGGGACACGACGACTTTGATGGAGACACGTACACACGTGGACTCAATTATTTTGGCATTACGAATGAAATATAGGGTTTTAAGCGATAGCCTATTTTCACACCGTGGCTCAAAGTCACATCTTTTATGAAAACTTCCCTTGTGTCCCTAGAAAGAGCCTCCTTTCTCTCCCCAGGACCTCTTTATAGTCTCTGTCACTTTGTATTACACTTTTTATATTTTTAGTCCCTCTACAGAGTGTGCTTCTTACCAGCAGTGAATGTTTCAGCTTTGGTTTGGGGCTTGTTCCTGCATGTGGCAAGGATTTGTTAAATGCATACCACGAGGCCTTGGAGACAGAGTCATTATGAGTGACTCCTCCATGTGACTAACTCCAGGTTAAGCATAGCCTTGCCCTACTCACTTGGCATCCTCCAAGTCTTCTGTTTTCTGGATGACATTGTTTTCATACTTCATTCTCCATTGCACCATTTCAGCATTGACTTTGGATAAGGTCCGGTGCAGCTCAGCCTTGACCTCTTGTTCTTCCTCATACTGCTCTCGTAGAAGGTCACAGTCACGCTGGGCCTTCTGCAGGGCATGGGCCAGGGCACTCTGGGACTGTAGGGAACACACATTAACAAAAAAGGCATGACCACCACAAACAACACAAGTCTTGAAAGTAAGATAATATTTTTTTAGGTAAGATTAACCTGCCACAAATTCAAGCTGAACCTGAACCTAGTAAGATAATACTAGGGAGAGAATTTGAGACAAGAGAAAGGATAGATAGAGTATCTAATTGCTGCCATTAAAACAGGGAAGGGAATTCTATTTAGAGAAATGCCAGCTTGACTCTGTGGACTTAGGCCTGGAATTCTAGAAATAGTGGAGAATGCAAGGATAGCAAAGACAACATTCGCCATCATTTAGGCAATAAGATTTATATTTAGCAATATATTAGACTCAGAGCTTGTTCAAACCAGAAAGAACCACTGAAATTTAGCCTTTTCATTCCACTGATGAAGAAAATAAAATCTTTTATTTCACACTGAAATCTCTAAAAACCTCAGCTCCTAATACTTCAAAATAGTACTACAGCCCAATAGAACTTCTGTAATGATGAAAATGTTCTCTATGTACACTGTCCAATATGGTAAACACCTAGCCACATGTGGCTACTGAACATTCAAAATATGCCTAGTACAATGTGTGATTAAAACTGAATTCATAATTTTATTTAACTTTAATATAAATTTAAATAGCTACCTGTAGTGTAGTAGAGGCTTCTATATGTATTGGACAGCCCTGCTGGGTTTAATAAACATTTTTGTCATTTAAATGGTGATCTGGCTAACCTAGCAGCATCATTCCTCCGAGACAATCTAGTGTGGAAAGAACCAGGGTCCTGACGGGTCCTCATGGGTCCTTTATGCAAATTAGAAAAAAAAAAGCACATTTTCAGGAAGATACAGCTCTGAGGGCACAAGGTTTAGTTAATGGCAGCCTCAGCCAGACCCCTCTGGGTGGTAAATGAGGAGCCACAATACACAATGACACTGAAAAGGATGCAGGCCTTGGAATCAGATGAACCTGAGTTCAAACTGTGACCTCTCCTCTTGTTTAATTTTATTTTCCTTTAAAGGAAAAACTTTTAAAACCTTTATGTGGCATTTACATGGCATATATTTAATTATGGAAGTAAACGAGACGACAAAATCCCTGCCCTAAAGAGCCCAAAAGAAATAAGGGGATACACAAAATACACATGCAAATAAACTAATAAAATTTCTAATAGCAGTAAAACAAATACAGCAGATAAGCACGATCTAGAATGTTTGGCTCCTTCTCATCATCCCCCTAAGACCTTGGGGAAGGGCCTTTAAGCAACAGGAAGGACAGTTATAAAAGTCCTAAGGCAGGAATGATGGTGCCTGGTTTAAGAGGCAGACGGGAAGCCAGGGCAGCTGGGGGGAGTAAATGAGGGAAGCAGATGTAGGAAGTAGGTCACAGAAGGATGCTGGAGCCAGATCAGGGGGGCTTGTAGGCCAACTGGAAGTCACTGGGAAGGCAGCCAGAGAGATCTTCTAAAATATAACTCATTTCACTAGTGCTTAAGTTCCTTCACAGTATATCACTAGGTGTATGACCTTGGACATGTTATTTTTCTTCTCAGAGCCTTGGTTTTTTCATATATAAGGATGCAATTCTATCTGCTTCATTTGACTGATATGAAGATTGAGATAACATGACAGAAGTGTCTAGTACAATGTCTGATGCACAAACAATGATAAATTTTTAAATTTGTGTATAATATAGAAAATATGGAGAGTCAAGGGAATAAAATGGTACAATATTTTAAAACAGACTCGACTACCTGCGTTTTCAGAGTATATGCCTTCATAGTATGGTCATGTACAAGTAAGATACTTTGGGGTCTTAGTAATAAGATGCCTTGAATATGAACTAAGAATTCATTTAAATATCAGGGCTCAAAGAATTCATATCTCATGTTGGTCACTATGCTTTCATCTTCCAGAATCACTTTCACTGGAGTCACCTTCTAGCAACATTATATACTCATAGGAAGAAATGACTAATTTCTATAATTTATTGACAATTTAAAAGTAATATTGAGCTATCCCAGTCCCACTTATTTTATTCTAGGCTTTTATTTAATTTCACTTTTTCATGAGCAGTTTCAGAATCAAAATCCAGAAAGCGCCTTGCTGCCCTTCTGTTCAAGTACTCACACAAGATGGAAACACACTTTGCTTGCTCTAAATCTGCAAAGAAGCGATTTGAATCACCAAGGAAGATCCTTCAGTCATCAGGTTCTTCCTGGCATGGTTTTTCCCCCATAACTTGTAGGGCATTTTCCCTTCTTCTTTTACAAAACATCTGCAGGCTGATTCATCAAGCACTATTTTTTTAAAAAAACACACAGTCAAGTAACAAGTGAGAAATAATAGATACATTACTTTGGTCTCCTTTTCCAACTGCCCTCTCAGTTCTTCAATTTGCCGAGTGAAGTTGCTCTTTTCACTGGAAAGTTGGTTTATCAGAGCTTCCTTCTCTTCAAGCCTCCGTAGGAACTCGCCTACAGAAAGATTTCACAAAAGTACATAATTACAGTCTTCCTATCTATTGCCTCCTCCACTTGACTTACTGACTTTAAGGGCAGCCAGAATGACTCCTACCCACATATTTTTGATATTTAGGAAGGGTCTGAGAGTCCTATTATTCAGCAAAACCATGACAATTATCCTTTTCAGGACTCAGAAGAGAGTTCTAAAAATGAACTGATTTTTACTAATAAGTATGAATCAATAACAGATGATATTAGTTACTATTTATTGAGAAACTTCTATGCTCTACTTAACGTATGTTATCTAGTTTAATTTTCATAACTCCTTGATAATGTAGGTATTATACTAACCATTTTGCAGAGGAGGAAACAGAGCAACTTAAATATGACTGAAACAGAAACATACACAGTTCGTAATTGGTGAAGGTGGATTCAAACGAAATTCTTGAAGACCACATTCTTCTATACCATACTCCCTTGTTTATTATATGTGACTTTGTACACTTCTGTCTATATAATTTTTAGATAATTATAACTTTTATTACCTCATTTGTAAAATGAAGATAACAATAAAAGGTTCTTAATGAAAACTAAATTAGTGTGAACTAAATTAGTTCAGTTTTATAGACTGAACTGCTAAATAAATATTAGCAGTAGTCACTAAATGGTAGGAAATGTGACCACGAGAGGGAGAAATTGTATCATACTCTAGTCTATCGTTCCTGCTTAACTTATCCTATTAATTATAGTCGGGCCTTCCATATCTGTAAGTTCTATTTGTGGATTCAACCTACAAAGGTCCTCTACAATTTAACTCAATTCTGACACTATCTTCCTAGAGACAGTGTCAGATACACACACACACATACAAGTATATATGTGTATATATATATACACACATACATATAAATATGCACATACACACACATATATACACACCTATATGTACATGTATATATCTTATTATAAATCACAATATCACATACAATATTTTTAAAATCATATTTGTTAACATCACTGCTGAGCTCATCAGAAAAGTCCAAGAATTGACAGCCATCAGCCTAATGATGGCATATACGTTTTCTAAAATATAATTTTTACCTAAAAGCTCCTATTTTGTTATTGGCAAGAAACGTTGTCAGTTGCTTTCCCTGCAGTGACAGGTTTCCTTTGTTCATTTTTGAGAAATCATGTGCTAAACATGTGAGTCTAAATAAGCCTAGTTTGCTTGTCAGTCATTCTTTCAAGTAAAAGTGATACTCCCTGAAAAAACTGCTAGCTCAGCTCAGAGCTTAATCACACATCTTACTCCAGTATGAAACAGGAGTTCTTCATGCATACTTCTTGTTTTGTCACACAGAATAGTAAAAAGATATATACTCAAGAGTTGAGATGTAAAAAATTCATTTCTTCTCCTTCTTTAAGGACGTCCTTAAGTGAAACTGACTTTTAAAAAACCTGTGAGTACATATTAGGGAATACAATTTTTACTAGTATGTTTTAGTGCTACTACCTTAACTTGTGATCAGGCTCCAGCAATTTTAATCATTGTTGCTTTTGCACCATCAGTACAAATGGCAAAAGAATTTAAGTCGCAAATAGTATCTTAGTATTATACTAAAATAGCTTCAACCTCATAGACCCCCTACAGGCTCTTGAGAATCACTTGGGAGTGAAACAAACTTTAAGAGTATTTGGATGAAAATGTCTGTGGCTTTTTTTTTTTTTTTTTGGACAGAGTTTTACTCTTGTTGCCCAGGCTGGAGTGTACTCGTGCAATCTCGGCTCACCTCAACCTCCACTTCCCAGGTTCAAGTGATTCTCCTGCCTCAGCCTCCCGTGTTGTTGTTGTTGTTGTTGCTGTTGGTGTTTTGTTTTTTGAGACAGAGTCTCACTCTGTTGCCCAGGCTGGAGTACAATGGTTACCTACAGCCTCTGCCTCCCGGGTTCAAGTGATTCTCCTGCCTCAGCCTCCCAAATAGCTGGGACTACAGGTGCCCACCACCACGCCTAGCTAATTTTTGTATTTTTTTGGTAGAGACAGAGTTTTGCCATGTTGCCCAAGCTGGTCTCAAACTCTGTGCCTCAAGTGATCCGCCTACCTAGGCCTCCCAAAATTCTGGGATTATAGGCATGAGCCACTATGCTGGTCCAAAAACATCTTATTTAAAAAGATTCTGAAGAAATATAAATGCACTAGCTGGTTGAGACTAATATATCATGTATATTACAGAGCCAGTAGCCAGTTACTGTGGCTTAATTGATCACATTTACTATTGGTTTCCTCTGAAAGCAGAGAAAGCTGACAGGACAGGGCATGAGAAAGAAACTTTGGAGGTAACCACCAACAAAAACAACAAAAGAACAAAAAACAAAAACAAACAATCTGGAGCATGGACCCAGTGAGGGGAGGATAAGCTTGGATAAATTTGTACTTTGAATTTAACTTACACAAAAGCCAACCAAAAAGTAAAGTTAAAAAAAGGAAGAAAAAACTCCTGCAGCCTAAGCAGAATTATCATCTCAGACCCACTTTCATTTTACTCACTACCCACTCATTTCCTCGTCAAAAAAGTGAGTAGAAAATTAATGCCAATAACTAGGGGGAGACAGCCAATGTCTATCAAAACAGATTTTACACAGCACTTCCTTTAGGGCCAGACAACCAGGTATTCTCCAGTTTTGTGTCTGGACTGTGGAGTCTGCATACCAACTAAATCCTACATAGCACAGATCAAACTGGGGGCTTGGTAGCAAGGCCAGGTTTCACATACCCTGTGGTCAGTATAAGAAGAGTCCTATTCCGTGTCCTTAATAGAACCAAAAATACTTTCTTCTTCTAGATTTCCAGGTTTTTAGTTTTATCAACTAATTTTAATTTAGCCCTGACCCTAGATTTGGCATCTGGAAATAGAGGTGTCTACTGGAGGAACTGTGTTATATATAGCCCAAATGTGTTCATTCTCTTTTTAAAAGTGTATGCCGCTTGAGCATCAAGAATACATTGTTTATTTTCATTGACCTAGGAATTCCATCTCTCAGAATATATTACTAAAACTGATTTTAGTTATAGATAAACATCTAGCCACATGCTGTTCATAGCAGAGAGGCAAGTCAAGTTGCAGGCAAGGTTAGGTATAGTCAATCTCAATGAACTAGAAGCATACTCAAAATACAAAAGCTTATGATAAATTGAAAAAGAAAAACCCCCAATAGATTGTTACAATGTAATAGACTGGAAAAACAGAAAAAAAATATCCATAGTGGTTGATAGTAATGAATAAAGTATGGGACTTTTTTTTTACTTTTATTTATTAAATGTTTATGAAGGATCAATAAGTGCCAGGCAGTGTTCTGGATGATTGACATACATCAATGAACAAAGACCCTTGACCTCATGGAGCTTATATTCTGACAGATGGAGACAAAGATATTTATTGTGTCAAATATGTAGTTTGTTTGAACTTAATAAATACTACGAAAAGAGAAGCACTTGAGGAAATGAGTCGACAGTATTCAAATGTCACCTTCTCAACAGAGCCTGTATCCTGACTTGCTCCAGATCTCTACTTGATTAACCCTTATCCCCGAGTCTTTCCAGAATTAATAAGGTGTTCCAGGCAGAGGAAACAGCTAGGGCAAGACTCCAAGGTGGAGTATGCCTGGGGTGTACAAAGCACAGTATAGAGGTGGATGTGGCCAATGCAGAATGAGAGAAGGGGCAAGTAGGAAAAGAGGTCAGAGAGAACGAGGTCCAATCATGCAGGCCCAGATGTGTCTTTACACTCAGTAAAAAGAGTTATCCAAACATTTAAAATTCATTATCCAAACATTTAAAATTTCATTATCCAAACATTAAAATTTTTTTTAAATTTAAATATTCAATGAGTTAGAAATTGTAAAAATGTCATGACTAGTAGACTGTGGTTTGCCCCTCCCATCCTTTGATCTGGAGAGTTGCTTCTGCTGATGGCATATTATTATGACTTTCTACTTCTTGGAAGGGAACTAGGCAGGGGTTCCCAAGTGGCACAGAGGTAACACTTCCTAGACAAGAGGCATGTGTGTGGCAAAGCTGTCTCAGAGGCTGCATTCCTCCCCTAGGATCTTCAGATGCCCACCCAACCTCAGTGGGTAGTTCATTATCTCAGTTGCACCTCCATGAGTCTGCTGGGATTGAGAATTGCCTGTGAGTCAAGCAACATACTTACTTACCACTCTCACTCCACAGCTCTGTCTTTTGTGCTGCCAGGTCATTTGCCAACTGAGTCACCTTATCTAGCTTTGCATTTGCTTCATTCAAGCGCTCTTCGTATAGAGTACAGAGTTTCTCAGCATTTGCCTGTGAGTTGAGAAAGAAGGGCTGGTCAGGGCTCACAGAGGATACTCTGAATCAGCTGCACAGAGGAGGAGGGGAAGAGTGGCTCCGGGGATCCGCACACTCTCTTCTGTGGTAAAAAGCTCAGCCAGCATTGGGAGATCACGTCTTCTGATTTCGGCAAGTACAACCAACTCTAGGGTCTGGACCCCAAGAAGCCTAAACTTTGCAGAGTACAGGTGTCACGGGAGACACCCAGCTTCCTGGGTATTAGGATTCTTTCTAGAATTATTTACTTTTCTGGAGAAGGAAACATGTCAAACACTAATGAGGTACATGATCCTTTTCTGACAGTATATATTTAAGTGTCTTTTCCACTAGAATATAACTTTCATGAGGGTAGAGATCCAGTTTAAAGGTATACACCCTGTTGTCTAGAATAGTGCCTGGCACATATGAGAGCAATATGCAAGGGCGGAGGGGCAGAGGAAGGGGAAGGAAGAGAGATAAGAGAGGGAAGGAGGAGGAAGAAAATCTAGAAGGCTGCCCAAGCAGGATAGAAGAAAGTGGAGGATCTGAGCCACAACAGCCTAATAACCAAATGTGAGCTGCCAAAGCAACTGTACCCTCCTGATCACTATGGCTACAATCTCAAGATGACCCTAACAGGGTCATCTTCAATCCCCAAACCCTAACAGGGTTAACACTTCAATCCCCAAACCCAACTTCTCAGAATTGGCTTTTCGTGCCTGGAGAAAAAGATATGACATTGGCCTTTGCACTTTCACCGGATTTAAGTAACCAATCTAATCGCCAGACTCTTGCCACACTCTGAGAACTCATGCTAGCGGTTTTGAGACCCAAGATCCTCAAACAGGACTAAGAGCTGCCAAATGCAAGATGAGGTATCCCCTTTACATACAAATTAACTGTAGTTTGCATTCTTATTATTTATATGGTCAGAAACAGTAAAATTACATTGGTGGTAGACTTCCATGGTTCTACAGATTTTACATAGCTGTTTTAATGAAACTCATGTATAAGTTATCTTTTTATAATTTTTTTTTTTTTGAGACAGAGTCTCACTCTGTCACCCACGCTGGAGTGCAATGGCACAATCTCAGCTCACTGTAACCTCCACCTCCTGGGTTCAAGTGATTCTCCTGCCTCAGCCCCCTGAGTAGGTGGGATTACAGGCGCATGCCACCGTGCCTGGCTAATTTTTGTATTTTTAGTAGAGATGGGGTTTCACCATTTTGGCCAGGCTGGTCTGGAACTCCTGACCTTGTTATCCGCCCACCTCAGCTTCCCAAAGTGCTGGGATTATAGGCAATCTTCAAATGCCTTCCATCTGCCCCATTGTTGGTGATGATGATGACACTATTAATGACAATAGCAGGAGCAGTTAACATTTATTGGGTGCTTGTTACATACCCAGCTCTCTTCTGAGCTCTATGTTTTAAATCTCAATTAATACAGCAGCCCATGAGGCCTTTGTATGCTATGGAAATGGAAGAATTGGGAGACAAAGAAGAGATTATACCAATGAAATTTTGAGAAAACAGTGAGGTCTGGTGAGATGGTGAAAGCTGATGGTGAGCCTAATAGTTTCAATGTTAAACTAATTGTTATGATAGAGCAATGGGCAAAGGACCAGGAATGTTTCAAAGGTGATGCCTGGTTTAGTCCTCAGGAAAACTTTTGTACCAGCCAAAACCTTGGTCATCTCTAGCTGGAGCCTATGCTCCATTGAAGATTGTTTCCTTCATGCTATGTTGCAGGACTTTTCCTTAGTTCAGCTAAAGACGGGGTTCTTTGTCCCCGGCCACAAAAATTCAGATTCATAGACAATTTGAATGGTGAGTAAGACAGGGTTTTTTGGGGTGAAAAGGAAGAAAAGGGGGAAGTAGGGACTTTCCGGAGGCCAGAGTCCCTGCTTGAGTGCTTGCCACTCACAGCTTGAATCCCAGGTTCCACACAGGAAGAGGAGGGGCCAGGCTCCAACCCACAGCAAATGGCGTGAACTTTCCGAGGCTCCACTCCAGTGGGCAGGCTAGTTGGAGTTTCTCCAGGGACCCCCTCCCACCTGGCTGTCTCAATTACTAATGGCTATTCTCTGAAAGACTACTGAATTATGTCTTCTTATATCTCCAATGCGGTGTTATGTGGTTCCAGTTCACAGATGTCCTTCAGCACACCCAGGCTTGGTGTAAACAGACTTAACAGAGATTCGATGGCCAGTTTCTCGAACGATGCCATCAGCCTCACATAGGTTAGAGCATTAATGTTAAATGCCAGGCAAGCTCAATTGTCCCCACTCTCCACTCCTAACTAGAAGAAAGCTATAGTAGTGATCAATGTGACAGTTTTTAGGTTGTCTGCACAGTTTCTAATTATATGTTGAATTTGTTTGCTCTCACTTCTGAAAATGACTTTGACAGTCAAAGTTGACATGCTCATTTTTTTCCTCACGATATCTCTCAAAAGTTCACATTGCCTCTTTTTATAAATGAGAAAACTGAGCACCAGAGAGGCTAAATAACTAGCCCAAATTCACACAGCTATTAAATGTCAGAATTGGAATTCGAACTGAAACTGCCTGTGCAGATGCACACACACACACAGAAAATGTCAAATATTAGATTTCTAAGCATCTGTTGTATGAAGTAGTGATAAAGGAAATATTAAGGATTAATTGATGTCCTAGGTGGCCCAATTTGTCATGAATCCTGGGTTCCAGAGGAAAATGGATAAAAATGGGATGATTACGAAAACCATTTTTATCTTATGATGTCTCCAATAGTAAATGACCTGTTAACTGAGCCAGGAGGAACATATCCAGGTGTGAGAAATGGCATCTGTTTATGGCCCTGTATATGCTGTGCTATGCGCCTGTTTGCTTAGGGTGAAAACGCACAGATGTCTGCAAGACAACTTAGTCAGTGGTGTGTGGAAATGGTAAGAAAAGGAGCCAAAGACTTCCCAGTTTTTCAAGAGAGGTCTCCATGTGGTGAAGGCCAGCTGGGCTGTGTGTATCTGTAGAGTGGGCAGCCCACTTGGACAGATAGAAAAGGCACTTGCCCTTAGGCATAGCTTCACATGGTAGGTATCCACATAGGCACTGCTAACCAATGGTATAGTGTTTCCATGTATAAAATATTTTCATAAACAGGATCTGCAAAAAGACAATTAGATTGTTTATCTAAAAGTGGCCTATACGGGGATACAGCATGCAAAAGAGTTGTACCCTCAAAAGAATTTTTAATTTAAGCATAAGGATAAGCGGTATGTTTTGATACCAGGGATGAGAAGGTTAATAGAATAAGGCACATTTATCTTATAGCTGATTCTTAAAATGATGCATAAAAATGCTGCCTCCCAGAAATGCAGGGACCAATGGGAATTCAAAATAATCAAGATAATTGTGAGATTTCCTATATCTTCTAAATCGCCCTGAGCCTCTCTGTCAGCATAATATGCTTTTGAAAATGCTTCAGTCCCCACTGTACCACTGAGCATTGACATTCTCGCCATTATAATTCAGAAAATGATAAAGTAAACAATTCAAGGAACAGTTTAGCCTAATGTATATGCCTATGAGTGTTAACAGAAACAATTTCTCATGCCAACAAATATTTAAAGCAGCAATAGGACATGCTCACCAACAGACATACACAGGATTTGGAATTGAAATTCATCTCTTCCATAGAATTGTGTGACCTTGGACAAGTCACTGAATCTATGAGCTCCAAGAGGCACATGTAAAAGTCGATGCTAGTAATTGAGTGCACAGACTCTACAAAGCACTGTAGTAAACATGGAAGTGAGACCTACTTTCTGCTTTCAGTGTCAGCAAAGTTAAAAGACTAGATAATGCATGAGTATAAAGAGGGACCCCAAAAGTGCTATAGGAACTCAAAAACAGGTAAGTCTGTAATGCAGGAGGTTGAACTTGAGCATTCCAAAGAGAATAATTAGTTTGGAAAAGGCACATCAGTGTAAAGATAAATATTTGGTGAAAGGCAAGCTGAAATGGAAGGTCCATGAAACAAAGCAATGGGATCTATAACTTGCAAGACAAGTTGACTCTGATCACAAGTTACAGTGTACCTTGAAAGCAGAAGTTTGGAGTTCATTTTTAAGCAGGGACATAATTCAATAAATCCATGCTTTATAAATATTCTGAGTACTTTATAAATATTAAATTGGGCATATAAATATAGGATTATTTGAAAAAAGAAAGACTAGAAGCAAAAATGATAATTTAGGAAACCACTGCAGTAATATACTTAAAAGGTAGAGAGACCTATATGGGAATGGGAATGGAAAACTATGAGGTGGTAAAGACTGACCTGCTGCAATAATTGACTGAAAAGCAAATAGGGAGGAAAGAAGTGGTTGAGGCTTAGAACCTGAGTTATAAAAAGAAACCAGGTGCCAGTGACAGAGATGTTCAGAGGAAGTGCCAGCTTCAGGAGAAATAAAGACAGATGGCAGGGATTAAAGGAGTAAGGAGGTAGTGAGATACACACCTACTGCTAGAAAAAGCCTATATTCCCATGCATGGAACATTAAGAATCCTTCTGATGAGGGGTCACAAGAAGAGGAGAGCTGTAGAGAGAGAATTAATCTTCTTAGAGATTAGTTGGACGGCTGTGATTACAATGCTGATAGTAATACGGCCAGAAAAGGCAATTCTGCTGAGGTCTTAAATGGAAATGGGGAATATCCTATTGGAAACTGGAAGACAGACCATCCTTATTACAAAGTTCCAAAGAACTTGGCTGAACTATGCCCTAGTCCCTTGTGGAAGGCAGAATTTAAGAGTGATAAACTAGGATATTTGGTGGAAGAAATCCTTAAAGAAAGTGTTCAGGGCTTCCTGGCTTCTCTTGATTGCTTAAAACAAAATATGAAGAGAGAGAAATAAAGATGAAATGTATAATCAAAGAGAAGCAGAATTTAAAGATTTAGAAAATTCTCAGCCTGGTCAGATTGTGAAGAATAAAAAAGTATTTTCAGAAAAAAACCAAAACAAAACACTAAGGATGTAGACAACCAAACATTTGATATGGAAATTAGTGGGGGTTGAAAGAAGATGGGTGCTATTCATCAGGACGATGGAAGAATGATCCTGAAGGCATTTCTGAGACCTTTGTGGCTGTCCCACCCACATAGGCCCAGAAGGCCAGGGCCTTGATGGAAACATGATTTCAAGAGAGGATTCCCGTGAGACCTCAGAGCTTGCTGCCCCGGGCTGCCTCAAGTCTTTGCTCCCCACATGCCAGTGCAGTGCGCCTCTGCCACTCAGGCAGGCCCAGGTTCAGCTCAGGTTACCACTCTGGAAGGCACATGCTGTAAACCATAGCAGCATCCATACAGTGCTAACTCTGCAGGAGGTATAGAAGCATAGCTCCTCCACTTAGATTTCAAAGGATATTTTGGAGAGGCTTGGGGTTCAGACAGAGAATTGCCATGGAAGCAGGGCCACCACAGAGAGCTCCCACTATGGCAGTAGTAGAACTGTGAGGGCAGAGCTGCCCCAAACACCCCAGACTTATAGAGCCACCAGCATGCAACACTAACCTAGGAGTAGTCACAAGCACCCAACTTCAATTCCTGACAGCTCCTGTCAGGGGGGCACTGCTATGTGGGGCCCTGGGGACCCAAACTCCACCCCAGTATGTCCAGAAGGTCAGACATGGAGTCAAAAAAGATTATTCCCAACTTTCAAGATTTAATGTTGTTTGCTTTGTTTTATGTTGGGCTTTTCCCTTTGTTACCTCTTTTTTCTTTCTGATTTCTCTTTTTTAGGAATGGGAATGTCTATGCTATGCCTGTTCCACTATTTTATTGTGGAAACACATAACTTGTTTGATTTCACAAGCTCACAGCTGGAGGAGGAATTTGCCTCAAGATGAATCATGCCTTGAGTTTCACTCCTATATGATTTAGATGAGACTTTAGACTTTTGAGTTGACGCTGAAATGACTTAACTCTTTGGAACCTACTGAGGTAGAATCAATGTATTTTGCTTATGTGAAGGACATAAATTTGGGGGGCCAGAGGTAGAATGCTATGTACTGAATACGTCCCCTAAAATTCACATGTTGAAACAATCGCCAGTGTGATAGTGTTAGGTGGGGCCTGTAGGAGGTGATGAAGTTATGAGAATGGGAGCCTTCATCAATGGGACTGGTACAAGGGAGCATCTGTCCCTTTCCCCTTTTTGCTCTTCTGCAATGTAAGGATGTAGCAAGAGGCACCATCTTAGAAGCAGAGAGACCTCACCAGACAATAAACCTGCTGCTACCTTGATCCTGGACTTTCCAGCCTCCAGAACTGTGAAAAATAAATTTCTATTATTTATAAATTGCCCAGTCTGTGGTATTTTGTTATAGCAGCAGGAATGGACTAAGACACACACACACATACACAGAGAGAGAGAGAGAGAGAGGGAGAGAGGAAGAGAGAGAGAGAGAGAGAGAGAGAGAGAGAGAGAGAGACTGTTTCTTTCTACTCAGTATGGTATTTAAAAGGAATTAATATTAAACATTTCAGAAACCACTCCATATCATTGAAGATATTCTACATTTTTCTGGCCATAGTCAATGGAGATCAAGCTTTATTGTCAGGCCATGTCTTTCCCAGACTTTATAAAATCTGTTTACAAGGAGAGAAGGTTGCAGCAACTAGTCATTTGCTCTGCTTAATCTAAGGTAAAGCTCCTCTCAACTACCAGAAGACAGGGTCGCTGATAGCCATGATCTCATAGTAACATTTGACATGACAGCTTGCAGCATATAGGCTAATGGGCTCAGCAAAGAAAGAACATGTGATGAACCTTTCTTATAGTACTGGCTGATTAAAAAGATGCCAGAGGACATGAGGGAGAAAAAGATCCCTCCTCTCAGCAAAGCTGTTTGTGTACACCATTCATTCAGATAGGCTCTAGGAGTATCCAGGCCATCACTGAGGAGCACTCATAACAAAAGCCATTTTTCAAGAGAGACATAGATAATGGCCTCAGATTTCCAGCTCACTTACTTGTGCCATCACTAAAAAAGTCCATAAGGAACATGGATTGGAATTCTGGTAAAACCAGAAGCCACTGTCAGGTCACATTCAGGTGATGGCTGTGTGACCTTAACAATGACCACTAAGGTCAGGCCTGATCTATTCCATCTGAAGAACTATATTCTTCATTAGAAAATACACTGAGCCACTAAGCTGGCTTATTTTTCTTTTCCCTCCCCTCCCATTTCTTCCTCTCCCTACTTCCATGTTCAAAAGCCCACGAGGATGGATGGGAGTATTTACCTTAGCCCTTGTCATCTGCTCAATACGGGTCAGGAGGTCATCTACTTCTAGCTGCAAGTCACTCTTATCTTTTTCCAGTTTCTGCTTGACCTGCTGTAGATTTTCTACCTGGCCCTCGAGCTCAGCCAGGCTGTCTGCATGTCTCTTCTTCAAAGATGCAGAAGTTGCCTCAAAGTGCAGCGTGGCCTCTTCCATGTCTCGGCGCAGCTTCTGGAATTTGGTTTCCTGTTTCTTAGTTATTTCCAGCTGAGCCAAACTGGCTCCTCCTACCTCCTCCAGTCTCTCATTCAAGTCAGCCAGGTCTTGGGTGAGGTCAGCTCTCTCCTTTTCCATCTTGGCTCGAGTGGTCCTTTCAGCTTCTAGTTTCTCTTTCAAATCCTTTATTTGAGTCTGTAGCAAGAAATAATTTTGATTTTTACTAAGCACTTGTAGCAAGAGCTTTACTCTATTTTTTTTTTTATCACAAAGCTAACATGAACCTTTTGGTTCCCAATTTATAACTAAAGAAAACAGAATACACAGAAGTTAAGTGATTTGCCCCAATTCAATACCAAGACCAGAATTAGAATTTGCAGTTCTGCCAAATTGCTCAGCCCCTGATGATGGGCAAGCTCATTAAATTATATACATGAAGGGGAAAGCTTAGTAAAGAGCACTTCCCAAAGAAACAGGAAAATATCTTTCATGTGACAAAAAAGTGTTTAAGAGCATTCATAAAAATTGGAATGGTAAATTTTATACACAAAAATCTTCCTCATCTGAAATTCGTTTATCTGATCTCACCTATCTAGGACTTGGGCAAAAATCTGATCAATAAAATGAACATCTTCAAGTTCAAGCAATTTACTTGTAAGAAACAGCCTCAATTTAATTTTTACACACAATTCTAAAAAACTTGGTTACTTGGTTTTCTAGTCTACAGGAGATTTCAAGGAAGAGATTTGAAATAACAAAGGAGAGTTGGTGAAGGAATGTGGACTACTAAAGTGAGTAGAGACACGGTATCATCAGAAGCAGGATTATTGGAAAAAGAAGTGATAACAACTCTCAGAGCCCCAAGCCCTTTTAGTAGAGCTCAAATAGGTCTACAAATAATGATAACATCACTGTATTACAGTACAATGAAGCCATTGATGTTACTATCATCACCTTAAGTAATCAGGCATAGATTAGGATGGGGAGAAAACAAGATAGAAACTGTTTTAGAATATGTTTTCCTTTCCATTAAATAAGACTACTGTAGCTTAGAAAAAACTAATTTCTAGATTGTATCAAATAAGTAGTCTATCAGTTCTATAGATGAGGTATGACAGAAAAGGTGCTTAAAAAAAAAGTATGATTTCCACATTCAAGTAACCATGATCCTCTTCCAACTGGTTATCATGGGATCCAAGAAAATATTTATCCCAAATAATACCACCATTGAACCAAATATTTCTGAAATGTTTTGTCAGAAATAATATTTAGAGAACTTTTTGAGTCATCAAGGTAAGGAAATTTGTCTTTTGGATATATTGAAAAGTTTGTGGGTTTTTTAAATGTTTATTTTTATTTTGGATAAAGTCAAGAGTCATTTGAAGACAAGCCTGATGAATATGATAACCACTTGGAGATTAATAGCATGTCTGAAACTAAAATATGTTTACAAAACATTGAGATTGGTTTTCTTATTTGGCTCAAAATATCTCAGAAGATAAATATCAGAAAGAGGTTCCAAAATTATTTTGAGTCATGGTTATATTACTAAGATATTTATTTAGCTCCAAAGGGAAATTATCCATCTAAATGTGTGTGTGTGCATCTGTGTGTAAAATTACTTTATAACATGGTCATATGCTATAAAACTCACATGGTCTAAAACTTATAAATAGCTATCCATTATCAAATAATGTGTTGAGGCCACAAGTACCTATATAACTTATTGATTTTCAATCACCTTCTAATCACAAAGAATAATCATCATAAAAATTAAATTGCTAACAGTGAATGCATACCATGGGTCAGGCACTGTGCTTACTACTTAAATATATTGTTGCATTTAATAATATGAGCTCAATGGTTGCCAGAAGGATTCATGAGAGAAAAAAAAACAAGTTTTGGATTTTAGCACAATGCCTGGTTCACAGCAAGGATTCAACAAATTAGCTATTCATTTTTATTATTCTTACAAGGAAATTTAAGCTTAAATCCATCTGTGGAATGCCACAATTTCCCTTCTTAACCACTGTTCTTTTCTGCCTCTGCCTGTGATTGGCTAAGGATATGAATACCTTGGCAGAGAATTTGTCATTGACCCATGGATCATCACCCATGGATCTAAATGTAAGTACACAGGCATATTTGATAATTGATTACCTGAAGCTCTTTAACCATCTTCTGAAGCTGAGCTACCAGGCCTTTCTCATTCTCCACTTTTGAATTCATCTGACTGTTTTCTAATTCTTTTCTGTTTAGAAGAAGATATCAAATACAATTGTTCAGATTAATAACATTTTGTTTAAAGTAGTTAGAATTGTAATATTCCTAACACAAAGAAAAGATAGATGTTTGAGGTGATAGATATCCCAATTACCCTGATTTACTCATTGTACATTGTATACAGGTATCAAAATAGCACATGCACTCCAAAAACATGTACAATTATTATAACTCAATAAAAAACACAGCCAGGCTTTAACCAAAAGTAAAAATACCATTTTGTTTAAATATTTTTTTAATTATAGATATAATACAATAATTCATTCTCATTTTAAAACTTCAATGATTATGCCTACATCTGAAGTTTTCTTGGCTATGATACCTGATATGGTTTGTCTATGTCCACACCTGAATCTCATCTTGAATTTCCACATATTGTAGGGGGGATCCAGTGGGAGGTAACTGAATCATGGGGGCAAGTCATTCCCGTGCTGTTCTTGTGGTAGTGAATAAGTCTCACAAGATCTAATGGTGTTATAAAGAGGAGTTCTCCTGTATAAGTTCTCTCTTTTTGCCTGCACCATCCATTTTAGATGTGCCTTGCTCCTCCTTGCCTTCCACCATGATTGTGAGACCTCCCCAGCCATGTGGAACTGTAAGTCTGTTAAACCCTTTTTCCTGTATAAATCACCCAGTCTCGGGTAACTCTGTATCAGCAGTGTGAAAATGGACTAATATAGTAAATTGGTACCAGTAGGTGGGGCACTGATGAAAAGATACCCGAAAATGTGGAAGTGACTTTGGAACTGGGTAACAGGCAGAGGTTGGAACAGTTTGGAGGGCTCAGAAGAAGAAAGAAAAATGGGGGAAAGTTTGGAACTCCCTAGAGATTTGTTGAATAGCTTCAACCAAAATGCTGATAATGAAATGGACAATGAAATCGTAGCTGAGGCAGTCTCAGATGGAGATGAGGAACTTGCTGAGGACCAGAGCAAAAGTGGTTCTTGTTATGTTTTAGCAAAGAGACTGGTGGCATTTTGCCTCTGCCCTAGAGATTTGTGTAACTTTAAATTTGAGAGAGATGATTTAGGGTATCTGACAGAAGGAATTTCTAAGCAGCAAAGCATTCAAGAGGTGACTTGGGTGCTGTTAAATGCATTCAGTTTTGGTTTTTTTGGTGTTTTGTTTGTTTGTTTGTTTTTGAGACTGAGTCTCGTTCTGTCACCCAGGCTGGATTGCAGTGGCACAATCTTGGCTCACTGCAACCTCCACCTCCCAGGTTTAAGCAATTCTCCTGCCTCAGCCTCCCGAGTAGCTGGGACTACAGGCTCATGCCACCATGCCCAGCTAATTTTTTGTCTTTTAGTAGATGAAGGGTTTCACTGTGTTGCCCAGGCTGTTCTCTAACTCCTGAGCTCAGGCAATCTGCCCGCCTCAGCCTCCCAGAGTGCTAGGATTATAGGCGTGAGCCACCGCACCCGGCCTGCATTCAGTTTTATAAGGAAAGCAGAACATAAAAGTTTGGAAAATGTGAAGCCTGACAATGTGATAGAAAAAAAAAATCCCATTTTCTGAGAAAAAATTCAAGCCAGCTGCAGAAATTTGCATAAATAACAAGGAACCAAATGTTAATCCCCAAGACAACTGGGAAAATGTCTCCAGGCCATGTCAGTGGTCTTCGCTACAGACCCTCCCATCACAGGCCTAGAGGCCTAGGAGGAAAAGTTGGTTTCATGGGCTGGGCCCAGGATCCCCATGCTGTGTGCAGCCTAGGGACTTGGTGCCCTGCGTCCCAGCTGCTCCAGTCATGGCTGAAAGGGGCCAACATAGAGCTTGAGTCATGGCTTCAGAGGGTGCAAGCCCCAAGCCTTGGCAACTTCCACCTGGTGTGGAGCCTACAAGCACACAGAAGTTATATTGTTATATTTAATATTTTAAATATATTATTGAATTGAGAATGTTATTATTTTTTTTGAGTTTCACTCTTGTTGCCCAGGCTGGAGTGCAATGGTACAATCTTGGCTCAATGCAACCTCTGCCTCTTAGGTTCAAGCAATTCTCCTGCCTCAGCCTTCAAGCAGCTGGGATTACAGGCACGTGCCACCATGTCTGACTAATTTTGTATTTTTAGTAGAGATAGGGTTTCTCCATGTTGGCCAAGCTGGTCTTGAACTCCTGACCTCAGGTGATCTGCCCGCCTCCGCCTCCCAATGTGCTGAGATTACAAGCATGAGCCACCACACCCAGCCTGAGAATTTATTTTTATCAATATATTAAGCTTAAAAATCTTAAGCTATTATATTTTAAGATAATTATTATTATTAATTCAATAATATATTTTTCTACACAAGCCTACACAGAGTACTCCATTTAAAAATTAACTATGACATAGTATTTCACAATTTAGACATTCCTTAGTTTGTGAATTTCACAATAAGCACTTAGGTTTTCCTTAATATTTTGCTTTTACAAATCACACTATTAATAACCATGCCCCTTGTATACATGAGAGTGTTTCTCTAGAGTGGATACTGAGCAGGAAATTGCTGGGTAATGTATAGGTAAGTGCTGAAAAATAAGATAGCCCTGTCCCTTGCTCTCCACTAACAGTGTGAGATCATTGCTTCTCTACATTTATTCTTAATATCATACTTCTGAAATTTTCTTAGAAAATAGATTACTATTTCCTTGTTTTATCTGCAATGCCCTCATTTACTAGTAATGACTGCATCTTGTCAACTATTAGTATATTTAAATGGTCAATAAACCAAATGGACCGCCTGTTTGTGTTATTTGCCCATTTTTCTATTAGGTGTGTTCATCTAATTATTTAGTTATAGATTTTCCTTGGATTCTTGACATTTTTTATATGTGTTACAAATTTTTCTCTCACTTTATAACCTGTCTCCATTTTATTTGTATTGGCATTTGCCACATGTTTAAAATTTTGATGTCAAATATATCAATATCTCCCTTTTGTCTTTGGCTTTTTGTGACTTGCTCAAGAAGACATAGCCTGTCAATTTCCTAAGACTTATTGACTATCTTTTATTCGAATTTTTTAAAAATTGTGGTAAGAACACTTAACATGAGCTCTACTCTTAAATTTTTAAGTACAAAATGTAGTATTGTTAACTACAGGCAAAATGTTGTAAAGCAGATCTCTAGAACTTAATCATCTTATATAACCAACTTTATACTCATTGAACAGCAGCTCTCCATGATTTCTCCCTCCTCCCAGCCCTTGGCAAGCACTTTTCTATGAATTTGTTTCTATGAATTTGATTATTTTAGATACCTCTATCGGTGGAATCATGCAGTCTTTTTCCTTTTTGTGACTGGCTTATTTCCCTTAGTATAATGTCCTCCAAATTCATCCATGTTGTTGCACATGGCAGGGGTTTCTTTTCAAGGCTCAATAATAGTCCATTGTGTATGTATATTTTATATGTGTATATATATGTATACAGATGTATGTATGAATATGTGTGTGTGTGTGTTTGGGGTTTTTTTTATTTTTAAAATTTTATTTTTTATTTCAATAGGTTTTTGTGTATATGTATGTATGTATGTATATATATACACATACACACACACACACACACACACACCCCACATTTTCTTTATACATTCATACATCGGTGAATATTTAGGCTGTTTCTACATATTGGCTATTGTGAATAATCTGTCATCTTCTAATGGTTTTATGGCTTTGTTTTGATATTGAGTTCATTAGTGCAACTGAAGTTTGTGTGTATAAATTGTATGAGGTAGCAATTTCTCTCACCTCAGGAAATTAATAGCCAATAATTCCAATACCATTTACTATATCTCTTGTCATTGTTAATTTGAAATGCCACCTTTATCACTTATTGTTTCAAATATACATAGGTCTATTTAGGGGAAAAGTTTTTTAATAAAGTTACAACTTTTTAAAAATATGGATTTATAAAATGCTAAAACTCTTGACCTGTGGCCTACATGACATAGAGTATCATTTACACTTTGCTGGTTATCATTTGTACTGAAACACAATCTTCACAACTGAATGCTAAGGGAACTCTATCATCATTTTGTTTTAATTATTCCATTCCATTCATAAGGTCGCTTGTTTCATCATTCTAGACACCTATTAAGCCCAGTAACTTATTAGCAGAATATGAGTCAAGTCTCACCAAGAGCATGTATAATAGCATATATGTATATACCAACAAGAAAGCCAGACGCTCACAGCTGGTCAATGGACTCTCTTTCCTCTTTCACTGTGGGCCTCAACCATTGATCTACTACCATCTTTAATGTGGCCTTTTTTGAGACAGAGTCTTGCTCTGTCGCCAGGTTGGAGTGCAGTGCCACAATCTCGGCTCACTGCAACCTCTGCCTCCTGGGTTCAAGCGATTCTCCTGCCTCAGCCTCCCAAGTAGCTGGGACTACAGGCGCGTGCCACCACACGCAGCTAATTTTTGTATTTTTAGTAGAGATGGGGTTTCACCATGTTGCCCAGGATGGTCTCAATCTCTTGACCTCATGATCTACCCACCTCAGCAACCTGACCTATCTTACTCTTCATCCTCACTGTTTTCCTCTCTTATTTGGTATAATCTAAATAAATTTAACCCTAATGGTTAAAAGAAAAAAAAAGTCTAGTTAAACAGAGGAAGATGACAAAAGGGAGAAGGTGAGAAAACCCATGTCACTGACTAGTAGAACTAAACTGAGAAAGCCATCTTGCTCTGAGTTCCTTGGGGTGTAAGGAATCCAAATAAGTTGAAAGTTTCCCTAATTTTGATCATTGTCATGGCTTGTTTTAGATTTTAAGGTTTAATATTTATATAGTAAATTATTTCACCAAAATTCCTATATAAATATTAAGTTATGTCTGACAAACATATTATTTAAGTAATCAGAGAGTATGTAAGTCTTCACAAGAGGATTTTTTTTTTTTTTTTTTTTTACATTTTATGCCATTGGTCTCATGAGTAAAAAAGAATCATTTTTATTTTTTTGACTTACAGCTGCAAGTTCCCAATAGTTTACATCTCATATATCTTACACCATTCTTTCTCATTTTCTAGTCAGATACTTTCTTCTTTACGTCCTTCCAGATTATGCATTTAGTCTCTTTACAACTATAAAATAAAGTCCAGAAAAGAAAAAAAAAATCATTTCCTAGGTTTGTTATCCTTGCCTTGGGTCTTGAGCTATCTGGCCCTGGAGTCCTAAGGATAAATGAAACAAGAAAGCTGTTCCTTCTAACATAAGGTCTCCAAGAATCTCATGTCAACAGAAAGGTGGCTTACTTCCTCAGCTCTTCTGCCAGGTGTCGCTGGCTGCTTTCCAGGTTCTCCATACTTTCCTGATTCAGCTTTAAATCGCCCTCCAGTTTGTGCAGTTCCCTTTCACAGTTAATTCTCGCTTTTCTCTCCTGCTCAAGGGCACCCTCAAGCTGACAAAAGGAGACATTATTTAGTCAAATAAATAGGTAGAGTTTATACTTCACTAGATGTGTTCATTAACCACTTACCTTCTGGAAAAAGAAGGACACAAGCACAAATTCTATAAATGATGCCCAGTAACACAGATATTTCCAAATAAATATTGCATATGTCAATAGGTTAACAAAAGAATCCAGAAATCACAGGGATGGAAGAAAACTTTAGAAATTACAGAATAGGAGTTCTGTCTTAGGGAAGGAACCAACAAGAAATGGCCAGTGAGCCCTTGATTGATCTCTTTCCAATGATAGGAAGCTCACTTCTTCACATGGCAGCTCATTTCACGGGTGGATAAGTCCATTTACTTGGGAGTGCTTCTTCATAAGAAGCCAAAATATTTCCTGTAAATTCTCTCCACAAGCACCAGCTCTGCTCCCTGGAGCAACACCAAGCAAATCAGTTTCCGCATGATCATCCTTAATAATTTGGAATAACCCTAGGCATCACTGGCCCATTCAAACACATTCTCACATGGCATGATTTTTAAGCCCTGTCACCACCTTGCTACCCTCTTCTAGTTCATAACATCATGTCATATTCTGGTTCCTCACTAAATGTCCTCCATCAGAACATTCCAGTTTTGTATGGATTAGTATTGCCAGGAATTATATAGAGGTTAATTTTCCAGGAAGCTAGATAACAGTCACAATATGGCTTTTTATTTATTGATACGTTTACTTTAAAACAATGGAAGATATGCTCTGTAACCAGCCAAAGAGATGAAATTAAAATTGGGAGGGAGGGAGAAATTCTGGAAAGGATATATGTAAAAATCAGAAAGTAGATGAACACTGAGTTCTGTGGACTGAAAGTCTATGTCCCCGCCAAATTCATATGTTGAAATCCTAATCCCCAGTGCAATGGTGTTGGGAGGTGGGCCCTTTAGGAAGTGATGAGGGCATGAAGGTGGAGCCTCCAAGAATGGAATGAGTCCTTATAAAAGAGAACCTGGAGAGCTTCCTTGTTCCTTCTGCCATGTGAGGACACAAGGAGAAGTCACCCTCCATAAACCAGGAAATGTGTTCTCACTAGACACCAAGTCTGCTGGTACTTTGATTGCAGACTTCCCAGTCTCCAGAACTGTAGGAAATAAACTGCTATTTATTTGCCACCCAGTTTATGGTATTTTATTATAGCAGCCTGAATGAACTAAGACACCAGGAGAGAATAAATGTGTGGGTGTGTGGGTGTGGGCAGGTGTGTGTGATGTGCATATACCTGCACATATATAAACACCCAAAAATCCTTATGCTGAGGCTTTGTGAGATATGTAATTAGTGGAAATAGGAAGAAATGTAACACAACGAATAAGTAATAGAAGAAACTTATATAGAGGCAGGAAGAAAGAGCAGCAGACAAGGAAAAAAAAAAAACCTAACCACCCTTGTCAACAATTTTATAAAGGCTACACTTTATAAAAGTGGGGACTACTGTGAGCATAAATGCATAGCATACACTATGTCAGCTGGGGTGGGAAAAAGGAAGAATTATGAACCCACACATTGAAACCGGTGTGCGGTGTGAAACAGTTTTATTTCACAGGGCATTTAGAAGCAAAACAAGGGCATCATCTCTAGAATCTTAAAAGTAATTTCCAGTAGTGTAGGTAGAACACAGCTTGTGCCTCACGTATCTTTCAACCATAAATAAATCTCAGCACACCACTGGAAACACACACGGCCTTTAAAACGAATCCTTCAACACCAGTGTCAAATAAAGTACCAGCATATCTGTAGCACAAAACACCAGGTTCCGTGGGAGATATGGGGAAAGCCAGTCACCTAGAGTGATAACCCTTTACCATGCATCTTAATGCTCTTTTACTATCATCCAGGGTTGAATGAAATTTGCATTTAAAAACTGATAGATTATATGCAGAGACCTCTCTTATACTGTCGTGGTTTTGTGTATAAAAAAATAACCCTTTTATTCTGAATAATCAGGAAAACTATGCTACTAGGTTTTCCTGAAACTGTCAAGATAAATTAATGAATTAAAAACTGGAGATTTGTATATATGTAGACAGTTAGCTAACTAACCAGATACACTGTTACTGACCCCAACAACTTGCTGTTCCAGCTTCAGATTTGCTTTGCTCAGGCTGCTGAGCTTCTCCTCCTCCATGTGCAGGTCATCTAGGGTCTGCTGATGGGCCTCCTGCACAACTTTGGCTGCTCTGTTAAGTTTGCTGATATCCTCATTTAGAAACTCTACTTCCTCAGTCAGGTTCTTGACCTGTGGGAAGAAGATGACAGCTTCATTAAAGCCACTGCTGGAAAGTTGGGCATAATACTGAGGGTCATCTCCTTTTGTCGTCCAGAACAACGCATGAGGTATCCAGTGTCATAAAGAGCTGTATTTAGCCAAGTTCCTGATACACTTTCTAAAGCTAAATTTAGTTTTTCTCCCACAAAAATGATCTGTTATCTGTCATGGTCAGGAAATGGAGTATTCTGTTTAAACATTAATATGAGTAAATAATTAACATTATTCATAATTATTTAACATTATTAATATGAACTAAATTGGATGGCCAATTTAATTCACATTATTATATAACAGTAACAACACTAAAAGCAATTGCGATTTCTTTTGAGGAGTCATGGCATGTACCGATCGTGTTGTGCCTCAGTAACCCAAGAAAGTGGCAGTTAAAGAAGGGTTCCAGCTGATAAAACATGCAAACGTGGAAGTTGACTGTATCAGGCCCATGTGCTTTTTATGAAAGGGAATCAATAAAAATAAGAGTGCTATTTAATAGCCTGACAAAATTACGGTGTCACTTTGGAGACTGTATCAGAGGCTTGATGCAGACTCCTCACTGTCCTCAATCTACACACAGATGCGCAAGTTAAAACCCTCAAACAAACTCTCAGCCAAAACAAACAAAACACGAAAGTCCTTAACTAGAATTAAAGTGACATCTTCAAGGTCAAACTCCAAATCAATGACACAGCTGGGGACTCAGGCACATCCCAAATTATCTTTTAGCAAACCATATCATGCTCATTCTCCTTCCAAAAAAAAAAAAAAAAGGGTTCTTACAGGCCCCATGAAACCATTTTACTCTATTATAGAGTTCAGATGCAATAGGATTGGAACAAATGAAAATGTTTCATTTGGGAAGTTAAATAAGGTTCCATAAGTTCAAACTGGAAATCTGAATTGGGAGAGCATAGTTTATCAGACCCTATATTTTGTGCCAGTTCTGACTCTCAATGCTGCAAAGTTGCAGGCCACTGTGTTAATTAACTTAAATAGAACAAGTCAGATACCAAAACCTGATTTGAGAGTGGAATTCTGGCTGCTAGGCCTTCTAAACTAACATTATGGAAAAAGTACCTTGTGCTCTGTAGTACGTTTCTCCTTCTCTGACTTCACCAACATTGTTTCCAAGTCATCGATTTCTTTCTTCAACTCCGAACATTCATCTTCGAGTTTCCGCCCCCTGGCAGTCAGCTCAGAATTTATCTCCTCTTCTTCCTCCACCCTCTCCGACAGCTCTTTTACTCTGGCCTCCAGCTGGATCTTGGATTTAATCAGCCACTCGCACTGCTCTTCAACATTTGCCAGTGTCTCTTGCTCCTGCCATGATGAGGAGAAAATTGTTGCCAACAGCTGGAAGTAATTTATCAGCTAGGCGAAAATGCTGCTTAACACATAGCAAAGAGATAATTGCCTGCCCTCTGCCCAGCACTTTCACCTACCTTTCCTAAACAGCTGCAATAATATTCCCAGGTCCCTGATCAGATCACTGAGAAGTGGAGAAGTTGCTTGTGTTTGGAGGTGCTTTCGATCTCTCAGGCCAATTCAGTAGATTAGATTACCTCTTCTAAAGCACTTAATAGAATCCTGGTGGCCTAAAGGAGCTAGCGTGCCTCCAAAAATCAGTGGTGTGCTGCTTAAACCACAGCTTCTGGAAACATCCATGCGGGCACAAGTTTGAGGTAGATAACTGCTCAAAAAATCATCTTTTAAGAAAGCAGAGTTCCCTCAGAATATTGCACTATAACTATTACAAGTGCACGGATGTACATGTTTAATATACATCTCTTCTAATAAATTGAGCTGAGTTATATGTTTTTTAAATTCATAGGCTAAATTTAGAATTCATAAGTTGCAAGTCACTAACTAGATTTCACTGTTATTTCGAACTAAAATTTTTGCCTCAATGATTCTGATAGTACAAAGTTACACAAAGAGCATATAGTACTCTTTCCTTTATCCTTGCACAGGCACTGCCTCCAGCTCTTACTGGGTGACCCATTGTTCCTGTGTTATGGGTCAAGTAAAAAGTGTGTTATGGGTCAAGTAAAAAGTAAAGGGGGTTTTTACTACAGAGCACCTTTCATAACTTTAAACCCCTCTAACTTGTCTTCTTTAGAGGCTGAATAAAACCTCTTCTTCATAAGCAAGCTCTTTATTGTTGTTGGTCTTGCTGTAATATAACTTTACATACATTTTCATCTTCCATCTCTAGACCTCATCCATCCTTCACAACATGCCAGTTTGGGCAATGTATTAATGATCCATTTGCCTCACTTAGCTTGTGTCTGCTAATCAGATCAAGAGTGGGAGACTGGGGGGAGATAAAAATCCAGGCTATTGGCCTCTGAGTAGCTCCTGGCTGGAGAATGGCTGCCTACCCAGCAAACGGGGCTCAAAGAGGCACAGATGGAGAGAGGTATGGAATAATGAATGTACAACTTCACTGAAAATCCCAAAACAGGGGCTAAATTAAAAAGGAGTATCAGGACATTTAGGAATGGTGAATGCAAATCGGAGAAGCTTCCAACGTATGGGAAATAATGGGGACACTTTATCTTAGTTCACCCCAGATTGACAAGCAGAACAGTTTTTGCTGCATTCCATTCAGCCTGTATACAAGACCTGTCACCACCACTGAACAAAGAGGACAGTCCAATCGACCATCATTGATCTCTTCATTAAACATGACAGCAGGATTTGGGGGCTGACTGAGCAATGGTGTGGCAGTTTAGCAGTAGGAAGATTCCTTCCCCAGTGGCAGCTTTCTGACGTACTCACAATGTTAATTGGAACGAGGTCACTCAGTTCTAGTGGAATTTTGACTAAGCAAAGAAGGATTTCAAAATACTTCTTTTTTTTTTTTTGGATTATTTTGTGTTTAGCTTTCTCCCTTAAAACAAATAATCTTAAAATAGATATTATATATAATAATATATAATGATAGCTCTGTCAACTTCTTTATCACAGTTACAATCTGAACTCATCTCAGCCTTCTTGGGTTTGCTCTGGAGTTTGCTTCCATGTGTTTCCCATGCTCCCCATGATGATCTTTGACATGCACCTTTGTCATGGTAGCTACTTTGCTACTTTGACATGGTAGCTTTTGTCTACCATGCCCTACACAAGCTGGGTCCATTTCTATCTCCTGCATCAACCCAGGTAGCACTGGCTACTTTCCATCAGTAGGAAGAATGATAGAAACTGGGAGGCCCGGTGTCAACCAAAGTTACCTCTTCCCTAAGCCAAAATATTTTACAAATTCTGATTCTTACAGTTCTTACAGTAGCTTTGAAATGGGGCCCAGGAATTTGTATTTTTAACAAGCACACCAGGTAAGACTGGTATACACTGAAGTTGTAGAATCACTGCTATGTTAAATATGTATCAGAAATGCGGGTTTGGGTGTAAAGTCTTACATAAAATACAGCCTCTTGGCATGCTGGTAGATAATACAGCTTCAAAATATTAAAGAGTAATAACAATAAAAGAATAACTTGTGTCAGTCTGAAAGTACTAAATTTTCTCTGTTTTTGGTAAAGTTTAAAAATAAGAAAAACTGTTGTTTCTTATTTAAAAAGCAAGAAAAATTATATTTGAACACAGAATTTTTCAACTTAACACTGTGCTAAGTAGAGAGGAAAGTATTATAAAGGTGGTTAAAATTTCATCCTGGCCCTTTGGGCTGTTTTGGGATCACAGTAGTCCAGGTGGCTAGGGAGGAGTAACATGAAAGACAGTGAGTAATGACACATTAGCATCATACTGTAGACAGAGGCTTGAATACCAAAACCAGGGGTTTGGAGTCTAAAAATGTACATATTATATGATCTGAGGGTTGCTCACCCGGGAAGCGACATGATGCTTTTTTAAAGACAATGGTTCTTAATCTGGACTGGATATCAGTGTCACCCATAGAGATTATTTGGACCTACACAGAGTCTGCTTAATCAAAATATCTGAGAGTGGAGTCTAGGCATCTTTATTTTATTTTTTTAATGTTTCACAAATGACTTTGATACAAAGTCAAGGTTAAGAACTGTTTTAAAAACTCAACTCATTAGTAATGTTGATTTGGACCCAGGAAGGGGAAGTAGGGAGACCAAAATCAGGATATCTGACTAGAAGCACACTGCAACATTCCTGAAGATCTCAGTCAAGCTTTACTTGGGACCTACTAAAATCCTGTCTGCTGATTTGCTAATGGGTCATGGGCTACATACAAACTTTAAATTAAGATCCAGAGCTTCCCGGCCTCCATCATGTGCTATTATACAGTAAAAATCCATCTGATAATTTGTCCCTTTTTAAAAGACATCTTGCCAATGAAATCACTTCACTATGAAACAGGGTATCTCCTTGTTTTCATTGTCTTTGGTTTTATAAAATCCTTTGGTATCTGAAAAGCACATGCATCTATTTTTTTTTTCTTCCGTGTCAACACTGCCTGATTAACAAGGAAGTCTAATTAAAAACTTGATTTAAAGAACAAATGGTGTGGCTACTCACAGCCTGAAGCTGAAGAATCAGGTCATTTTTTTCCTGAGTGAGGGATACTTGCTTTGCTTTCAGTTCCTCCCTCTGAAACTCTGATTTCTCCAAGGCTTTCTGTAATTGTGCACACTCTTCCTTCAGTCCAGCTATTTCTTCTCCTCTTTCTGAAGATTTAACAAGAGGCTTGATCTTGAAGAAGAGCCTCATCCAGGCCCAGTTCTTCACAGCCATAAAAGCTCTTATGTTCCATTGTATCAAAATGAGTGCATCCCTAAATCAAGAGAGAAAAAAGAAAAGCAAGTTAGCCCCGACTAAAGGAAAATTAGTTCCCAAATTAAAATCCTCAATAAACACATCTTTTTAGGAGTCATAAAAAATTCTTATTAGTCTTCAAAGCACTTTTATATCTGGACTTTCACTTGATTCTGGCAAAAACTCTCCAAGGGGTATCTGGGGTTAGCAGTATTATGGACTAGATATCCTAAAAATGTTCCCATCACTAACATCCTTTGAATGAGAGCTGAACCTAAAGAGAGTAAGACATATAGAAGGCACCAAAAACTTGAGCAATAAGTGAATGCATGCATAGCTTGGCCATCTTTACGGAAGGAGGAAAGAAGTCTTGGTATTGTAAGAGTCTGTATTTTCATATTCACATGGATAAAAAGGCAAGGCACAAACCTCCAAAGAATCTTACCCTTAATAAAAAGGAGGACTGAAAAATTCACCTACCAGCAAAGAGAGATATCAAATTAAAGTACATCTGATTTGGTGTGAGTGAAGACAAATTCTACTTCAGATTTTTTTTAATGATCCAGTACCACTGAATTATTTAAGGTTTAAATTATACTACCTGAATGGTACAGAAATATCCAAGAAATTAGCACAATGATTTTTTTACTCTGATAATAAATACCTTTTCAACCCTTGGAGTAGGAAAATGCAAAATTACATTGAAAAAAAAAACACCTTAAACCCAAACACCAGAAGTTCTCCTACATAAGGCACCCTGAAGGGGTTAAAATCCAAAGTTACAAAACACATATAGGAAAATTAAGTTGAGCACATATAATAAAAAGTTTGATGAAACCCCCAAGATTTTCAGATAATTATACTATCTGATGGAGACTATCAAATAATTATGTTAAAAATTATTGACCAGGCTCAGTGGCTCACACTTGTAATCACAGCACTTTGGGAGGCCGAGGCGGGTGGATCACAAGGTCAGGAGAATGAGACCACGGTGAAACCCCATCTCTACTAAAATTATAAAAAATTAGCCAGGCGTGGTGACAGGCACCTGTAGTCCCAGCTACTCAGAGAGGCTGAGGCAGGAGAATGGTATGAACCTGGGAGGCACAGCTTGCAGCGAGCCGAGATCATAGCACTATACTCCAGCCTGTGCGTCAGAGCAAGACTCCGTCTCAAAAAAAAAAAAAAAAAATTATTGTCAAAGGTAAAAAGGAAAGAACTTTAGAAACAATGAACCACTCTGATAAAAGGACATACAGATTTGAAATAAGACCAAATAAAATGTCTAAAACTAAAAAATATAGCAGTTGAAATCAAATACTCAGTGGAAAAATTAAGCAGGTTATTAGAAACACTGGGGGAAAAAAACTAGTGAATTGAGAAAAGAACAAACCCCCACAGCTCCAGACTCCAGGATGGCCCTATAACCTCAGGTTCCAGGCTTGCCCCAGTGCCAGTCCAGACATGTAGCCCCAGACTGCAAGCCTACCCCCAATGACCCAGACTCCAGGACCATCCCGATAATCAGTCTAGTCCCCACAGACCCAGGCCCCAGAACTATCCCCATGGACCCAGTCAATAAGGGTGTTCCAGTAGATCCTAACCACAGACTGACTTTCATGGCCCCAGGATCCAGACATACCCTCACTAAGTCCACCACCATGGACTTAGACACCAAGGCTTGCCCATGTGGATCCAAGATCTAGTGTATACAGCCTCCAAGCTAATCTTCATGGACCCAGGAATTGGGCCTGAATGTGCACTGAAACTGCCACCAAGCCATCATGCCCCAAGACTCCAGCAGCAATCCTACCAGTGGACACTGCCAGCTGGGCTGCCCAGAATCTCTGACCAAGCTTACTGCTGAAGAGGTTTTCCTGTTGAAACCAGCCTATAAAGACTAAAAGATGTACTACTTCAAATGCACAAACACTAATGTAAGGCCACAAGGATCATGAATAATCAAAAAAATATGACACCACCAAAGGAACAAAACAAAACACCAATAACCACCCCTAAAGAAATGGAGATCTACAAAGTAACAAAATCAGACACTGGAGAAAGCAAGAAATTACAGGTTTCTGAAACAAATACACAAACAAACTGAACAGCTGGAGCAGTGAGGGACGAAGGCCTAAAATCTCTAGCCAAGATGTCTGGTGAAGATCTTGCCCAGTCAAAGCCAGTACATAAATATGGAGGAGGGGGACTACTGTTTCTTCAAATGTACAGACACTTATGCAAAGCTATAATAATCATGAAGAATCAGGAACACAAAACAGAATAAAAAGAATGAAACAAACCACCTAGAAACCCACCCTAAATGGAGATCTATGAATTGCTGACAAAGAATTCAAAACAATGATCTTAAAAAAAAGTTTAGTGAGCTACAAGAGAACAACTAAACAAAGTGAGAAAAATAATACATGAACAAAAGGAGAATTTCAACAAGGAAATAAAAACCATAAAAAAGAACCACATAGAAATTCTGGAATTGAAAAACACAATGACTGGACTGAAAAATTCCATGGAAAATATAAATGCAATCAAGGGGAAGAATCAGTAAGCTCAAAGACAGGTCGTTTGAAATTACTCATTTAGAGGAACAAAAAGGAAAAACAAATGAAAAGAATGGAGAATGCCTACAGCACTTATAGGATATCGTCTAGCTTACCAATATATACATTATGGGAGTCACAGAAGGAGCACAGAAAGAGAAAGAAACAGAAAGCTTATTTAAAGAAACAATGACAGAAAGCTTTTAAATCTGGAGAGGAAAACGAACAACTAGATTCATTAAGCCCAAAGAACCTCAAGTAGATCAAATACAAAGAGATCTTCACCAATGCACATTATAATGAAATTCTCAAAAGTCAAAGAGTTTCGAATGCAGCAAAACAAAAGTAACTTGTCACATATAATAAAACACTCCTGAGACTATGAGCAGATTTCTCAGCAAAACCTTGCAGACCAGAAGACAGTGGTATGATAGAATCAAAGTGCTGAAAGAAAACAAAAACTAAAAACCACCAACCAGAAATACTGTATCCAGCAAGGCTGCCTTTCAGAAATGGAGAGATAAAGACTGCCACACAAATAAAAACTGTGGGAGTTTATCATCACTACTTGCCTTACAAGAAATGCTAAAGGATGTTCTTCAAGTTGAAACAAAAGGATGCTAACTAACCACACAAATATATATAAAAGTGTGAAACTCACTGAAAAGACAAGAACATAGTCACATTCAGAATAATACTGTAATAATGGTGCATAAATCACCTTTTACTCTAATATTAGTTAATGTACAAAATTATTTAAAATAACTGTAGCTACAATAATGGATTAATAGATATACAATATTAAAAAATATTAAATTGTGACATAAGTAACATAAAATGTGGGGACAAGATAAGTTAAAATGAAGAGTTTTTATATGTAGTTGAAGTTAAACTATTGCCAGCTTAAAAATAAGAGGTTTGTCAGCTTAAGATAAACATGTAACTACAAGATGTTTTATGTAAGCCCCATGGTAACCACAAAGAAAAAACTTCTAGTAAACATACAGAAGATAAAGAGAAAGGAATAAATACCTAGCATTACAAAATATTATCACATCACAAAGGAAGACAGAAAGAAACAAACAATTTTTTAAAAAGTCATAAAACAATTAAGAAAATGGCAGTAGTAAGTCTGTATCTATTAACAATTACTTTAAATATAAATGAAATAAGTTCGCCAATCAAAAGACAGAGTGGCCAAATGAATAGAAAAACCAAACCCAACTATATGCTGCCAACAAGAGACACACTTTAGCTTTGAGAACATACACAGGTTGAAAGTGAGAAATGGAAAAAGATATTCCACGCAAATGGAAATTGAAAAAGAGCAGGAGCAGCTATAGTTACATCAGATAAAATATATATAAGTCAAAAACTGTAACAAGAGATAAAGAAAGTTATTACATAATGATAAATGGGTCAATTCATCAAGATGATATAAATATCTTTATATTTGACAAGATTTAACATCCATTCATTCATCCATCATAAAAATTCTCAACAATGTAGCTATAGAAGGAAGGTACCTCAACATAATAAAGGCCATATATGACAAGCCCACAGCTAACATCATACTTAATGGTGAAAAACTGAAAACTGAAAGCTTTTCCTCTAAGGTCAGGAACAGGACAAGAATGCTCACTCTCAATAGTTTTTTCCGATACAGTACTGAAAGTCCTAACCAGAGTAATCAGCAAAAAGAGGAAACAAAAGCCATTCAAATTAGAAACAAAGAAGTTAAACTATCTCATATAGAAAACACTAAAAACCACCAAAAAATAGAATTAATACATTTGTAAACTTGCAGAATTAAAAAAACACAAAAAATTAGTAACATTTCTATATACTAACAATGGACTATCCAAAAAAGAAGTCAATTCATAATAGCATCAAAAAATAAAATAAAATAAAATAGATAGGAATAAAACTTACCAAGGAGGTAAAAGATCTGCACGTTGAAAACTATAAAACATTGAAAAAAGAAATTGAAGACACAAACAAATGCAAAAATATCTTGTGTTCATGAATTGGAAGAACACAGGATATTTTTGGTTAAAAGTCCATAGTCCCCAAAGTTATCTACAGATTCAATGTAAACCCTTTCAAAATTCCAATGGTGTTTTTTACAGAACTAGGAAAAAATTCCTAAAATTTATATGGAACCACAAAAGACCTCAAATAGCCAAAACAATAGAAACAAAGCTGGAAGAATCACATTACCTAATTTCAAAATACGCTACAAACTATAGCAAAGAAAACAGCAAAGTATTGGCATAAAAACAAACATATAGTCCAATGGAACAGATCGGAGAACCCATAAATCAATCTATGCATTTATGGTTAATTGTTCTTCAATAAAGTTGCCAAAAACACACAGTATGGAAAGGACAGTCTTTTCAATAAATGGTGTTAGTAAATTAGATATCCACATGCAGAAGAATAAGTGGATCCTCATTTCACACCATATACAAATATGAACTCAAAAGGAACTAAAGACTTAAATTTAAGATCTGAAACTGTAAAATTACCAGAAGAACACTTGGAGAAAAAGTTTATTGACATTGGTCAATAAATTGCCAACGATTCTTTTTAATGTGACCCCAAAATCAAAGGCAACACAAGCAAAAATAGACAATGGGATTACATCAAACTAAAAAGCTTTTGCACAGCAAAAGAAACTATCAAAAAGGAGAAGACAACCTATGGAATGGGGGAAAATATCTGCAAACTATACATGCAATAAAGGGGTAATATTCAAAATATATGAGGAATTCAACTGTATAGCATGAAAACAACCCCATTAAAAATCAGCAATGACCTGATAGACATTTCTCAAAAGACTACAAATGGCCAACAGTATATGCAAAAATATTCAATATCACTAATTATCAGGGAAATACAAATCAAAACCACAATGAGATGTCACCTCACACCTGTTAGAATGGCTATTAATAAAGACAAAAGATAAGGGTTGGCAAGTATGTGGGGAAAGGGAACCCTTGTACACTGTTGATGGGAATGTAAATTGGTACAGCCATTAAGAAAAACAGTACGAAGGCTCCTCAAAAAATTAAAAATGGAACTACCATAGGATCTATCAATCTTAAAATACTAATGAAATTTGAATTTTGAAGACATATCTGCACTATCATGTTCATTGTACTATTATTCACAATAGCCAAGATATGGAATCAACCTAAGTGTTCATTGACAAATAAATTAAGTGTGGCATAAATATATAATGAAATATTATTCAACCTTAAAAAGGAAAACATTGTCATTTTTGACAACATGGGTTAATCTAGAGGACATTAGATGGCTAAGTATAATAAGCCAGGCACACAAAGACAAATATGGTATGATCTCACTTATATGTGGGATATTAAAAAAGTCAAACTCACGGAAGTAGAGGGTGGAATGGTGGTTACCAGCAGCCAGGCCATAGGGAAAATGAGGAGATGTTGCTCAAAGGACACAACGTTTCAGTTACGCAGGATGAGTAAGTTCTGAAGATCTAATATACAGTATGGTAACCATAGTTACTAATTCTGTGTTGTATACTGGAAATTTGCTAAGAGAGTAGACCTTAAATGCTCTCACCACACACAAAAGATAACTTCATAAGGTGAGGATTAATCAGTTTGATTGTGGTAATCATTTCATAATACCTACATATATCAAAACATCAGATTATACACCATATATCCAATTTTTGTCAATGGTAACTGAATAAAGTTGGAAAAAGGAAAAAGAATAAACACAAAGTAGAAGAAAAAAAAGAATAAAGGTAAGATCAGAAATTAATGATCTAGAAAAAAAGTTTAAGTGGTTTATTAAATAGACTAAATAAAGATGTGGCATGAATGGTCAAGAAAAAGGAAAGAAGGCACAAGAAAACAATACTAGGAATGATAATACTCTAGAAATATAAATAATTTAGGATTATGCTCTAGGAATATAATATAGATACAGTAGAGATTTAAAAATAATAAGGCCAGGTACAGTGGCTCATGCCTGTAATCCCAACACTTTGGGTGGCCAAGGCAGGCAGTTAACTTGAAGCCAAGAGTTTGAGACCAGCCTGGTCAAAATGGTGAAACCTTATCTCTACTAAAAATACAACATTTAGCCAGGTGTGAAGACACAGCCTTTAATCCTAGCTACTCAAGAGGCTGAGGCACAAGAATCACTTGAACCAGGGAGGCGGAGGTTGCAGTGACCTAATATCATGCCACTGCCCTCCAGCCTGGGTGATAGAGAGAGAGTCTGTCTCAAAAAATAAAATAAATAAAATAAAAAATAAAATAAATCGATCAAATTGAAAAATTCAAAAGAAATGTAAAATTTCTTTTTCAATAAAAGAAAGCTTCCCTGCACTAATTCAAGAAGAAAATATCTCATTAGACATGTAACCAATAAATAAATTGAATCAAAATTATAAGACCTATCACAAAAGAACCACCAGATCCAGATTATTTTATTGGCAATGCCTACCAAAGAGTCAAAGACCAGTTATAAACTGGTTCATGTTTTGAAGAGAGAAAACATTCTTCAACTGTTTATGAGGTTAGGATAACCTTGATTCAAATTCAGATAACACAGCAGATGAAAATTATAGGCCAATCTTATTCATGCATATTGATGAAAAATCTCATGATGATATTACAATCAAACCCATCAATGTATGAAAATATTTCTTAACCAAAGTAAGTTTAACTTTTTAAAAAATCTGTTAATATATTTCCACACATTTATAGATTAATTCAGAAAAACCATGTGATTGTTTCAATAGATGCAGATAAATGATTAAATAATTTCCTGATAAAAATGCTTAACAAAATAAAATAGAAGGAATGTCCTTCGTACAATAAGTCATTTCTACAAAAACAAAACAAAACAAAACAAAAAAAACTACACTGAACATCATTCTTTAAAGGGAAATGATAGCTTTCCCCAAAGTCAGAAATATGAAGACATTTGGCAAAAGTTTCTAAAGGCTGATATACCACAAGTGAGTGAGAACATGGGACAACGGGACTCTCATACATTGCTGGTGGAGAATATGGCATATTAGAAAGCAATTTGGCAACATCTTGCAAAGTTGAAGTTGTGTGTGACCTAAAACCTATTATTAATTCATGCCCTAGAGAAGCGACACTCAAAGTGTGTGCCTCAGACCAGCTGCTATCCACAAACTGTTATCAGAAAATGGAGTATTTTGAGTAATGATGCCCTCAATAAACTCTTATATATACGAATGGGGAGACATTTACAAAAATGTCACTGCAGAAGTTACTGGCCAGAAAAAAAAAAGGAAATAACAAATTTATATTAGCTGGAAAATGGATAAATAAATTATGATATATTCATATAATGGAATACTATACAGCAGTTAAAATCAATAAGCTAGCCCTAGATTCATTAACATCGATATATTTCAAAGAATAATACTGAATATAAAAGACAAACTTCAGGACAATCTATACAAAATATTATTTACATGAAGACTAAGCACATGTAAAATCATGTCACATTTTAAGGATATCTGCATATCGAGTAAGCAAAGGTATGAAAACATACTTTTATATGACATATATAAAACATGGAATGAGAGACACAAACTCAGGGTCTGAAAAGGAAAAGGTAAGACTTGGATTACAGCAGAACTATATGGGGGCTTTAACTATGTATGTTAATTTTTTAAAATGTTGTTAGCAATTACAGAAAAAAAATGTTAAGAGTTGGCTGGGTGCCATGGCCCATGCCTGTAATCTCAGCACTTTGGGAGGCTGAGGCAAGAGGATTGTTGAACCCAGGAGTTCGAGACCAGCCTGGGCAACATAGGGAGACCCTGTTTCTACAAAAATAAAAAATTAATAATGTTAAGAATTGAAATGCCTTCATGATGACTCCATGAGTATATATTACAGTATTTTTTGTATTTTTTATTTGCTTGAGATCTTTCAAAGTAATTTTTAAGTCACAATTTAGAGAGAATGGATCATAGAGGTTTCACTTCAGACATTAAGAAAGTAAACTATAGAGAAATTAAGAATCTTACCCAAGTTTACACAACTGGTCCTAGAAGCCATGTTTCCTGACCCCCAAACTCCCATACCACACTGACCACTATATGAGAGTCACAGAAGACCCTTAAGAGTCATCTCTCTATTATCTTTGACATCACCATGTAATAACCATTTTCTCTTGGGAAAAAATAGAATTAACAAATTGTCAATTAAACAAGTTACACCAAGATCTGTAGACCTCTCTTCAGAAGACAATATATGCTAAGGGAAAAATAAATACAACTTCAGCATCCCTTGCTCACAGTCCCTTTGTTTGGAGATTTTGCTAGCTTGCTTTCCATGATTCTATTAAACAACAGACAAAACCAATGCCTAAGAATGTACAAGCATGGTGATAAATGTCCCTAGTGAACCTGTCTGAAATAAAGTAAGAAAGTTATGATTACATGTCAACAAGAGCCACAGTTTCTGACCCACGGGACGTAACAAAGGGGTCAGAACACCTCGGTCTTTGAAGCATACTTCCCCACAGAGGTGGCTGTGGGATATATGCAAACCTTTCCAGGTCTGCTTCTGATATAAATTGTGAGTCGCACCACTCTCGGAGATCCAGACTTCTCAGAATATAAAAATCTCTCTCAAAGGGAAGCCTGAAAGCATGGCAAGAAATATCTGAATTATGCCTATACTTGGTTGAATAGAGCAATAAAAGCCCTTTGCACTCTGTCTTTTTGTTATATTATGATTTAAAAATGTTTAAGACCCAGCCTAACCAGAGAAGGCAGCTCTTGACCTACTATAAGACAATGAGATTAGTTGCACTGGTTAAGGCACACTATTACCCTAGCAGTGGGGGTGCAGGGTGGGCATACAATACCTTTCTTCCAGAATCTTCTGGAATTTGATTCGCATCAGTTTGCCCTGTGCTCTGGCTTGGAACAATGTGAAGACTTTAGATAGTCTCTCATCTCTCATTGCTTCCAGTTGACCCAGAAACCCAGCTTTAAAAAACACCTAAAAGAAAAGTCAGATGTTAGCTCCACTCATAATGGGTATTCAGCAAATGTTTATTGAATGATCCTGTGAGCAACTGTTGTGTTCCTAGGGATAAATATATCAATTCCATTTCTTGTAAGTTTTATTTAATGTGTAAAATCTACACCCTAGAAAGTTTGATTTTATAAATCTAAAATGTGAAAAAAAAACCATGTTATTAAATCATGTGGTTCTATTGTTTGCTTAAGAATGTAAACTATTCTTCCCCTTATCTATTAATAATGTGTCAATTGTTCAGGGAAGCTGGTTTAAGTTTGAAGATGGGTTCAGGCATGCAGTGCTCCAAAGTACCAGGTAGCGTTCTGCAAACATTTTCTGTAAAGAATCAGATAGTAAATATTTTTAGGCTTTATGGACTACATACAATCTCTTTAGGATATTCTTGTTTTTTAAACAATTCATGAACCATCTAAAACCATTTTTAGCTAGTGGACAATATATTAAAAATAGGACCAGGCTCTTGGGCCGTAGTTTGCTGACGTCTGTTCTAGAGTAAGGCACTTTTGTCTAAGGCATCAAATAATCCACAAAAATATTTTTTCAAGAATAATTACTAACAAACAAGGTGAAATAGTGAGGTGCCTAAGGCACACATTTTATGGAGGCACTAAGTGTGAGAGTGCCCTGAGAGTGTGTGCCTCTCAACCTCACTTGCTCAACCCTGAGAATGAAAGCCTCTTTGAAATTTGTGCCTTAGGAGCTTCACTTGCCTCATGTCAGTCTTGGCCCAGAGGAGTAGTATACAGCAAAAATAACTAAACGCACAAGGAAGGAAGGCATCATCAGTGAAAATCAGCAGAAACAATAAACAGCAGAAACTGATTCCTAAGTACTCAAAATGTGGGAGCCAACGTTTTATAACCATATACTACAGAATTCTAATTCTATGAGGTCTTTATCCTGAATTTTCCAACTCTCCTTCAAATAATTTGTTCCTTATATGGATGTCATTACGAACAAACTGATGTTGACTGCCAGATAAGACCAAATCTATTGATTAGTTATAAGTTTCCCAAAATATGTGAATCCCAAGCTCATCTAAGATGAAGTAGAATTTAGGGAATCACATTTAAGGAAATTGGTTTTGGATTAATTTTTTTAATAGTGGGTTACCTTTGAAGTTTTAAATTACTCAGAGAAATTAGTCCCTAAAAGAATATTGCGGATGAATCAGTTCACACATAGATAAGCCATTAGCTCTAGGAAGTCGATTCACCTTTTTCCAGCTCTGATATATACACATTTTCTCACAACACCAGGTTGATTCAGTATTTTATATCTTGGCACAAATTTGCTTAGATGACTAATTATAAAAATGTAAATGTAGTCAAAACTGAGGTTTAAAAAACATTGAATATTTTTCTCAAACAGCACTGAAGTTTTCACCTTCAACTAAGATCTATTTGTGTTATTTATGGTCATGACAGCTGAAGAATGCCTTATAATTGAGCATTCACAGGTATTTTAAGATACACACTCTTCCCCCAATTCGTCTCCAAATGCATTCTTTGCAGTTTTTTGGTTACCTTAGTGATTCCAAATCGGTACTGGGTATGGTCTATCTTCAAGGAGCCAAGTAATTCTTCAGCTGCTTTTCTGCTGCTCACAAACTTGCTCTTTGGAAAGGTCCTTGGATTCAGAATGCAGTACCTAATTTAAAATAAAGAAAAAATCCTGGGGTTGGGAAATCATATTATTCAAATAAAGACTAATCTAGACAAATGAGGTGAAAGGAGATATAGATTTTTATCTCTGTTATTAATACGTTCAATTTTCACAAAATTCTTAGTAACAATAATGAGGGTACAAGCAATAATCCCTTGCATTGGTATAATAGTTTGTACTTTTCATATTGCTTTAGAAGCAACCTCATTTGATTGATTGCTCAATTAGGCAGGGGTGGGATTGGAAGAGGAAAGAGAGGGAGGGAGGAAAGCATAAGTATCTCTACTGTATGGATAAGGAAACTGAAAAGCAGAGACATTAAATGTCTTTTCCAGGATTCCTTCACCCTGTTGGTGAGTTGGTGGAAAACAAGAAATATGCCTCTTAATTCTAAAGCAAGAAATATGCCCCTTTTTACTCTACCAGACTTTGCTCAAATTGACTTGATGACCTATAATTTAAACTTCTAGAATCCAGGAAATAGAAAAGATGCCACTCCTGCCTCCTGCCATATACCCTGCTGGCTTCCTTCCTTTCAGGGGCTTGCTAGTAAAGCCACAGCGTGCTTGGATGGCAGCTACGATTAAGTATACACAACATTTCAGAGACTCAATTCAGCCTCCATATGTTTCTTCTGTATTTATTTCTTCTATATGTGGGTCTATTATCTGTTAATAGAGATTTAAGGATATTACAGTTACATGGATGTTGGATTTAAGGGGAAATAATAATGGAACTCTGTCATCATATATCTTCCCACCACCAAAACACATCGATCTGTAGTCTGGAGGATATTAACCAAACAAACAATGCATGCCTAAACACTCGGAAAGGGAGGAAAACAGAATGAACTGCCTCAGGCTTCTTGGATCCTGGAAGGTATGTTTACCTTTGTTTAAAATCAGCATACTGCAGTCGGTTTGGAAAACCTTCACGGCATATCCTAATCCCTTCCAAGACACCATTACAGCGTAACTGCTGTAGAACCAAGTAAGGGTCCAATATACCTGGAAAAAAAAAAAGAGTCACGGTGGATCTGTGCCTGAAAAAAAATGATTGGCCCAGATTTTGTACCAATTGCTGCATCTTGGGTTAAAAGAAAGTCTGAATTGGATAGTTTCCACATGATAGGTCATAGGAGTTCACTCACTTATGGCCTGATAGTACTCACAGTAATCATCCTATTATGTAGGCATCTCCAAATATGATTTCCCTGAAATTCCTTTAAAATGGAACATGCCCCTTAATTCACAGTTAGATGAGATGTTTCTAAGCAAATATTCTTGGAAGGCAAAAAGATTACAATTTTTGCTAGAATGTAAATGGCTGGTCTCACGTTCATTTGCCAACCAAAAACCAGCCAGAAAGGGTGATAAGAACACAAAAGAGAACTGCCTTCTCTGCGCAGGATGGGGAAGGGATAAGGAGGAGGAATAAAAGGAAAGGGGAAGACGGACACAAGCACAACATTCTGTTTACAGTTGTGCTTAGGAAGGACTTGTCCACATGCCAGACTTCATTCTCCCCTTATTTTCATGAGAGTGCCTACGTCCTATTCTGTAGTATAAGCATCCTTCTGTCACCTTCTCATTCATCAAAAGAAGCTCTACTGTAGCTGTCAGCTGCAATCTCCAATAGAAGCCTTTGAAAAACCATCCAAGAAGCCGCTGTCCCTGCCCTCAGAGAGTCTTCTGAAACAAGCCAAGGACCACATCTCCTATCACAAATTTCTACTACGGTATTACATGAAAAATGAAAACAAAAAAGGACTCCATGCCCAAGGTCACAGAAATAAACTTAAATCATATACCCATATTTCTACACTCCAATCCCTTTCACAGACAGAAACAGATAATCTATAAGAAGGCAAAAGTAGGCCAGCACAGCGGCTCATGCCTGTAATCACAGCACTTTCGGAGGCTGAGGCGGGCAGGTCACTTAGGGCCAGGAGTTCAAGACTAGCCTGACCAACTTGGCGAAACCCCGTCTCAACTAAAAATGCAAAAATTAGCCAGGCATGGTAGTACACGCCTGTAGTCCCAGCTACACAGGAGGCTGAGGCACAAGAATTGCTTGAACCCAGGAGGCAGAGGTTGTGGTAAGCCAAGATCGTACAGCTACACTCTAGTCACTACACTCTAGCCTCAGGGACAGAGCAAGATTCTGTCTCAAATTGTTACTTTTTTTAAAAAAGGGGAGATACAGGGAGTAGAATCCTATGACACCTTAACATCAGACTCACTCATTCTCTTTAAGTACATATAAATAACTGTTTTGATTAGATCATGAAGCTTTTCTTACGACTTTGTCTTATGACTTTAAGAAAAAAACCAAACCTGCTGAAATCCAAGTTGACTCCATGGGAAGCAACTCTAATAGGTAACAGAATTGCTCCAAAATAGAACACAGCTAATTAGATTCCTTGCTAGATGGAAGCAGTGTCCCTAGACACATCCAGAAATCCAGCTGATAGGAAACAATGAGGCAAAAACATACAGCCGTGAATGAACATGAAGTGTTTGTATGGCAGAAACTCTAACGGCAACATCATTGTTTTGTATCACACTTTCCCAAAATAGGCCATAGTGTGTCAGGATTGGGGTCTTAATTACAGAAGGTTAGTAAAAATGCAAGATACTAAGGAACCTCAGAAATCAGAACCAGCAACATCTGGCTACATATTATAAGGGTGGTTAGTGCTCTAAAGACTTAGGGCTTGTCATATACACTCCTTGGAGGCCGACAGCCTCCAAACCAAGCTCCAGAGGGGCCTGTAACTCCAAAGAGATGGCTGGGAATCGTCAAGCTCATGAAGTAAGGAAAGCAATCCATGTAGTTACTTTTGGTAAAACCCTTGTTTGGGGAATTGAAAACATAAAAAAAAAAAAAAATCACCAACATCCACCTATCACATCATCCCCCTACAACTATTCTCTAACGAAAATATATCCACTGCCCAGAATTACATAACTATAAAAAAATAAATGCTATTAGAAAGGGGAAGAAGATGTTGGCATTGGCAAGGAGGACTAGAGGGTGTTGTCAACAATTAGAAATGGATTTAGGAACTGTCTTTATGGTCAATTTAGATAACTCAGACCAAATAACTTCCTTTATGCTGAAATATCTACCTTAATCCCCTAATTGATTATTCAATTCCCTTTTTATTATAGTTTGCCCTTGTAGACAATGGCATGGGAGCTCATCCATGTTCAGCATAAAATTCAAGGAGGAATTTAAATAGTAATATCAAACATTCTAATGTTGCCCAATTGAGACTGCTCTGTGAAATCCTTCTGTATGTCCATTTCAATGGCAATATTGAGGAGGTTCCAAAGACCTCATTTTTAACATATTTTCATTTTTCTATACAAAATTCTATCCTTATATAAAAGGCACCAATAAATATTTCTTTAAAAGATATTCAATATAGCTAATATCAAATCTATTTCCTAGAGTGAATTACAAAGAAATCTAGTTCTTACCCGGCATTTTATTCACATTGGGATTTATGCATCTCACAAAATGAGGTGCTGTTGATTTCAGATTAGTCATCAATTTATTCAGGTTTTCCTAAAATGGAGACCATAATAAACATAAAATCACTTTGCAAATCACTAAAAACACCAATCCACCTCACAAATGTCTCCAAATCTATCAACTCACTCTCACAGCCAAGATGTATTCTAACAGTAAAATAATGAATTCAACATTCTTTCCTGCTTACCCAATGCACGTTATTTCTTTCCTATGGCAAGTCAATATTTATTTGACAGACATAGTTCAATTGTGAATCATCTCTACCTATTTTGAATTTGATAGCAGTATCAAAGTTATGGCTGGGCAATAAAATGGCTTGAAAAAAGAAATTGTTTCTCAAGTTCTCTCTCTGTGGAAAACCTCTATCTTAGGTTAGATTCTCTAGAAGCCAAACCTGAGATGGGAATTCTGGTTTGAGAGATTTTTAGGGAGTGAAGAAAGCTGGGAACAGTAGGGGAAGAGAAAAGCAATGACTCAGACTCAGCTTTAGTCTGATCCTTGCAAGCAAGAGCTGTAAACACAAATGCACCAGTTGCACCATAGGTGGTCCCCCTTGAGGCAAGGGAGAGGCTAAAGTCTGGAGAGGAGGGCAGAGAGGCAGCTTAGTTTCCCCTTTCACTAAGTGCAATTCTGACAACTCAGAGTTGTTATGAGCCAATATGCACATCAGCTGGAAGATGGGTGCAGGGATGATAAAGGAGTTGTAGGTGGGAACCAACAAAAAATAAAGCCCTTAATTATAATAGCATAAACTTCAACTTTTCCAACTTGCTAATTCCTGATACTTTATCCTTATTTGAGGATGTGAAATGTCAAATAAATAATAACACATGCAGATTGTGAGGCAATTAATATATGAATAGATGCAATTAAAAATTACTTTATGCAGAGATGCAGCTGTTTGGAATGAAGTTCCTTTCTTTCGTTTCTTTTCCCCAAATGGTATAGCTAGCAAAAAAAAAAAAAAAAGATGAAAACATGTAAAAAGCTCATTTTTGTCACATTATCCTACCTCGCTGATGGAAGCATAAATTCATCAGAGTTCTAGAACAATATGGCAATATCTACCAAAAGCTTCAAAATATGTATGTCTTTTATCACAAAATGTATATTTTTAGTGCTTTTCCTTAAGGGTATAATCAGGCAACTGTGCAACAATACTCACTGAAGCATTATTTAGTCACTGCAAAAAAATTAAGCAAAAACAAAGTTAATCCACAAATGCACACCATAGGAGATTAATTTATGAGAGAATATGCATACAGTGAAACACTGTAAGCTTTTAAAATGATGACGTGGATCCATATAACTTATATGGAAAGATTTCTAGGATATTTTTAGAGAAAAAGTTTGTTTGCAAAGCCTAAATTTTATATATGATGACCTTGAGTATGTACACATGTTTTTAAGTGCAGCTGTGTTATGGGTGACTATAAACATGAAAAATGTTGGGGGGTGTAAATACCAAAATGTAAATAGTTGGTTAATCTATATGAGGTTACAGGTAATTTTTATGTTCTTTTTTCAGTTTTTCTATATTGTCTGTGTTTTTAGCTACATTCATGTATTTATATTCATGATTTATAAAAAATAATAAGTCTATTTCCATTTTCTTGAAGCAAAAGAACCTGTGCTAGGCCAACCAGCTTTATAAACATTTGAATAATGCTAAGTCACTAAGATGTGCAACCCAGCAACAACAAAATCCATAGGCAAGTTGGACAGAATAGGGTAGCTGTCAATATGGAAAACTAATAAAATATTCTCTGTGCCTGAGTAGCAACTGTGCCGTGGCAGATGTCATGAAGCTTAATCACTAATGTTCTTTTGAAACACCCCAGGTCTCTCAGTGAAACTCTTGACTTCTTTGTACTTCAGTTTTTCCATCCATGAAAAGGGAATATTTCATTAATTTTTAAAAAAGAATTATAACACTGGTTTAAATTATTTGGATTCCCCGGGAGAAAGTATGGTTATTACTAGCAATCTAAAGTTTGGATCCATCAGAAACTTGGAGGCAAGCATTTTCAGAGGGTGTTTTAGAACTTAAAAAAAAAAAAAAAAAAAAAAAAGCCATTCTGAACAATTCTTGTCTTTTAGTTCCTAAGAACACAGTACACACCCTGAAGAGTTAGAAGATGATTTCTCCTCTAATTCTCTGCCCAAACCATTCTCTGATCTCTTATGATCAGAGAATTACTCAACTGGGAGTCATAAGCGTATGTGGCTACTATCAAACAGACTTCTCAGAGGTACTTTAGCAGCTATTAGAATCAGGCAAATGTACTGCCTGAACATTAGCCGGGTCCGGACACAATAGCTTTCTTGAGGCAGGCCCAGAGGATTTCAGGCATGTTCCAGAATTATGTCATCATGTGCTGATAAAGCCAGAAAGTGCTAAATTTTCTCTCCATTCCCTATGTCAGTCAGGAGAACCAATCAGCCTGATAGGGGCTGGGAGTTAACATGCAGCTGGGTGTAAGATAACAGCAGGGTATGTTTGAAAGTGAGAGTACGCACCCCATTTAAAGAACAGTTGGTGTACTGTTGCCATGGGGAAATCAGAACCCAGGCTGGCTAGATTATCTACTTCCCCAGAATTTCCATTTTTCAAAAGAAAACGGAAACTCAAATGTGTATGTGAAATCTGATTTTTTAAATTTGTGTGGACCAAACAAAACGTGTTTGAAGGCCAGTTTCTGCTCAGAGGCTGTCGATCTGTGACTTTTGCTGTAAATCGTGGAGAGCTTCCCTCTGTGAGTAGGTTAGCATTTACTTCAGTGAGGCTGGTGTTAGCAACTTTGGCTCAGTATCTTCAAATCCATCATATGATGGTGCAGAAGTTTTCACTGCATCCTAAATGCAGTGATATGCATTAACTTCTCTTAAGTAGCATCCCTGATTTTACAAATCTACTATATGGCAAAGCTTAGGTAGAAAGATAGGAACACTGTACATATCTTAAAGTGTCATGGTAAGAAATAAGTAAGATAATGTATCTAACAGTACTTTGTAAATTACAAACTACTAAACAAGATTAGTTGTCAGAATAGAATGCCTGCTAAACAGGTATTTGCTGCATGCTAGAGGCTACAGTTGAGCAAGTCAGACATAATACCTGCCTTCACAAAGCTTTTAATAACCCTAAGTGCACAGAGTACTGTGAAAGAGAATATTTCAAAATATTTGGGGCAATAACTATATATATATGTATATATATGTAACTATATATATGTGTATATATGTATGTATATAGTTATATAGTTATTTAGATATTTGGGGCAATAAGTTATTGCCCCAAAATCATTCATCAAAACATGTTTTTTGTTTTCCCTTTGTAGCTAGGTGAAGTGGAAGACAAAAGCAGGCCAGGAACAGACTTCTTGAATCTATCTTAGAGCACTAGTAACATCTCCCTGAAGAATCCCCAGCCTGAAGACAGAAAGACTAATAAGAGAGGACGACTCAGACCACAGGGAGCAGAAACATATCACAGGAAAGAAGCAAGAATTTTTGTAAAAGCTGAGGCAGCCATGGGTTCCATTCTGAGGCTGAAAAATCAAGGAAGATTGTATGACTCACCACTGTCAGTACTCATGTAATTTTCAAAAAGGCTCGCCAGGAGTCTGTTGGAAGACTTCTGAAATACAGCTACCACTGTTTCATTAAGGAGGTCTTTGTTCTTTTCCAGCCAACCACTGATATTATAAGGTACCTTTGGAAAGGCATGCATTTCAGGTAATAAAAAGAAAAAAGATTGCATAAGTTAACATAGAAGGCTGTGCATTACCTTTTTTTTCTTCTTCTTTTTTGAGACAGGGTCTCATTCTGTTATCCAGGCTGGAATGCAGTGGTATAGTCACAGTTTGCTGTAGCCTCGACCTCCTGGTCTTAATCAATCCTTCCCCCTCAGCCTCCAGAGTAGCTGGGACTATAGGCACATGCTGCCATGGTTGGCCATTTTTTTTTTTTTTGTATTTTTATTTATTGTGCGTGTGTGGAGATAGAGTTTCCACATGTTGCTCAGTTTGGTCTCAGACTCCTACGGCTCAAGCAATCCACCCATCTCAGCTTCCCAAAGTGCTGGGATTACAGGGAGCCACCATGCCCAGCCTGTGCATTACTTTTAATAAATCACAAATTATGTGGGTCCTTTACCTTTAAATCAGTTTAAGGTAATAGTACTGAATAACACTCACAAAAAAGATTCTCAAGATTCTTATCATTAACATTGTCAAAAGAAAGGAACAGACAGGATGGGAAGAAGGGAGAGAGATAGGGGAAGAAGTAGAAGAAAGGAGAGGTAAGAATGGGGAGAGAGAGCAACAGAGAGGAAGGAAGGATTGAATGGTATTTCACCCCATCAGTCCTTTAAAGGCAAGAATGATAAAATAATCCAACTGTCTCTGACACACAGTGAACACTCAAAAAAACCTAGCAATTACAATGGTATTTTACTGTATATATCATTATAATTAATATGCCAGGATATCAAAGAAGAGAACTATAAACATATCTGTGTACAGCTGGCAGGCCATTTTCAGGTCAAAGTATTATTTTATCCTTTATCAGTTCTCTTTTTGTTCCACCCAGAATCACCATCCAGAAGTAGAAGTGCAGAAAAAGGGGCATATACGCCGGTGAGGAAATGAGGAGAGGTAGCAAGAGTCATCAGAAACCTTTTTTGGCCATAGTTTGGAGACCATTACTTCACGTTGACTATTTCTTTATGGGAGAATAAAAAAATCTTCAATAAAAAGATCAATTGAAATCACTCATTCACACAACGTTAAGTTAAAAGGAAGGACAAATGGGGAGAAACTATGACTTTGATGGTCTCCATGCCTTTCTGAAGCTGCCTTGCTTTGAGTTGAGGTTGACAGAGTCCATTTGGAGATTTTTGACCTCTGTGCACATGGAATGCTATTGTAGTATGGCCATTTCATTTCCTGAGTGCTAAATGGTTACACTACCTTTTTTGTGGAACTGAGATATATTTTGTTCTTCTCTTCATTTAATCTAAACATTACTTAAATATCATCTAAGGGCTTTGGCTGAGCATATTTGAAACAAAATCAGGAAAATTCAAGACCGGGGGTCCAGAGGTAACTCACCACTCCTGCATAATGGACAAGTTCGAAATGAGCTTCAAATTTCTTCTTATCAGGCTTGGGCTTCTGGAGATGAACCGACTTTCCAAAATGGTTGTCAAAGAGTTTGGTCTTGAAAGTCAGGTCTGTAGCCTTAGGAAACATACACTCTTCTTCAAGGATGGAAAAGATGCCCATTGGCTGTTGAAGAGACATAAGAGCAGCAGATTTTTTTTAAAACCACCTGCACTTTCAGTAGGGGGTCAGTATAAATTATTTCCCAGGAACCCAATCAATTGACAAAGGGAAGAATATTCACTGCATAAAACTAGCAATCATCTGTTGGGAACAGGTCCTCCAAAATCTGGCCATAAACTGGCCCCAAAACTGGCCATAAACAAAATCTCTGCAACATTGTGACATGTTCATGATGGCCATAACACCCATGCTGGGAGGTTGTGGGTTTACAAGAATGAGGGCAAGGAACACCTGGGCCACCCAGGGTGGAAAACCGCTTAAAGGCGTTCTTAAACCACAAACAATAGCACAGCGATCTGTGCCTTAAGGACATGCTCCTACCGCAGATAACTAGCTAGACCCACCCCTTTGTTTTGGCCCATACCTTCGTTTCCCATAAAGGATACTTTTAGATAATCTAATATCTACAAAAACAATGCTAATGACTGGCTTGCTGTTAATAAATATGTGGGTAAATCTCTGCTTGGGGCTCTCAGCTCTGAAGGCTGTGAGACCCCTGATTTCCCACTTCAAACTTCTATATTTCTGTGTGTGTGTCTTTAATTCCTCTAGCGCCGCTAGGTTAGGGTCTCCCTGACCAAGCTGGTCTCAGCAATCATCCATTCAACATATATTAATTAAATATCTGCTACTAAATACCCTTACCAGTAACTGCCGGTGATTGATGCAGCTGTGAGCCACATACACAAAGTGCCTGTCCTCAGGGTGCATATGTTCTAGTGGAGTGGCAGACAATAGGCAAGTAAACAAAGAAATAACTCCAAAAAACAAATGACTTAGTTTCATATAAATGCTCTGAAGAAAACATTCAAAGTAATGAAATAGAGAATGACAGGGGGTAAGGAGGTTTTAGATAGAGTCATTGGGTAAGACACTTCTCCTAAATGAAAACAACAAGCTGAGAAGATCTGTGCACAAGTATTCCAGGCAGAAAAATGAAGAATGCAAAGGCCCCGAGGCCAGAGCCCACTTGGCAAGTCTGAGGTCCTGCCAGACGCCAGTGTGGGCAGAGAAAAGCTAGCTTGACGGAGTACATGTTAAGAGAGAATGTCAAAGAGGTAAGTAAGTAGTAGCTGGATCTCAAAGGCCTTATAGGCCGTAGTAAGACATGTGGCTTTCATTTTAAATGTAATAGGAAGCCTTTGGAGACTTTTTAAATGAAGTACCATGATTTCATTTATGCTTAAAGAGGATCATTGATTTAGAAAGTAGGGCTCGTGGGCTCAGTCCTGCCTGCACTCTGTACTGGAAAGCTGGTGAGCTAAGAATGGCTTTTACATTTTTAAAGCGTTTTAAAAAAACAAACAGGTTGAGTGAGGTGGCTCACACCTGTAATCCCAGCACTTTGGGAGGCTGAGGCAGGCAGATCACCTGGGGTCAGGAGTTCGAGACCAGCCTGGCCAATATGGTAAAATCCTGTCTCTACTAAAAATACAAAAATTAGCCTGGAATGGTGGTGTGTGCCTGTAATCCCAGCTACCCGGGAGGCTGAGACAGGAAAATCACTTGAACCTGGGAGGCAGAGGTTGCAGAGCCAGATTGGGCCACTGCACTCCAGCCTGGGCAACAGAGAAAGACTCTTGTCTCAAAAAATCAAACAAACAAACAAAAAAACAAAAAATGTTACTGCAAATCTCATGAACTCCATTAGCACACTTTTTCTCTAGAGGACCATAGAGTCTCTCTCAGACCTTTGCTATCCACTTAGTCATTGAAGCACTGAAAGCAGCATGCAACAACCTGTAAACAAAATGAGTGTGGCCATGCTCCCATCAAACTTGATTTACCTAAACAGGCTGCAGGCTAGACTGGGTCCACAAAGTCAGTTTGCTGATCCCTGATCTAGAGTAGTGGTAGTGTTGGAGCTTATGAGAAGTCATTAAAAATAAGATATGCATTGAATTTAGAGCTGAGTGCCAACTTGCTGATGGAGAGAATGTGGTGTGTAGGAAAATTTTATTGCATCATATAGCACATAATTTTTTAAATGCATTTTTTACATTTATTAGACTTACAAATCCTTTACTTGACTGCAAATTTCCTGAAGGCAAAGCTATTTATAAAAAATGCTTATATTTCTCTACAGCATTTTATACAGAGTCTTATATACAGTAGTGTGGTAAAAGGCCTAAAATTGAGGCCCAACATTATGTGTGCCTTGGCATCTGGGAAAAACCAGGAGGGGCTCAAAAGTTCCCTTTCTGTTGTGCTCCCATGTGTTATGTCCCTTAGCCAAACACTCTCCTTATGGCAGGGACCATGCATAGTGCCTGCTTATCCCTGAGTAATGGGTTTCATTTCTCTATCAGCCCATGAAATTATTCAAACAAGCCTATCGCACCCTCTTGTAGAATTCTACTGTCACGTCACCTATAATTACTACAAAGTCTGCCTCCCACAGCCCCTGCTTTTTCACTCTTTTCTCAGCACAGCCCTCCTGTGGCCCTGCATGGTTCAAGGTGTACCCCGTGTAGGCTGTGAGCATATGTGGCTACTAAAATGCTGGTCTCATCTGTCTAGTGTTGAATGTCACATGTTCAGCCTTTCCCATAAACCTAGGGCAGGATTCCCTCCTTCAGCAAAGGGGTGAAGAGGAAGCAATCAAAACAAATAGTTGCAAAGTAGACTTACTTGTTGGTTTTTACAAAAAGTAAAAGCCTTTGTTTTAAGGCTTATTTCCAATAATACTAGAAGTTCCTGGAATGCCAGGATGATGCCTTCTGGGGTTTGCACATCATAACCCTTATCATAGTAGGTTCCAAGGTAACTAAAGTGTAGGCCCTCAGCACATTTCTGCTAAGTAATTAATTGACAGGTGAACCCTGAGACATACAGGTCTAAGTTCTGGGAACTTGACTGCTTTGCTGTGATCAATTATCAAACAAAATGTAAGAGTTGCCAATCAAAAAAAGCATGGAGGTATGTGTTTAAAGAAAATACTCATGTGCATACAAGAAACAATTAGATATTAATATGATTTCATTTTATATTAAAAACACCAAGAATGAACACATCTGAAAAGTTTCCCTTGGGAGGTGATAACATATAATGCCAAGATGCTGCCAGTAGTTAAAATATTTTAGAACTTTCTTTGGGATAGCTGATACTATTAACTACTGACATCAAAAATTCCTATTGTCTGATGGAATATCATTATATATTATTCAGGTCAAGTCAGGCCAATAAAGTAAATAATGTAATCAAACTAGGCAGTGTAGTTTGGACTCAAAAACCAGTGAATGAAAAGTATTGAAGCAAATTTTCTCTTGAGGCTGGTAAAATTCTAAAATCTATCCTAATCCCAATATCGTGAGAAATTTTCCAAAGAGCTAAATTATTGGAATAAGTATGTTGCCTTCTAGGGTGTTTACACCAAATAGTAAGTTTTTAAATGTATAATTTGGAGAGTATTTATTAAGAAATAATAGGGAAGATCTCTTTACCAATGCCTTATGTATAACCATAAATATGTCATTATATATTAATACTTTAGTATGTAAATTATTAATGCACAAGTTCTAAACAAACTAGAATATTTCAAGTAATAAAACATGAGCAAATCCTATAATAGATTTGTTCACAGCATAAATGTGAAAGGAGGTCACTATAAACTTGAAGACCAAATTAACAATTAAAGTTTGTGTTAGAATACATTTTTTATTTTAGTTTGATATAAACTTTTTTTTTTTTTTTGAGACAGAATCTCACTCTGTTGCCCAGGCTGGAGTGCAGCAGTGTGATCTCGGTTCACTACAACCTCCACCTCCCAGGTTCTAGCTATTCTCCTGCCTTAGCCTCCCTAGTAGCTGGGACTACAAGCACTTTTTTGTACAAATATGAAACTTTCATGTAATGAAAATCCTTTTTCCTTATATGTATACAGAGATGCATGCTATACGACATTTTATACACATTGATATGTTTTAGTTCTTTCGAATTTTAAAAACATCCCATGATGCATTTTATTTCAAGGACTGAGTTTGATCATTAATATCTGCTACAAATCTTCTTCAGATAGCCCCAACCAACATAATGGGTCTTTTCAAAATTTAGAATCTTTTCAAGGAAGTCTTTGGTATTTCCATTTGCCTGACCTGGATCCTGTTAAAATTGTTTGTCGAAAACCAAAGACTTATCTTTTCCTTTCATCATCTGGTCAGTAATTTTTTCTCATTTTATTATATCAGTAGAAAATACAACAGGAAATTACATCCATGATGCTAGTGTGTTAATTGGAATAACCAAGACTGGCACAAATGAGGCAACAGACTTCAGATCAACTAAAAATCAGTAACATTCACAGAACTTGTCAGGATCTGAATGTCTATGTCCACGTTCCTGCCTGGAAACAGTATCTTGTGATAATCAAAGTGTGTATATATGATGGGTGACAATTGCCAGGAGCTAAATCTGTCCCTCTGAGGACCTCCAGTTCTTTTGTTTCATTTCTAATCAGACAACTACAGCTTTTATAAGGCCAGAATACATTTACCAGATCATGGTTGGTTCATGCTTATTACTATTTTTAATCAGCTCATGGTTGATTCATTATTATTATTTTTTTATCAGCCTGTCTTTCCCCCAGAAAGTTAACTTGTTATAAAATAAATAAAATCAATGGGATATCTACTCCTGTTGGAAATAATAGTTATTTTCGAAAAGATCTAAAGCCTAATAAATGAAATTGATAGGACACAGATTGATAAAACCTGAGGCTTGCAAAGGACAGGGAAAGGTCAGTTGATCTAGCTCCTTCCTAGCAGGATTGTTGAGAATCAACTGTGACAGCATAGCTAGAGTTTTCAGGAAATTAAAGGCTTCAGACTGCCCAGATCCATCTTCAAGATTCACCGCAATCCACGATTATGGCGAAGCCCAAGAGGCACGTAACTGCTAACATGCCGCCATGCTTGCTCCCTTGGAGAAAGCCACAGAAAGGACATACATAATTCCCCAGCAAACCCCGCTCATCTTTCCCAGAACATGCAGAAAGATTTCAGAGTATTGGGATATCACCAAATTCAGAAACTGTACACTGCAGCTAATTTACTAATAAACCATGACGTACTGTCATAAATTACTTTAACTGGTACTTGTCCAATTAAATGAACAAACTACATCCTGCAAGGTAGTGGCCTTGAGGATTGATGGCAGTTGTTTGTTTGCATGCTAATTTGCCAAATTTCGTTAAGCTGCTCTGGGTCTACTCATTCACCTTATGTTAATCAGTCAGGCCCTACAGTGCTCATATTTTCAGCTCTGTGTTTTTCCAGTCAAGAGCACAACAATTTTTTAATCTCGACAAGTTTCCTCTCACATTAACAGTGGAGGCCATGCATTAGCAGCAAATGTGCAGTGAAAGCCTGCGTTAGAGATGATGGAGGGGGCAACTGACAAGAGAGTTTCGTTCGGATGCCATGGGTGATGCACACAAACACCATTAAGACAAAATGTGCAGGACTTTCCGCCCCCATTTCCCATCCTCTGATAGAGCCTAAGTCCTGACATGGATCAACGTAACAGGCAGGGACAATTCTCCCGAAATGAAAATGGACAAGGAGAAAAATATATATTACCTTCTCAATGAGATCTATGCAAGCTTGCAAATCCAGACCAAAGCCAATAGACACCCATTCAATGCTTTCTTTCTTATATTCCTCTTGCTCCAGAACAAACATGTGCCGATTGAAGAACTGTTGTAACTTTTCATTGGTAAAATTAATGCAAAGTTGCTCAAGGCTATTATACTTCAAGGATATGAATAGGTAAGAAGAAGAGATAAAAATAAAATTGAGGTCCACTTTCAAGAACGTCAGGTAAAGAAAAAACCATAACCATTATTATATGATCGGAAATAGACCCAACAAGAAACAAATGCTCAATTAACTCAATTAATTGTAATTTTGAATTGTAATATCATTAAGTGCGATTTTCTAAAGATTATTACAATAACACAGAACTTAATGGTATTAAAATTTAAAATCACAATTAATTCCTTTACCTCTATTTACCTTTATGTAAGACAGAATTAAGAAATCAATAAATACTTAATACCATTAAGTACAACAATAATTACTATTAATTATAGCTCTTCTCCAATCAAGGTAGCCCTTAAGGTATGCACAGAATGATCCTCATGCTTTGACCATATTTTCCCATCTTCAAGTAACATTTTCTAATCTTCTTATAAATGTGCATTGACTTCCTTCTTACCAGATACACTTACCTCAAGGATTTCAAAACCAGTGATGTCAAGAATGCCAGTGAAGAACTGCCTTGACAGCTTGGCATCCAGGGCCCTGTTGATCCGTGCCACCAGCCACTTAAACATCCTTTCATACATTGACTTGGACAGGGCGCCAACAGCACAGGTTACCTAGAAATCACATTGAAAACACTCCTTCATCTGACTGAAGTGTTCGTTTTAATCCTGGGCATTCTCTATCAGCAACCACCTTCTAGTCAAATCAGGATGTGTTTATTGACCTTCTGTGGTTCCAACATTCTGATGAATACAGTGAGAAAAGGAAGAAAAGAAAGAGAGAGACAGAGAGAGAGAGAGAGACAGACAGGAAGAAAGAAAGAAAGAGAGAGAGAGAAAGAAAGAAAGAGAGAGAGAGAGAAAGAAAGAGAGAGAGAGAGAGAAAGAAAGAAAGAAAGAAAGAAAGAAAGAAAGAAAGAAAGAAAGAAAGAAAGAAAGAAAGAAAGAAAGAAAAGGAAGGAGAGAGGGAGGGAGAAGGGAAGGAAGGAAGGAAGGAAGGAAGGAAGGAAAGAAGGAAGGAAGGAAGGAAGGAAAAGAGAGAGAAAGAGAGAAAGGGAGAAAGAGGGGAAGGGAGGGAGGAAGAAAGGGAGGGATGGAGGGAGGGAGGGAGGAAGGAAGGGAAGGAAGGAAGAAAAGGAGGGAGGGAGAAGGAAAAGGAGGGAGAGAGGAAGGGAGGAAAAAGGAGGAAAGGAGATGGGTAGGAGAAAGGAGTAAGCTAGCCTGGTGCCTCCTTATGGAAACACAGATGAGAGGAATCACGTTCCTATTATTAAAGGACTAACTATCCCGGGTTATGGTGTGGTAATGTGTCCCAAAGCCTTGCTATTCAAAGTGTGATCCTAAGACAAGCAGCAGCAACACCACCTAAGAGTGTGTTAAAAATGCAAACTCTCAGGCCCAGTCCCAGACCTACTGAATCAGAATCTGTAAGCTAACACAATCCCCAGCTGATTACTATTGACAAAGACTCTCTCCTTGACCAAACTTTAATGAGGATCCTCTGACCCCTCGCCTCCACCTTACCTGTCCTGTCTTCAGCCTGTCTAGCCCAGCTACAGGAAGAAGTCTGCTAAGTCACTCACCCTTGATCTCTGATTAAGTTCCCCTATCCCCCACCTTTGATGTACATGTTATTGGCCTGCCTTTAGCAAGAATCCTGTTAGGTCGGTTTAAAAAAAATCCTCCTACCCACTGGTAGTAATTTTCCACCCACTGATCCCCTCCCTCTGGTCTTGGGCTATAAATCCTCACTTAGCCTTGTTGTACTTGCAGTTGAGCCCAGTATCTCTACCCTGTTGCAATATATCTATTGCAGTCCTTAATGAAGTCTTCCTTACCATTTTAATAAGATTCAGAATATTTGTAATACCATGAGTAATAGTTTGAACATAGTGATATAGTACATTAGAAATTTATCATCCCTAATCCTTGTTCTGCCACTGCTGTAGATGCCAATGAATTGTGTAACCTTTGGCAAGTGATCTAACCTTTCTGGAAAGCAGCATCTTCATCTGAAAAACACTCTTAAAGGATCTTCCTAGCCTTAGCTTCCAACTCTTTATTATATTAGTTCCCAGTGTTGCTCTCAACAACCTGGACAGAGAATAGCCATTTGGTGCATCATTCTGACTCAGATTCTCCTGCTGTAAAACTGAGGCTGCCTTTTCCTTCCCTGGAGGGGTGTGGCAAAGGTTCTAAAGTAACCCACTGGGGACAGCGCCAACCTTTGTGCCTGGATGATGCTCTATACATGCATATCCTGCTTCCATAACTCAATAGCACTGCTGTAGTAGCAAGTTTCTGACATACTCCAAGGAGGAGAGAATTTTAGTTGGCCATTCTCCAAGCCTGGCAACAGAACGTGCTCCAACCACTTAACATTTAAAATAGGCCTATCACATCCATCCTTCTGCCCAGGAGACAGCACGCAGCAGGAGCCAGTTGGTTTCTGGTGGTGATTTAGTTATGAGTCACCCACTCCCTGATCAGTTATCTTGAGTCATTTCCACAGTAATCCATCAGCTGGATGGCATCACAGTTTTTTATTATCAGCATCAAGAGCACACACGTACAAATAAAGCATCAAGAATGATTTTCATCCTCTGTAACACCGAAGAAGTCACTCTGTCTATAGCAGTCACTTTGAAACTTTTAAAAGAACATGACTAACTTGCTCACCCCCCTTTAATTCCCTAAATACTTGAGAAGTGGGAGTGGGAGAGACACTGTTAGGTCAGGTGGGACAAGTGGTAGAGAAACATAGGAAAAAAGCCTGGAGATGTAGGCAGTAGGAGAAATGGATGGTAAACATCTGCTGATGAATTCATGAAACAGATCAATATGTTGCTCACTAATTAATCATTTTCATCATTTTTTGTCCAATGAAGAGGAAATGAGGTGGCTAAATCTATACTTCCACTTTTCAGGGGTTAAGTGCACCCATTTCTTAGCTCTTTTTAACACAACCTCACAGAAGACTTTGGTTACTGGGGGCAATAGTGCATGATAGAAAACAATAGAAAAAAAATAATGAAGTCAAATAGTTAATTTTTTTTTTTTTTTTTGAGATACAGTGTTGCTCTGTTGCCCAGGCTGGAGTGCAATGGCACGATCTTGGCTCACTGCAACCTCCACCTCCAAGGTTCAAACGATTCTCTTGCCTCAGCCTCCCAAGTGGCTGGGATTACAGGCACACACCACCACACCTGGCTAATTTTTTTGTATTTTTAGTAGAGACGAGTTTTCACCATGTTGGACAGGCTGATCTCGAACTCCTGACCTCAGGTGATCCTCCCCTCTTGGCCTCCCAAAGTGCTGGGATTACAGGAGTGAGCCACCGTGCCCAGCCAAAATTTTTAACTATGTTGATCCCTGCCTTTCTCATCTGTAAAATAATAATAATGAAATATGCATAGCTCAGGGTTGTTGTGAGATATCCAATGAGACAGGGGATGCAAACTGACAGCACATTTGACACTTAGTATCCAATAAATGTTAATCCTCCCTTTTCCACCCCTTTTCTGCTTTTATCACTTCCTCATCCTCACCCCAGTATTTACTTACTAGTTGTGTCGCCTTGAGTGGTTAATCTTTCTAAGGGTCACTGTCTGCAGCTGTAAAATGGCAATAACAATATCTACTTTGTAGGCTTTTTATTAGATTAAATGAGATAATCCATGCAAAGCACTTAGCACATCACCTATAGTTAGTACTCAGTGGACATTATTATTATTTTATTATTAATCATAAAGGAACTTATTTCTAGGTGACATAGTTAGAAATATCATGGAATCATGAAATACTAGACCTGAAGATCCTTAGTTCTCGATAGGCATATATAGTGGTTTTCACCTTGGGATGGTATCTCCTCAAAGGAGGAATGCATTTGGAAATGCAAGTGGCATTTTCTGGTTGTCACAGTGACTAAGAATGCTACTGGCATTTAGTTACCTGGGGGCCAGGAATCCCAAACATCTACAATGTGCAGGACACTCTCATCCATAAAGAACTGTCCCATCTTAAATGCCAATTACATTGGGAAATACAAAGTTGTTCAGCCACTTCACTGCGGTGCTCAGAGAGATGAAGACAATTAACCAAGGTATCAGAGTTAGTTAGCATTATAGCTAGAACTAAATTTTGTATAGAATGTTAACGCTGCAAAATTTTTTCCCATCTTTTGCAATTGTCATCAACAGAGCATACATGTCTCTATTTTTAGCAGTGACAATTGTCTCTATAAAATCAGTAAAATTCCTAAGGGGAGAAAAAAGGCTTAGAGTGTGCTTTCTTACTATGTCTCCAGGAGAGAGAGAGTGAGAGACAGAGAAAGGAGGAGGTTTTTTTATTTTAATGTTGAATAATAATATATTAGCTTGTTTCACTGGTCCTGTTATAGTAAAGGCTGGAGTCCCTACTATAATATTATGTTTTTAGTTCCTCAGAACACAATATGAGAGAACTGAAGGCTTGATCTCAGGCCTCCTATAGGCTCATTAGTTTTATTTTTATTTTTTGCTTTTATTATCATTTTAATTTAAAAATAATTGTATATATTTATGAGGTACAGTATGATATTTTCATACATGTATACAATGTGGTAATGATCAAATCAGGGTTATCAGCACATCTATACCTCAAACATCGATCATTTCTTTATGTTAGAAACATTCAAAATCTGCTCTTCTTGCTATTTGGGCTCATTAGTTTTATACAGAGAAAACCCCTGTTCTATAATCATAGCATGTCATGCATGTTGTGGTGAATGTCTAAGAAGGCACGCAACTGCTGAACAACTCTAACCCCACTGCCAAGAAATAGCTCAATTATGTGTCCTGTTGATCGTGATTCAAGTTTAGCTCAATGTAGTCTATTTTAACATGTGTGGAGCACTTACGGCTTACAGGGAATTGTTTCAGATGCTTGGGGCACTAAGATGAATTAGACATAGTCCATGCCTCAAAGAGGTTAGAAGACAAAAATGTAAGCAAATTATTTCAATATAGTAAAGTTAGTATTATAGTAGAGGCAGAATTATCCATTTATAGAGTAAGCTAAATTAATAAATTGATTTTGATTAGTCATTTAAATGTTTTAAATAACACAGACACATCAGTTACCTTAATACACCAAGGGAAACACATCTATTCTAGTCATCATATAGAAGATGACTGTCTTATATTACAAATTTGTACGTTTGTCTATTTTTCTTTCAGAGTTAGGGTGTATACTGAGTAAGACTGGGTAAGAATGTTACTTAACGTTCCCTTTGACTCAGTTTGCTCAACTAGAAAAATCATAAATTATGCATTTCTGTCCTACTTAGCTCTGAGTATTATTGTAAGAATAGAAGGCAATAATACCTGTGAATGCTTTATCCATACTATGTGTGACACTACTTCCTCTTTCCAGAAAGGCTACATTTCTCAGCCCCTTTCTGTAGCTAAAGGTATTATTTTACTAATTCTTATCAATGAACTGTTAGTGAAAGTGATATTACTTCTAGCCCAAGCAGTTAAAGGTGGTTGTACTTTCTCTACAAATGATCTTTTCTCCTTGTGCAGTCACTTTGGAGGCCATGTGTCCCAGATGACACAGAACTACAAAGAACAACATAGAACTACAAAACAGAGAAGGCTATATACTCTGTATTGGACTTCATGTAAGAAATATTTTGTTGTCACTGAGATTTTAGTGTGTATGCATTACTGCAGCCCAGCTTATCTCATATTTTCCCTTACACATTACAGCTATAAATTATTATTTTTGAAACTTACTAGCATGTTTAGATGGTCTCATTACCCAGTGGCCCTGGGAATATTTACTGCATTAAGGCAAAACCTCAGAGAATTTGTTATTCTCCACTACAACATTCTTATGGATGCTAAACAAAGTCTACATGACATTCCATCTCTCATTTCTGTTCTCAATAGCCACCTCCTTTCAAATATTGGTTTTTAGCATATGTCCTAAAACTGTTTCTCAATTAACATGTCACCATGTGTCTTTTATGTCAAAGGAGCCAATATGCCAAATATGTGAGGCATGCCAATTTGCCAATTTTATCCATGTTAGGAACGAACAACTTTGAAAGCTTCCTTGCTGGATGACAAAGATGTTGATCACAACAAGTGGAGGGTTTGTCTGCATCTGCAAAGATACTTGCTACCTAAGGGAAAACTTTCAAAATGTATGTTTCAGACAAGAGCATTTACTGTGGTGTGCATCACAAGTAAAAACATTTGGAATAGTCATCCCAAGAGCTCTTTTTTGCTCATTTATAGAAGCTTTTATTATTGCAAACATCCTTAGTAGTTGAAAAATATACAAGTACAATATATAAATAATTATTGGAAGATCATAGAATAATAATGCTCTTGAAATATCACCTTACCTGTTCTATAGTTTGACCTCTGGTAACATACTCATTACCAACTTTGATTCTAGGATGGATCAAGTCCTTTACCAACTCAGAGGAGTTAATGCCCATGAGGAAAGCAGCTTTGTCAGCATCTGGTCATCAGAGATAGAAGAGAAGGAAGGAGAGAGGAAAACACTGTTAAAATTCATTCCATTATAATCAAACTAACTATCCAAAGGACAGAAATATAGTGTGTTTAGATCAATGTAGCAAGGTAGATTGTAGTTTTCAAATAAATGCCTGAATCCTAAAAGTTTAAAGGAATCTATTTCTTGGAAATGCAAGTCAAAGCCACATTGAAATCTCACTTCATCAGTTCGTTGGCATTAATGAAAAAGAAAATATAATGCCACTCACACCCACTAGAATGACTGTAATCAAAAAGGCAGACAATAACAAGTGTTGGCAAGGATGTAGAAAAAATGGAACCCTCATACATTGTGAGCGGGAATGCAAAATGGTGTGCATTTTCTGTAAGAAACAGTTTGACAGTTACTCTGAAGTTAAGCATAGAGTTACTATAGAACTCAGCAATTTCACTTTCAGGTACACACCCAAGAGAAATGAAAACATATGTTCACACAAAAAATTGTACACAAATGTTTCTAGCAGCATTATTCACAATAGTCAAAAGGTAGGGAAAAGTGAAATATCCATCACTGATGAATGGATAAAAATATGTGGTATACTCATATAATAGGATATTGCTAGTCATTTTACAAAAATGAAGCATTGATGTGTGCTATGACATGGCTGAAACTTGAAAACATTATGCTAAGTGAAAGGAAGTCAGACACAAAAGGCCACATATTGCAGGATTTCATTTCTATGAACTGTTCAGAACAGGCAAATCCATGAGGACAGAAAGTCGATGTTGGTTGCCACAGGCTGAGGAGAAGCAAAAATCAAAGTAACTACTAATAGTTGCTACTAGGAGTTTATTTTTGTGATAATAAAATATTCTGGAATTAGATAGTGGTGGTTGCACAGCCTTGAGAATATACTAAAACCCAATAACCATACAGTTTAAAAGGGTGAATATTATGGCATATGAATCTTCTAAAAGAGGACTAGTATCAAGAAATAGACTCTTAAAAATTGAGATATAATTTGTCTGAAGGACATGGAAAATGCCATCTTTATTATTTGTTTTCTCTTTCTATGCATGTACTTGTGGACTCTTTCAACAAAACACGGACTTGGGCCATGTAATCTGATAATTATAGACAAGCACCAATCAACAGAAGCCAGGACACTTGCCAGTTATCTGTAAAACGCCCATCCTTTCCCTGCAAAGTCTCTGTTTACTCCGTAGTGCCCTCTGCTGTCCAACAATAATACTTACACCCCACAAACTTGTTTTATGAAAGAAAACTTCCATTTCCTAAAGTAGTGGAGAATAAGTATTATCAGAAGGAAAAGTAAATAGGCATGCATCACTTTAGGTATGAAAAAAATGACATAAAATAACGACACAGGCAAAAAGTTATAAACATATTTCAAATTGTGGATTATTTCAGTTACCAAACAAAATAAATATTCCGCTCATCCAAAACCTCTCTCTGCTTTCTATTTTAAATGAATTTGGAGATATGCTAGTATGTCTGGCATAGTCATTCTGTTGAATAATGTCTCATAATAGAAGGTAGTGCAGCGTTTCTTTAATTCACTAAAGAAAAAAAAACCTGCAAATTTTCCTGAGCAATAATCACAAACAGAAAATAAAGTAAAAACGCAATTAGAGAGGTCTATCTCATCTGTATTAGCAATATCAATTTCCTTTTCACAGCCTTTTAAGTGTCTACAAGGCTTAAAATGTTTGAAATGTTTGATTTGCTTATAAACTAAAATCAATATATATTATACATACATTGCTACAAGCTACATACCTACTTTATGTTAGTTTATTTGCAGTGATAATAGCCTGGGTACTTGGTTGCTACGAAACCTTTCAAAACACAAAGCTTATCTGGAAAAATAAATGAAAATCAAAAGTAGAGCAGATATGCCCATCCTGTGCTGAGATGAGTCTGCTAACAGTGCCAGGTTTGGAGGCAAAAGCTTGACAATTTCAAGTTAAGAATCCGGTATGTCAGATCATAGACTTTTTGAACTGGGAGAGACTTTACAGAGTATCTAATCCAGTGTGAAAATATGTAAAAGATGGGAAGAAATAAAATGTGTCTGGTCAATCTGAGTGGAGATGAACAGTAACCAACAATGTGAAAAACAATTTTCTGGTATCTGTCTGGGTTTAAAAAAAAGAGGAAACACTTGTTTTTTCTAAGCTTTGGAAGCATGCAGAGGCATGATACAGGTAATAATAGTCTCAAGGAATAGTTTCCCACGCCGAGAGTCTTCATATATCCTTTTTCCAGTGTTAAGCACAGTCCTGTGAGTCTATTTTTATCCATGAACAAAAGAAACTCAAATTCTCTCAGGAGTACCCCACCTTAAGCTTAACAGAAATAGCATGTAACATTACAGGATTATTTCTCACTTACTCCAGAGACAGTTGAGTATCTACAGACAGGACTAGTGTGCCCTGGATTTACTCCAGAGATTTACATTATGCATCACATATGTTCTCTGTTTTGGGGGGCGGAGGAAGCAATAGAAGTCATCATCTTCCAAAAAGTAAATTACTTAATTTGCACTAAATGTTTACAGTTTACAACCAAGATGAAAATAGCGTAAATCTATGAATAAATGCCCATCTGACATTCAGGAACTACTATTGTAAAGATAGCAATGTGTGTAAACATATTTTAATCGTATTCCCAAATAGGCTTTATGAAATTCCCACCCATAAGCATCAGTGCCTTCAGGACCTTGTGAATGAACCCATGGACTTTAATTAGGCTGCATGATCTTACCTGGGGGAGGTCACATTTAGCTACAGTGGTGGTTCTCAAGCATCAGTGTGCATTGGCATAGCTGGAGAGCTAATCAAATATTAAACAACAGGCTCCCTGAAGCAGGTTAGGGGCTGGGCTGCTCTAGTTTTATCACGTTACCCAGGTGATTCTGATACACATACAAGTTTAAGAACAAAGTTGTTATTGCGGTAGTCCTCAACTTTGACGGCACATTGGGGTCCCTGGCAAGTTGTAAAAACAAATACTGATGCCTGAAATTCACCCACAGAAATCTGGTTTGTCTGGCTTGGGTAATGCCTGAGCTTCAGGATTTTAAAAGTTCCCCAGTGATTCTGGTGAGCAGCCAAGTTTGCAAACTACTGTCTAGCGAAGAGTAACCAGGTTTGGTAAGTTTATTTTGAAATCAGGAAGATGGAAAGAACAAAGTATGACTTCATCTGAAAACAGGTAAAAAGGTAGAGAAATTCAAAAGCAATCTTTTCCAAATTTACAATTCTATCCCAGTTCAGTCCCATCTGCAAATAACCAGATATAAAAGAATGAAACAAAATCCAGTTTTATCAGTCTACAGGGGTTATGATAACGATATTAATCTCTTTTATGGAAGGTTATAATACAATTTTTGAGTTGTTCATATTTCATTAATTTATTAAACAAAGTTTACTGAGCATTTGCTATATGTAAGCCCTGATGCTAGATAACGTAATAAGAAAATAAATAAAAAAGGCAAAAATCCCTGGCATCAATAAATTATAATCTATGAGAGTAAGTAAAACACGGAGAAAAAAATAATATGTCAGTAAAACAACTGCATAAGAGACACAGATATCGAGTATCACGAAAGTGTGAAGCAGAGCAAGAGCCCTTCTGGGCTGCATGACTGGGGAAGGATTAAAAAAGAAACAACATTCCATCTGAGCCTTGAAGGATGACAAGAGTTTTTGGAGGCAAATATGGGAGAACAAGAGTTTCTGTAAAAATGAACAGCACGACTTGAAGCCACAGGCATTGAAGAGTACAATGTATGGTCCAAGAAGAGGTTATAACCCAGATGGATTGGACTACAGTGCCAGGGAGAGTGAGAAACTGAGAAAAGTGGGTGATTTCTGGTTGCAGAAGACATCTAATGCTGCTATAACGTATTAATTAAAGAATGGGGAAATGTTAAAGGAGCTGTAAGCAGAGAAATGACATAATTAGAGTCAGGCTTTAGAATGCTTAATTTTGGAAATGTGCAAGACAGACCAGAGTAGGAAGAGTTTTAAACTACAGAGTGAACCCATTGCAGAATGCCCAAGTGTCAGATGCTGAAGCTCCAAATTAGTAATGAGAAAGGAAGAAAGAGAGAGACTGAGAAATATGACTAGGAGGTTTCCAGTCTGAGAAGTAGAGAGAAGACCAGTACCGTAAATATGAATAGAAATGCCAGTAGGAAGACATCACTTAGGGGAGAAGATGATGGACTTTTAGCCATGCAGAGTTTAGGATACTAGAAAATATGCAGCTGAGAGTTGGAAATATGAAGTTGGAACTCAAGAAAGAGGCAAAGGCTAGGATGCCCCTTTGGATTTGGGTGCCCTTCCCCTTTCCCTCTTCATCCGTCAAGCTCCTTCAATTCCTTCCCAAATAATTAACTGGGAAAAATTTACCAAAGCTTAATACATTAAGAACCCTTAGAATTAAAGAAAAATTCAACACCTCTGTTTTTAAAATGAGCTAAAGGTAGAAGCATACTGAAAAAAACTCAGTATCCAGTAAGATGCTTAAGTTAATTATGGCACATTCACACAATGGAATATTTTGTAGCCATCTAAAAAGATATTGCCAAAAAGACAAAAGATATTCAAATATAATTTAGTAAAAAAAAAATACTAGCATGCATATGATCACAAATTTTTATTTTAAAAAGTTGTATGTGCATATTCAACTAGAAAGCTACATTAAAAAATATGTCCTTTGGCATTCACAGTGATTGTCCCTGAGTAGGTAGGATTCACATAACAAATAATTATCCATTACTATGTGCCAGGCACATTTTAAAACCTGGAAATATAGCAGTGAACACACCAAATGAGGTCCCTGCTCTTACAAAGCTTACATCTGGTAAAGACTGAGGGGTGAAGGCTAGGACAGTCAGTAAAAACTAGCTGTATGAATGACATGAAGGAAAATATTTAGATTAGGGGGATAGTGGTGGAGGTAGCTAGAGAAGGCTTTTCTAATAAGGTAAGATTCAAGAAGTTACTTTAATAAGTGAGGGAGTAAGATATGAGGACAGGAGAAAAGTTCCAGGCAGAAAGAGGAGTTAGTGAAAATAGTCCTTCAATAGGAGTGCTTACAGGCTCCAAAAACAACCAAGAGGCCAGAACATCTGAGTGGAGGGGAACGAGAGAAGAGAAAATGGTAGATTTTGCTACTAACGGTAGGGATTAGAGAGAGAAGAGAAGTATTGGTTGGCGCAAACATAATTGCGGTTTTTGCTATTAAAAGTAATGATAAAAACCACAACTACATTTGCACCAACCTAATATAGAGGTTAAGGAAGCTGTGACAGGGATGTGGGGTTTCATTTGGAGTAAGGTGGGAGCCATTGTTGAGTTTAGAGCAGAAGCAGGACATGGTGGAACAAGGGCTGACTATGAAAGGACTGACAGTAGCTTCTGGGTGCAGAGCTGTCCACCTATCCATCATAGGCAAGGGTTCAGGCAGGGAGACAAGGAAGGAGGCCGTGGCAATAATCTGGTAAGAAATGGTGGCTTGGGCTAGGTGGTGGCAGTAGACATGGCCATGGTGATAAGTTGTGAGCTTTTGGATTTCAAAGGTAGAGACAAAGAAAAAGAGAGGAGTCTGGATGATTCTGAGATTTGAGTCAGGGTGACTGGGAGAACCTAGCTGGCATTTTTGAAGAAGACTAGAAATGAAGAGTTGGTAGTAAAGGCAGGGTGGGATGAAGAGTTCAGTTCTATTCATGTTCAGTTTGAGATGGGCACCAAAGAAATGAGTATAGAGAGGGAAGAGGAAAGATTCAAGGGTTGAGCCCTGAGCAGGCCTAGAGCAATTAGCAGTAGGGAAGACAAGGAAGCTCCAGCAAAGAACCTGAGAAGAAGCCAAAAGGGAGAGCGGATGAGATTACACATTTCATTTGCTCATCTGTGTTTTCTGATTTATTAATAAGTATGCCTTGTTTTTTGTAATAAAAACCATTCTTCAAGAAAAACCTTTGTTTTAAAGCAAGGAAAAAGCAAACGGGATGGCAAAAATAAAATAAGATGCCATAAAAGCATATGTGAATATGTTAATGTGTAAGATGTTTACAAAATCTTCATATTACATTGCCTCACTTCATTCACATCTGTGCTGAGTCCTCTTCTCTGAGGGACTTCCTGACCACCCTATCTACAACAACCCCTGTATCCTATCATTGTTTATTTTTTAAACTCTGCTTTACTTCCTTTTTGTATGGAACTTGTTACATATTTATGTATTTATTTTCTAACTCCCACACTAGACAGGACAGGGACAATATTTTGTTCACAGATCTATCCCTAGCATCAAGAATAGACCCTGGCACAGCCTGGCCTCTAAAATTATCTGCTGCACAACAGGCCAGGTGTGGTGTTTCAGGCCTGTAATCCCAGCACTTTAGGAGGCCAAGGTGGGTGAATCACTTAAGGACAGGAGACCAGCCTGGCCAACACGGGGAAACCCCACCTATACTAAAAATATAAAAATTAGCCCAGCATAGTGGTGCACTTGTAATCCCAGCTACTCGGAAGGCTGAGGCACAAGAATTGCTTGAACCTGGGAAGCAGAAGGTGCAGGGAGCCGAGATTGCCCCCCTGTACTCCAGCCTGAGCCACAGAGCAAGACTCTGTCTCAAAAAAAAAAAAAAAAAAAAACCAGAAAACTTATTTGTCAAACAACAAAAAAACAAATAACCTAATTTTAAAAATAGGCAAAGGACTTAAATAGACATTTCTCAAAAGATATACGAATGGCCAATAAGCACATAAAAAGATGTTCAACATCACCAACCAGGAAGGAAATGCAAATCAAAACCACAATAAGATACTACTTTATACCCATAAAGATGGCTACTATAAAAAACAAAACCAAAAAACAGAAAACAACAAATGTTGGCATGGATGTGAAGAAACTGGAACCTTCGTGCATTCGTGGTGAAAATGTAAAGAGGTATGGCCACTGTGGAAAACAATATGATGGTTCCTAAAAAAATAACAGATTTACCATTTATTCTAGCAATTCCACTTGTAGGTATATACACAAATGAATTGAAGGCAGAGACTCAAACAGATATTTATATACCAACATTCATAGCAGCATTACTCATAATAGCCAAAAAGTGGAAGCAACCAAGTGTCCATAGACTGATGAAAAGATAAATGTGTTATATGCACACACTGGAATATTATTTAGCCTTAGAAAGGAATGAAATTTTGATACATGCTACGACATGGATGAACCTTGAAGACATTATGCTAAGTGAAATAAGCCAGTTACAAAAGGTCAAATATCATATGATTACGCTTACATAAGGTGCCTAGAGTCAGAAAGTAAAACAGTGGTTACCAGGAGTACCGGAAGGGGATAATAGGGAATTTGGGTTTAATAAGTACATAGTTTATTGAGGTTGAAATGATGAAAAACTTCTAGCAGTGGATTACATTGCTAATTATATAACAATGTGAGTGTTCTTCATGCCACTGAACTGTACACTTAAACATGGCTAAAATTGTAAATTGTATGTTATGTATATTTCATGCATTAAAAATATAAAATTTAAAAAATTAGTTGTTGAAAGAGTTGAATGAATGGGTTTTCTCTTTTCATTTCAGTTGTAAGGAATTTTAATATTAAATGGAATAACTATGCTTTCTTCTTTTCATAATTGTGGGGATTTATTTTAATGATCATTCTAGACAGATCATTCATTGTAAGGTGCCATAAATCTTTCTGGTAAGCAGAAAAGAGTATAGCTTTTTTTAAATGTGAAAAAAAAAACAAGGGGAAATAAAGCCTCCTGGTCTCACCCCTATGAGTTAGTTACATCCCGCGGGAATTCCAAGGGCCTTAGTTCACATCTCCATTATGTCATTTAATACATTTTATCATAATTTGCTCCTTATTATTTTTATTTTATTTTATTTATTTATTTTTTTGAGACTGAGTCTTGCTCTGTCGCCCATGGTGCCATCTTAGCTCACTGCAACCTCTGCCTCCTGGGTTCCAGCAATTCTCATGCCTCAGCCTCCCATGTAGCTGGGATTATAGGTGTGCGCCACCACTCTCGGCCAATTTTTTGTATTTTCAGTAGAGACATGGTTTCGCTATATTGGCCAGGCTGGTCTTGAACTCCTGGCCTCAAGTGATCCACCTGCCTCAGCCTCCCAAAGTGCTGGGATCACAAGTGTGAGCCATCGTGTCCGGCCATGATTCGTTCCTTTCTCTCATTGTTCTCAATAATCTATGTGCTAAAGGCATTCTCTTTCACCCAAGTTTAGCAAATTGACTGGATCATCAATAATTATTGAGGAGTGCTTCTTATTCTGTGATAGGAGGATTCTACATTAGAATGGTAGTTGACAGAACCATTTTTGAAGAACAGCAACCAAGGGAGACACTATTGATTAATTTTAAGTAAAAGGTGAAGTTAACTGCAAGGAAAAGGGGGCAGGCTTGGGCCCAGGGATTTGAAGTATATACCGTATCTTCAAAGTAATTCTTACTTTCTGTGCCATCTGCTTCCAGTTGCTCTTCTCTAGGTTTCTGTTTAAATTTCATGTTTCCAAAGTGCATGATGGCTCCAGTGAGTTTATAGCATCCATACTTCTCATCAGGAAGAAAGCCCAAGATGTCCATGGCTTGCTGTAAAAACAGAAACAGATGGCCCTGTCTTCATTTGCCTAATGGCTGCAGTGAGCACCTCACCCCCGCTGTTACACCTCGGGGCTGTGGGCTGAAGGGAATGAGATAGACAGCTCTGTTCAAAGCAATGCAAATCAGCCCTGTTGGCACTTGGTCACCCGCAGTCTGCTCATCCCTTTAAAAGAGAATCAGGAAGGCACAAGACTAGGCTTGTTTATTCCCCAGTAGTTTTAGAACTTTCCTTCAATGCCCTGCCTCTCTCTGGTTCCTTCCAGCAACAGATCACTAACTGGCTGTATCAGGTCAATTATTTTGCCTTTCGTGGTTATGGCAGAAAGCACCATATCTGCTGAGTTGCTTGTTTCTGTGATCCCATGTGTTCTCCTGACTTTATTCTAGAGCAGACACATTTCAAAGACTGGTGAAAAGAAATGTTTAAGAAAAGCCACCTCACCATAAAATTGCATCCTAAGTATCCACTGCACAAGATGTGCATTCTCATACACCCCAAGAGGGAAAAAATTGGTCCAATCTTTCTAGTGGTTAATTTAGAATATGTACCAAGAGACTATAAAAAATTCATAATCCTTCGTATTTTCACTTCTAGGAACCTAGCATAAGGTGAATCTGATATACAGAAAAAGTGTTAAGCTACAGAGATATTCACCTCAGTGGGAGTGAAAAAAAATCTTGAGTCTAACACTAGGAGAATAGCTCAATAAACAACAGCACAAATGCCTGATAAAATCTTAAGTACCCACTTAAATGTTTATGAAGAGTTCCTAAAGATACTTGAAATGCTTAAACGATTAAACTGAGAAAGCAAATTCTATATGCCAAATGTATATGCAGCATAATTACAGTCTTTTGGTAAAAAACAAAAAACACTAACATGACCATACAAAAGCAGCTGCAAACAGATAAAAACAGAATAAAGACTGTAAAGATATACACCAAATAAAAGAGATGTTTGCCACTGAGTTGAAATATCTTTCTACTTTTTCATAGCTTCCAAAGTTACTATATTGACAATGTGCAGTTTTCTCGTAAGTCAGTAAACTTTGGACAGAAGCAGCCCTACACCCCTATGGAAGCAAGACCACTTCTCTGGGTCCCTGAAGAACAGAACTCTAAGATGCTGTCTTTCATTTCTCATTGCCATTACCAGATTTCGCTTTGACAACTAACAAGCCTTACTTCTGTGGCCAGCAATTCTTCAGCATCATCCAAGCTCTCCACAGTAACTGCTCCACAGGAGCAAAAGTGGAAGTCTGAGGGATTTGCAGACACCAGGAGCATGTCTAGAGTGGGAAAACCATTCGTTAAACAGCTTAAAGAAATCCGCAAGGCCTTAGAAAATAATGGGTCAATATTCACAGTTTACGGTTTAAATCATACTTGTAAACAAGCTAAAATAAAATCCATATTTTAGACCCAAACTTCTACAATCAATGTTTGCCCTCTATTAACTTGTCAGTAATGTGTTAATGCCTCCCAAGAGAAGACAGGCTGGCAAATTCCAAAAGCAGATTCAATTGCAGCAGTTTCAATTGGTGCAAAAAAACAAAAACAAACGAATAACAACAACAACAAAACACAGACAATGTGTGCTGGTAAAACTTTGAAAACAGGAATTTGGCCTAGATTTATGACTGAGGGCTGGAGGACAACGGTATTTTGTAAAATTATAAGTAGAACAGATCTGAGTTTCAAAAGCTAGGAAGCAGTCAGACCCTGGGGTCAGCGCCCAGGGAACATTAGCAGGGCAACCCTGTCACATCACATCCTCCCTATTAGGGAGCTGAGTCTGTCTTTCAAGGGATCCATAAGTCAGCTGCTGTGTTCAATGCTGCACCCTGATATGTCTAAGAGTCCTGACATGATTCACTTAGTCAGGAAACATAATCCAGGCCGAAGCAGAGGCAGGCTGTCAGCCACGCATCAACTGACTTGGCAGAATCATGTTAACCTCTCACTGCCCAACACTTGATCCCAATGAAGTTTTCTTGAGCTGATCTTATTTTTCTATTTATTGCTCAATGAAGTGAAAGTCGGTTATCTTGAACCCCAAATCTCAGAAACAAAGAAATTGGGCTACATAAACGTTCACAGCAGCTTTGTTAGAAAACAAGTCAAATGACCATCTGCAGTTGAATGGGCTAACAAACTGTTGTACATCCATACAGTGGATTATTATTCAGCAAACAAAGGAATGAACTATAAATACGTGCTAGAACATGGAAGAATTTCAAAATAATTATGCTGGGTGAAATAAGCCTGACAAGAAGAATATACACTCTATTTTTTTTGTTTTGTCTTTAAACATTCTAGAAAATACAAACTAATCTATGGTGACAGAAAGCATATTAGTGGTTGCTTAGGGACTGGGGCTGGGAGAGGAGGGCTCCAATGAGTGAGAAGGGACAGGAGGGAGGTCCAAGGACCTTCTGAAGATCCAAGCACACTTTTGAAAGTATACATGCATTATGTTGATTGTGGTGACAGTTTCATACACACACATATATATGTTAACACTTACCTGTTATATACTTAAAACACATGCCGTGTACTTTAGTTGAAAAGTACTTCAATAAATTTGTTTTATAAAACTTTAAAAATAAAACAAAATTGGCCTAGCTTAAATCAAGCAGAAGGTTAATATATGTATTTTAATAAAAATGACCTGTAAAATTTTTTACAGTACTTGTTTTTTAAATGATTTTTATTTTTTAAATTGACAATTTAAAATTGTATATATTTATGGTGTACAACATGATGTTTTGATACATGTATACATTGCAGAATGGCTTATTCCAGCTAAGTAATGTATCATCATTTCACATACTTATTTTTTTGTGTGGTGAGAATATTTAAAATCTACTCTGTTAACCATTTCAAGCATATAATACATGGTTATTAACTATAATCACTGCGTTGTACAATAGATCTTCTGAACTTATTCAACTTTTTTAGATTCCACATGGGTGAGATAATGTGGTATTTGTCTTTCTGTCCCTGCCTTATTTCACTTAGCATAATATCCTTCAGGTTCATCCATGTTGCCATACTTGACAAAAATAACAAGATGTTCTTTTCTTTTCTTTTCTTTTTTTGAGACAGGGTCTCACTCTGTCACCCAGGCTAAGGTGCGGTGGCACGATCACAGCTCACTGAAGCCTCAATCTCCCAGGCTCAAGTGATCCTCCCACTTCAGCCTCCCTAGTAGCTGAGACCACAGGTGCATGCCACCATGATCAACTAATTTTTTAATTTTTTATAGAAACAGGGTCTTGCTATGTTACTCAGGCTGACCTTGAACTCCTGGGCTCAAGCAATCCTCCCTCCTGGGCCTCCCAAAGTGTTGGGATTACAGTCATGAGCTACCATACCCAGCCAAGATTTCCTTCTTTTTCTTTAAGGCATAATAGTATCCTATTGTGTATATAGACCACATTTTCTTATCCATTCATCCTTCATGGACACTTAGGTTGTTTCTCTATCTCGGCAATTGTGAACAATGCTGCAGTGAACATGGAGGTACAGGTATTTCTTCAGGATACTGAGTTCATTTCCCTTGGATGTATTCCCAGTAGTGAGATAACTGGATCATAAGGTAGTTCTATTTGTAATTTTTTGATTAACTTTCATACCATTTTTCATAATAACTGTGCTAATTTATAGTTGACTCAACAGTGAACAAGAGTTCCCTTTTCTTCACATCCTTGCCGACATTTATTATCTCTTGTCTTCTGATAGCAAGACAATATCTCATTGTGGTTTTTGCTTTGCATTTCTGTGATGATTATTGATGTTGAGTCTTTTCTCACAGACCTGTTGGTCATTTGCATGTCTTCTTTGGAGAAACGTCTGTCAGGTCCTTTATCCATTTTTTAATCTGGTTGTTTTCTTGCTATTGAGTTGAGTTCTTTATATACTTTAGATATTAACCCCTTATTGATATACAGTTTGCAAGTATTTTTTCCCATTCATTCAGTAGATTCTCTCATGATGATGCATGATTGTTGTATAGTTTATGAAGCGAACACTCAGGGTATGAGGCCAAATGTCAAGGATTCCAATATGGAAGGACCTCTTGGTCACTTATCATCACTCCTGGAATCTATACACTAGTTGAATAGCAAGAATAGGTACAATAAATAAATAGAAACAAAAAAAGTCAAAAGAAAAAGAAAAGAAAAGGGAAAATATACGTAGGACCAAGCTATGCAGATGGCAGTGAGAACTAAGGATTTTGAATGAGCCCTGTCCAAAAGAACTGAAGAAATGAGTCTTAGCTATGCCTGGAACAAGGGTCAGATATAATTGAGAGCAAAGGGGTGAAGGGGTACTCATGGCCATGTAGAGGTCAAATAGGGACTGGCTCTGAGGTAACATGTCACCTCATTTCCTTGACTCCTTCAGTGGTTGGCCAGCCTCTCTGCTGTGATTTCCATACCCAATTCTTTTGTAGTGTGGACAAATCCTCATATTTCAGGATATGTGGACATCATCCTCATATTGTTAAGATATGCCCTCTTGTATTAAGCCTCAGGATACTCTGAAGCTCTTCTTTGGCAAACATGGATGGTAAGAGTTCCAGATCATCTTTTAAAATGTCCCCCAAAAGGACAATGGGTGCTAAAACAGGTAGACTGACAATACCCAGTTTGGACCACCAGATGTCAGGCTTTGCACAGTAATCAATCTCAGCAACCCCCAAAGACTGAAGGAGATAAATGAATTCAAGATAAGCATGAATTTTCCATAGCAGCCCAAAGGCATCAGATGCTTCTATTAGTAAACAGAGATGCTCTGAAAGTAATCTTGCAGTCTCTGCTGGTACCTTCATCAGATCTTATGTGTCAGTCGCCCTATACCATCCAGAAACACATGTCAAGAGTGTTAGATTTGATAGGGTTAATCAATGGAAGACCAAAAAAAATCCTGTTCCAGGTTGAGGTGAAGAGAAGGTGGGGAAGAGAATGTACTGCTTACATAACACCAATTACATCTATGGCAAAAATAATTGTCTCGTTCGCAGAGCTTTCCCCATTTGGTAAGGGTACTTTAAAGACCAAGTAGTCAAAACACTGCTAGATTTATACCATACTTAATCTAAGCATAATGGACTGGGAAAATTGTTCCCATCAGTTCACTAGCCTGGATCTGTAATCTTATCCTACGTCCACTTCTGTGGGAGCATTGTTGTCCTCAAAAGCTTACCTGAAATACAATACCTTGGAAATCAAATCAGCATGTCATTCTCTCCTTCCAATGAATCCCTATGCCACTTTAAACTCTCTACCATGGTCTACAATGTGCTGCATGGTCTAACCCCTGCCTACTTTACCCTATGTTACCCTCTCTACCACCCACAGTGGCCATTTTGCTATTCCAATAGTAAATCAAATGCATTCCTTCCTCAGGACCTTTGCACTCACTGTTCCCTCCTCCTGGAATTTTATTCCTGGAAATCTTTGCCTACTTGCTCCCTTACTTATTGAGGTGTCTGTAAAAATATTGTCTTTTCAGAGAAATTCCCTGACAATTTCATCTAAAATAGAACTATCCACAACCCTACCAAACCCCATTTCTTTCTGTCCCCTCACTGCACTTTATTTTTCTTTATTCACCTGCCATATAACCTACAAAGAAATTAGAGCATTTGTTTTTTTCTTTTTTGAGACAGAGTCTCACTCTGTCTCCCAGGCTAGAGTGCAGTGGCACATTCTTGGCTCACTGCAACCTCTGCCTCCCAGGTTCAAGTGATTCTCCTGCCTCAGCCTCCCAAGTAGCCACAATTACTAGCACCTGCCACCATGCCTGGCTAAGTTTCATATTTTTACTAGACACTGGGTTTTATCATGTTAGCCAGGCTGGTCTCAAACTCCTGACCTCAAGCAATCCACCTGCCTCAGTCTCCCAAAGTGTTGGGATTACAGGCATGAGTCACTATGCCCAGCCTAGATCATATATTCTGTACTTGTTTGTTGCCTGTCTTCCACACTAGACTAGACTCAGAAGGGCAGAGGCCTGTCTATCTTGTATCACCACTGTACCCCCCATGATTAAAAAGCAGTGCCTGATGTACACATGGAAGCTCCAGAATAAATATTTGTTGAATAAATACATGAAATTCATTCCCTTATTCCACAGGGATTTTTTCTTATTTTATGTTTATGGCACTATCATTCTCCTAATCAAATCACAAAACTTGGGGATATTTTTGACTCATCACTCTTCCTCACTCCTACATTCAGTCACTACCAAGACCTGTTTATTCTTCCATGCATCTATCCCTTTTCCCCCACCCTTCCATTCCCAGACACTCTTTTAGATCACTGTCTTGTCATCTCATACTGGGACATTTGCAATCCCTTCCATCCAAATCTCTGCCTCTACACCATCCTGCCCATTACCAGCTTAATCGTCCCAAATACTGCCCTCAATAAATCACGACCTCCTATTGCCTCACTCCCCACAACACACTCACACACTTGCTCTGCCAACTCCCTGAGTTCAGAAACCATCAGAATAAAATCTCCACTATTCCTCTATGCAAATCTTTTCCTTTAGTCAAACTGGTCTCTCTGTTCCCTGCTCCTGCTTTGCCCTTTCCCAACATTGTGTACACTCTTCCTCCTACCAGAAGTAGCCTCCACTCTTCACTTTGTCGACTGAATCCCCTTCCCATTCTTCGTTTCCCAACCTAAATTCCCCTTCTTTATAAAACTCCTGAGCCAGACACGGTGGTTCACACCTGTAATCCCAGCACTTTGGGAGGCCAAGGTGGGAGGATTTCTTGAGGCCAGGAGTTTGAGACCAGCCTGGCCAACATGGTGAAACCCCATCTCTACTAAAAAAGAAAAAAGAGAGGAAACTCCCATTGACCACCACACACTATGATGCTATCTCCCTCGCCGGGTCTCTTATCTTTACCACTCATGTAGTTCTAATTAAGGCCTTAAATTAATGCTTTTATACACACACACACACACACACACACACACACTCACCCACTCACCTCTGCTGGGTATCCTACCCACTTTCAAACACTCTTCTTCCTTTTGCTACCAAATTGAAAAAGAAGTGTTGCCATTTACTGTCTGTCCATATAAAATTATACAACACTAGTTCTATAATTGGTTCAACTCCCTAAGTTTTAAGGATGAATATACTGAAGTCTAAATAGGCTAAGAAACTTACTGAATAACACTTTTTCATCCCCCAAATATGGCTTATTTTTCTTGTTTTGGGATAACCCTAAGCTCCAGAATCCTACACTTACCATGAAGCTCTTTTTGTCCAGATAGAATTTGATAGAATATGTGGTAGTTCCTCTCTCCAGGCTGCTGGAAAATCACCCTGGACTTTTCAAGAAAATCTGGATGATGAGAAATGAATAAAGATTCATACTTAGGCATTCTTGCAAAATGTAGAACAAAAGTAATCAGGCTGAGTGCAGTGGCTCACAACTGTAATCCCAGCATTTTGGGAGGCCGAGGTGGGAGGAGCACTTGAGGCCAGGAGTTTGAAACCAGCCTGTGCAACATAGTGAGACCCCGTTTCCACAAAGAAAAATTTTAAAAATTAGCTGGGCATGGTGGCACATGCCTGTAGCTGCAGCTACTTGAGAGGCTGAGGTAGAGGATTGCTTGATCCCAGGAGTTTGAGGCTGCAGTGAGCCATGATCGTGCCATGGCACTCCAGCCTGAACAACAGAGTGAAACCTTGTCAAGAAAGAAAATAAAAGAAAGAAAGAAGGAAGGGAGAAAGAGAAAAAGAGATAGAGAAAAGGAAAGGAAAGAAAAGAAAAGAAAGAAAAGAAAAGAAAAGAAAAGAAAAGAAAAGAAAAGAAGGAAGAAGGAAAAAAAGTAATCAGATAGTGCAATGACTACTTACAGATATCAATGTCCACAGATGACAGCATGCCTCTGGCACCAAAGTGCATCCTGATGAATTTGCCCTAGTGTGGACACAGAACACACTCAGACACAGAACACAGTTTCCTATTCAAATTTTCCAAGCACTTGCAATGGCTTCACTATATGTAACTCTCAAAACGACTACTTCCTCAAAAGTAAGAAACAAACAAACCAAAAAAAAAAAAAAAAAAAAAAAGAACAGAAAAATGCAATGTGGGTTTGAGATGAGATAGCACCAGCTAATATCTGGAGGAAGCCAGAATGATTGTCAGGACTAGCAGTGGTTCTGGCTTGTAGCCCCAAATCTGCTGATTGCTACCTGTGTATTCTTGCGGGCACTGTGAAATCTCTCTGGGCCTCACTGTTCTTATCTAAAGATAATAAAAATATTTCCTCATCATATTTGTTTGTTCATTCACCAACATTCATTGAGCATCTACTAAGATCCAGGTAACCTTCTAGGCACTAGAGATACCACATAAGAAAAATAGACATGGTCCCTACCCTCACAAACCTTATAGGCTAGTGGGTAAGCAGTTACTGCAACAGCTCTGACATAAAATCACAAGAAAAGCCAGTATCCTAGAACTTAGAAAGTCAGAGAAAGAGGGGGCATAAAATGGAGTTGAAGAGGTAGACAAACTCCATATCATGTAAGCCATGTAGAACATGGGAAAGGGTAGGGTTTTATTTTTTGTGTGCTTGGGAGACATTGTAAGGTTTTAAGCAGAGGAGTGATGTGATCTAATTTGTTTCAAAGCACACCTTGGCCTAAAGAATAGACAGATACTCTTTCTTCCTTATCAGTGAAAAGCCATAAGGCAGGATCTAGAGGGGCAGAAATGCTGTCCAGAGGTGCCAGCACCCATGTCAGAATGCCAGATGCAGCTAAGGAGGTGGCACCATCTGGTTGCAGCTAGAGCCTGTGGGATGAGGATGCTGGAACAGGGAGGAAGTCAGCCTGGTGGAGGTTGGCCCATGCCAGGAAGGCACCAGGGCAGGACAGCAGCCTGGCAAGAAGAGGTGAGTAGCTCTGTACAGGGGGATCGAACAGGTACATTAAAATATGTAGGACAGTGGGAGTCACACACACAAACACACATGTATATATACCCATACATACAAACGCGCAGGTACATATATATGTGTGCACATACACATATACAGAGGTATATGTATACATATCTATTTAGTATTAATTGAAAATTTTAACCCAGATTTCTTGATTATTTTGAACTCCTTTTTTTTTTCTTCTCTCTTCTTTCTTTCCTTCCATTGATCCATCTTCATGCTTATTTTTCTCCTCTACTTCTTTCCTTCTGTCTTTCCAACTTTTCTCTCCTTTCTGTTCTCTTCTTCATCGTTTTTTAAGGCAAGTTCCTGCTCTGTCACCCAGCCGGAGTGTAGTGGTATCATCATAGCTCATTGCAGCCTCAAACACCTGGGTTCAAGTCATCCTCCTGCCTCAGCCACTTGAGTAACTGGGACTACAGGTGCACACGACCACTCCAGGCTAATATTTGTGTTTTTAGTAGAGACAAAGTCTCACTGTGTTACCCAGGCTGATCTCGAACTCCTGGGCTCAAGTGATCTGCCCACTTCAGCCTCCCAAAATGTTAGGGTTACAGGCATGAGCCACCACACTTGGCTATCTTTCTTTTTACCTGATGTTTTTCCCTTTCTTCCTTTTATTTTTTTCCTTATCTTTCCTCTTTCCTTTTTAAAAATGTTCTTTTTCCATCCCTCTATTCCTTCCTTTTTCTTCCCTTGCTTTTTTTTCCCCAGCTTTCTATCTTTCATGTTTCAGCAGAAAGTCCTTTAGCATTCTAACAAATCCCAAATCTACCAGTTGTTTTATGAACCAGTATTAGTGCCTGCTATGACCAGCCAGACACTGTAAGCACATCTAAATGTGAACAGAGCAGCTCTAAGGCTTTGGATGGAAACTAGCCAAATCAGCATGTGGTTATTATTTAATTATGCCGGGAGACTCAAACAGGAAGCCTTCTGCAAATTTTCTTGTGAATTATACAGTGGCTCCCTGCCACTCATTCTTGGCATAATATGAATTTGTTAAACTAGGTTTAGAAATCCAAATTCTTCCTCTTCCGTGGGAGTTCTAGTTAGCAAAAGCTACTTAAAAATACTTTCTCATCAGACCCCCAAAAAAGTCTTCAGTGAAAAATATTCAGGGGTAAGGAGGCCATAGGCAAGAGTACAAACAGTAATTGTAGTAAGTGAATTAGGAAGTGCCTACTGGTTTAGGAAATTACGAAGGAGAAAATATTTCAAATATGTACAACGTAATAAAATATAAGGCATGATTATAATTTTTTGGGTGAGCTTCTCTACTGGGAGTGGAATTTGAAACTATTAAGATAAATGCTTTTTTCTTGAAATTGACCAAATAGAAACTCTTCAGATGTATATTTATTTATAAAAATTTAATTGTCTTAATGATATAGATGGTAAATGTTTGTGAGAAATCTAACATTACAAACTTTAATCAAAGAGCTTCTTTGGTGTTCTAGGATTTTTTTCATACCTATGTGCTTACATATGAGTTTTACCATTGCATACAAATTATACTTTGATATTATGCTAAATCATGTTACTTACAAAACGAGAGGAGTTGTCATTTCTCAGGGTTTTAGCATTTCCAAATGCTTCCAAGATAATATTCGCTTGCATGATTTGCTCTTCTAACGCCCCCTGAGACACATGAAAGAGAAGTACAGTTGATTAAGCTATTAGTAGAATTCTGTAATGTGGCAAGCCCTCCATCTCCAGGTCAAACCCCATTCTTGCTTTGATAACCAATGGCCAAAACCTGCTTCCAAATTTGGTTATATTATCTTGGAATGAGAAATCAGAAAAACAGTTGGATGACAGAGGCTAACAATATACAATACCCCTATGAATACGTGGGAGCTCATTTATTTGCAATGCTTCTTTTTTGGTTGGCATTGGCCTGAGTGGGAAAAAAAAAATCGTCACCAAATAAAAAAGAAAAACATACCAGCTTATTTACAGACAAATATCATATCATGTATTTCCCCCATCATTAATCTTCCTCTCTTCCCATCTGATCTTTGTACCTGGAAATTTATCCTAGCATAATACAACAGACTCTTGGTGTTATTAAACTACACTTTTGCTTGCTTCTTTTCCTAAGTAATCTAGAGGTTCCCACCGAGTAGTGACTTTTAATAGTATTGATCTTGAATTTGAATCACGTGTGCTCAGGCTGATGGGCCAAAACATATCATCGACCTATCTACCATATCTACATGGCTTTGTTGTTTTCCAGTCAGCCTCAAAGACCCATTTTATGGGGGTAACTATATAGTATATGGTATTTAATAATTTATGGATTTATAAATATTATATCCCTTCTTATATCCCTTCTACTATATAATACTCCCCATTTTATGGGGGAACGTATATAGTACATCGTACTCAATAATTTATGGATTTATAAGTATTATATCCCTTCTCAGTAATATGGGTTTACTGTCCTTCAAATAAGTTAGAGAACATTATATATATATGAGCAAAGATTTCCATAGAAGTGTTATATATTATGTATTGTATTATATCATAAAACTCAATGCCTAAACCAAACCATTTAATGCACACCAAAAAAAAAAAAATCTAAAATGCTTGTAAAAACAAAGTTATAGATATAACTATCTATAAATAAAAGAGTTCAATGATATCCAAAGAAATCAGTAATCAAACTCAGGAATGTGGTCGTTAGAAAAGAAACTTCTATAGTTTAAAAATTGAGCCAGATGACTATTTTAATATATTTCTTACTTTGCAAAAACAGCAAACATACAGTATCTAATTGAAAAAGCAAAATAATCATGCCAGACATAGAAAAATGAGAGGTCTAACAGCTCAATAACTCATTGATTTTGAGTTCCATTCAGCATTACCTAATTTTATTTTGCATACCAACGTGTATGGTCTTAGTTATCCTCTAGTTATTATGATGTCCATTAACATGTTAATGGAGCGAAACTAAAATGAACAAGTTTTTTTTTTTTTTTTTTTTTTTAAATAGGGAAGGCAAAGGTTTTTCTGAACGTGGTATGTGATTAACATTGAGGGATATGTCCATTAGGCATTTAGAACTTGATCCAGGAGTTAGGTATGAATGAAGAAAACTTTTATTGGTGCATATTTATGGGAATTTGATATCTCACAGTAGCTAAAGGGATTCAGAAATATCCAAGCCACCGATGACCCTAGACTTTAGGTAAGATGGTTTGAATCTTGAGGACTTAACTTACAGATCCAACAAACAAAGACCAGGCCAGAAAATGTCCCTTTAAGCAGATGTGAAATTGATTATGTAATTAATGTTTTCATGTTATTGTTTGGAGCACTTGATGATCCTCTCAAGGAGCAAAGGAAAGATTTAAAAAAAAAAATACTTTTCTATGATTTGCAAATTGTCCTGTGGCACTTGTTGCCTCCTTACTTCCCAAAAGTGGTCAGGACAGAGCCTCCATGATTCAGTGGATAGGGCCACCTCATCTTTTCTGCCAAGCTATATAAACACTTACCGGCTTTTTCCTGGGTTCACTCATGGCTGCTATGGTGGCAAAATACTGGATAATATGTTTGCTGTTCACAGTCTTTCCAGCACCAGATTCTCCTCTGTGATTTGAAATTCAGTGACACAGTTAACTAGTTCTGATTATCAATGCAATGAAAGAAAGGTAATTTTGATTATATAGGCTATGGCAAACAGGGAAGCTTTTACATAAAAGTAGAGCTTCTGATGGAACTTGAGGACATATTGACATTTAATTGGTTGGGAGAAAGGCAAGTACATTTCAGGCTGGAAAAACAGCATGGGCAAAAATCTGGAGTTAGAAAGATCACAAATTTTGTAAATATTAGGAAGCCTGTTCCTTATGGTCCTAATAACAAAGAGTAGGAAAGCGCCTCTTCTAACTAGACAAGGCTCCTCATGACCAGCTGTTCAAGAGATTTTCACATATGAAGGCTACCATACAGCCAAGTCCAACCCTCTTCTCAGAAAAAGGCTACCAATTACTTCACCGGGCAGTTGGGCTTTAGGCTTTACCTTACCTTTGACAACCAGCTAACTTTGTAATGTGGGAAGAGCACAGTGGTAAATCTATAGCCTCTTCAACATAAGCATCATTGAATCAAGGCCTGCCTGCCTTTATCTATACAAAACTCCAGAAAATAGTTTATCATCTCTATGAAAGTCTGAACTCCAACTGTTCATCTAGCTCTAAAATTCTGAGACCTTATGATTTCTCCTGGGATAACTGAAGCCAATGGAGAGCCCAATGTACAAGATGGTATCATCATCATTGCATGGGAAGGTAAAGGACTTTAGCACTTCACAGCCCCTTGAGTCTCAGTCACCATGCTGACACTTTACCTGGCCGGCCACTACTCTTTTCATCAAAACTCACATACAATAAGATACCACTGTGACCCTTCCTTCTATCCTTTTCACTCCCTTTCTTATTTCTCTAAATGTCACCATCTTTTAGTTTTCACTGCTTCATGTACTTTGGCCTGCCCCAATCTGGCTGCCCACAACTGCTTCTTAAATGTTCCATGGGCATACCTACTGGACATTCAGCCCCTCTGCTTAGCCAGTCCAGAGGCTTTTGAAGGTGACCATTTGGGACAGTGTAGCTCTCTTAATCATCAAGAAAGTAATTAAGATCAGCTCATGCACTATTTCTAAAGGATCTCTGAAAATGAGGGAGGCAGACTAGCTGACACCATATTTGGAGTCATCACTGACTAAAGCACAATGACAATTTCCTGAGTATCTTTTTCTTACCTCAAAGGTATTGCACCTAAAGGGCAATTAATTCAAAGATGGTGAATCAAAGTTTTATTCCCAGTGAAATGGAGGTATCTATTTCCACTGAAACTTACTTCAGGCCAAAAAAGAAAAACAAGGCAAACACTTACGTAAAGAGTATAGACTGATTTTCTCGATCTACAAAAGAAAGAAAAATGCCAGAATATTCGAGGATTATGTATTAGTATGAACTTATTCAAAATTTCCCTAGCTACAATTTGAAATCAGACACAAGGGAAAGGATTAGCATCATTTATAGTTAGAAAAACATAGCACTCAAATGGTACAGAGTAAAATCGATTTTCTCTTGCCCCTATGTATGCCAGTCATAAGAACATATAAATTAAAGGCCTATTTCTTTGCTCTACATACAAATGGTAACCAACTAATGATTGAGATTCTTGACACTTTAAGCCTTTTAAGAATCATTGTGTAATAATATCTATAGAATAACTTCTTTGTGCCAGACACTAGAGCAGATGCTTTATATAATAAAGGCTAACATCTACAGGGGGCTTACTCTGGGCCAGCCACTGGGCCGAGCACTTTAAATGCATTATCTCACTTTGATGTACAAACTAATCGGCCCAATAACCCTAGGAGGTATGTACTATTTCGCCCACATTTTATCTAGAAGGAAACAGAGGCTTCAAGTGATTAGCTAACTGTAAAGGCCATGCTCCACTCACAATGCCTAAGTGCCTCTTAGGCACATAGAAAAAAAGTAGATCAGATATTTTTACTTTTCATTTTGTAGGGCAGCTACTCACTGTGAAGCATGTCCTGAAAGGCATTATTGGCAACAGCAAAGATGTGAGGGGGAGCCTCTGATCGCCTCTTCCCTTTGTAGGCCGCCACGACTTCTTTCTTATACACGGGAAGCCATTTGTAAGGGTTTATGGTCACACAGAAGAGACCTGAATATGTCTGAGGGAAGATCAGAAAAGATTTCAGAAACTAGATTAGAAATACTTCCAGGTTTGTCAGCTCTTCCACTGTCAAGTAACATTTGCTCAAATGTTACTTATAAAGGAACTCAGAGGAGAGTTTTTGGAATCATGTAGAGAAGGGACTTCTAACAAGAAGAGACAGAACCAGGTTAGAGTAACGTCAGGACCTGGGATTACCTCTCTCCTGGGAGACCTGCTAATTACTAACAAGTCTGACACATGGAGCTTCTGAAGACAGAGAGGACCCTAATGGTAGGACTGCAGAGATTTCAGTAACCAGCCATCAGGCATTTGAGGCCAGAGGGGATTCTCTGCCTCAGCAAGATTAGGGGCTTGATTTTTAGGGCACTGAGAAGGAATAGCTCATGTGGGTCACTCAGTCACTGAAGGGGTTGAATTATGGCCCCTAAATAGATATGTTTATGTCCTATTCTCCAGAGCCTGTGAATGTGATCTTATTTGGAAAAAATAGAGCCTTTACAAATGTAATTAAGGGTTAAGGGTCTCAAGATGATGACATCCAGGTGGGTCTTAAATACAATAACTTGTGTTTTTATAAAAGACACACACAGGAGAAGGTGATGTGACAATGGAGGCAGAGATGGAGTGATACAACCAAAAGGAATGCTAGAGCCGCTAGAAGCTGGAAGAGACAAGGAAAGATTCTCCCCCAAAGGCCTCCAGAGGGAGTGCAGCCCTGCTGATTGGATTTGATTTTGGACTTCTGGCCTCCAGCACTGTAAGAGAATAATTTCTGTTGTTTTAAGCCACCCAGCTTGTGGTAATTTTGTTATAGCACCCCAGGGAAACTAACACAGTTACGTGGTAAATCAGAGAGCTGAGGAGCAAGCTGGTTGCATGCCATGGTTCCTATGGCCACGGGTCCCAGATGCTACATCTTAGCTTAAGCTACTCAGCATTGCTTCTGCTGCATAGGTTTTGAGCAAGTCAAAGAACCTGAGCAACCAACCATCATCAATTTAATGATGATGAAGAAATCATCTCACTCATTAATCACTAACTAGGTGACATGCATTGAACTAGGTGCTTTACCTACATTCTTTTATTTAATACCCCAGGCTCCCATGGAGAGGCAGACATTGTTATCCCACTTTATAGATAAGGCAACTTCAAGAAGTTAGGAAACTTAACAAGCAAGTGACAGTGCTGACGGCTAGTCTGTCAGGCTCCAAGCCTCATGCTTTTAACTAAGGGTGATCTGTGGGAAGGCACATGAATGTTGACAAAATGAAATTGGGGAAATGCTAAGATAAGGTCCCTTCCCAGTAGACATTCCTCACGGACTATCCCCATGTGAGCATGCTTAGACTCAATGTGAGAGAGCACCCAGGAGAGACTGGGACGTGCAATCTGAGTGCCAGCATGACAGTTCAGCAGGAAAGCATATTACACACATAGATCATCCACTGGCCATAGCGCCGCTTCAGGGCATGCAGCACGGATGCCTCATTGAGGTGAGTCAGCATTGCCATATCTTCAATCATTTCAAACTCTGGAGGATTCATCTGCTGGATTTTGTCCTCTTTTATGCTCAGACTCTGCAGAGAGAAGAAAAATACACGATATATTCCCCTGTCTCCTATGCTTATTCATTTTCCCATGCATCAGAAAGAATATTCAGACTCAAAAAGAAAAAAATGATGCCTCATTAGGGGATGGGGCCAGAAGAAATTAAGCCAAACTTCATGGAAAAAAACAGGTGCTCCCTGAAAAAGTCCTCTCCTTCCCTAAAGATGAAGTAAACATAGTATTTTTGTTATATCAAGATTTTCTGTCATGCACTACCCTAATCTTGTGGCTTCTGGCTAGCCCTGATTGCCTCTAAGAGTACATAGATCACATTATGCATGATCTAACCCCCAACTTCCAGCCCTTGATGTCCCAACATACCTTGGAAATTTAGAAGAAGCAGCTTGGAGTGGAGGATTAAGGAGGCAGACCTTTTCCTTCCAGACCTAGTTCAAAACCTGTCTCCTCCCTCAAACCTTCCCAACTACTCCAGCTTATTAGTTTGTCCTCCTTTGTTAAGTCTTACCACTTGTACTATCTTTACATTAATACTCTTGTGTATGTTTTAATAATTGACTATGTTAGACTATTTTCTGGCTAGACTATAAATACCTTAAGAAGGATTTTTGATGTTGTCTTCTTTAATGACATTCAAAAACTTGGACATGCATGTTCATTTTTGATGTTGTTGTCTTAATAACTATAATTATTAAATGCTTAGTAACTATAATCACAATGCTTGGGATATGGTAAATAATAAATATTAATATCTTGATGAATATGGATGCATTTCTACTATCAAATACTTTCTTGAGATTCTTCTCACAGGTTTCCTAACACCCTTTCTATACCCCTTTTCCATGATTAATACATATTTGTGTCAATTGATTGCCCCATTTAATCCTAGTTGGTGATGGCTTCTTCCCAAGGCTCTCACACTCTTTACATTCTTGATTCAATTTCTATCCATCTGTCTTCTTCGACATTGTTCTAATAGTAATCCCTCTTCTTTTGAGTCCCTTCACTTTCTGTATTTCAAGGACTCCTCATCTCCCCTCAAACCCATGCAGAACGTAATCCTATCTCATACATCTTCAAAAACCTCCCCTTTTCCCTAATTCTATTTTTGTATTTTTTTCATTACCAACTTTCATCGATAAGTAGTACTTTACACCCACTGGATTTATTGCCTTTGTTAATGTTACAAAGACCAAAGGTGATTGGAAGTGTAGTCACTTCTAACATGAGGAAGAGGAATCCTGGAGCCAGGGAGACAAAGAGTAAAGCTAGGGGAATGGGACCTTCATAACATGAAGGAAGGACAAGCAGGACAAAATAAACCACCTTCAGACTCTTCTTTCTACCTGCATTAATGGCTTTCATGCTCTTCTTTGTATGGTTGTAACCACATCATAGTCATAAATCACCTTAAGTGCTGTTGAAGGCAAAGTAGTTTGTTTTGGAGAATGTGCTCAGAAGAGCAAGCCTCACATCTGGAGGCCTAATAAAATTTAGTTGGTCATCATTAAGAAAATGAGAAGACAATACATAGACTGAGAGAAAATATGTACAAATAATACATGTGATAAGGGATTTGCATCCAGAAAGTAAAAAGAACTCTTACAACTGAATAATGGAGAGGCAATAGCCCAATTAAAAAAATGGGCAAAGAGTTTGAATAGACATTTCCCCGAAGGAGATAAACAAATGGCCAATATGTACATGAAAAGATGCTCAACGTCATTAGTCACTAGGGAAATGCAAATAAAAATCACATTCAAATACCACTTTATGCCCAACAGAATGGCTGTAATCAAAAAGAAAATAAAATGTGCTTGTAAGAATATGGAGAAAGTTTCATTCTTATATGTTGCTGATGGAAATGTAAAATGGTAGCCACTTTGGAAAGCAGTTTGGAAATTTCTCAAAATGCTTAATACAGAGTTACCATATGATCCAGCAAATGCACTCCCAAGAGAAATGAAAACATGTGTCCCCACAAAAACTTGCACATGCATGTTCATAGAAACATTATTCATAATAGACAGAACATACAAACAACCCAGTGATAATCAACTGATGAATGGATGAACAACATGGTATATCCGTAAAATGGAATACTATTTATCCATAAAAGGGAATGAAATAAATATTTATTCATGTGACAATGTGAATGAACCTCAAAAACATTATGCTAAGTGAAAGAAGCCAGAAACAAAAGGCCACTGATTCTATGCTCGTGTTTATCTGAAATTGCTAGAATAGGCAAATCTATAGAGATAGAAAGTAGATCAGTGATTGCCTGGGGCTGGTGCAGGAGGAAAGAAGGGGGAATGACTGCTAATAGGCACAAGATTTCTTTGGGGGATCTTTTCTAATAAAATATTGTCCCAAGGCTAAATGACCCTGACTGAGTCTCTATTTCTTCGTTTACTGATTTAGGACTAAGGAAAATTTCTTGCTGAATTTTCCCTTGTCCACCTATTTATGTTCCAGTTGAAAAGGACCAAGTTCTTTTCTTAATTTCATGAAGAGTCAAATAACATCAACCTAATTTGAGATTTTTTTACATAACAAATATTGACTGTCAGGAAGACATATGAAAGCATTCTGTGTGGTAGTTTATGAGTGGCTTCCAGAATTTTAAAAATCAGATGGCAACACGTTAGATGGTAAATTGCCTAAAAACAAATAGAGCATTAAAAAGACAAACTTTCTTGGTATCAACAATATCTGCTTGTTATAGGATGTGGCTTGTTATGGATTTGGGAAGAGACAGAATTTAAAGGAGTTTAGAGAAGTGAATATTGGCAGGGAATCATCTGTAAAATCTATAAGGAAGCGTTCATTGAAGTACGATAAAAATGGGGCCCAGCTTATACCATGGGGTGGCAGGTAATGTGAAGTCAGCAATATAGGCAAAGGTTCTGAGAGTGAGCTGTCTTCTCAATGTTACCCTGCCTCTCTGAATGCCTTGGTGGCAGGGAGAAGGGGCTGGGGGTATTATGGCTTCACTACACATTTCCTCTGTGAAACAGTCCAGCTTGTACCCCAACACTTGGCATAACCTTTTCTTTCAAAGGTCATAGGTGACCTCCTAATTCTGAAATCCAAGACTTTCTCCAACTCTTAATCTCCTTCTGTAGCATTTGTCATTACTGGCCATTCACACATCACTTGGTCTCTGTGACACTATGCCATTTTTACTCAAATTATACATCTCATTCTTGATCCTACAAACACAACTTTCTTCATGATTCCTTAAGTCATTATTCATCCCACAGGATACCTTTTTAAAAAAATATTAACTTGAAACATTGATGAAAAAGTGGAAATGGCTGTGAGTTCTGGTCAATAATCTTTGCCACTGGCAATTGTGTTACTCTGATTTATTCACTGTTCTTCATTAAATCTTTGATGGTAAGAGGAGTTTTTTTCTGTTTGTTTATTTGTTTTTGGTGACAGGATCTCACTCTGGTTGCTCAGGCTGGGGTGCAACCAGAGTGGGATCCCTGCTCACTGCAACCTCGACCTCCCCAGATTCAGGTGATCCTCCCACCCCAGCCTCCCAAGTAGCTGGGACTACAAGCACATACCACCACACCTGGCTTATTTTTGTATTTTTTGTAGAGACAGGATTTTGCCATGTCACCCAGGCTGGTCTCAAACTCCTGGCTCAAGCAATCTGCCGGCCTCGGCCTCCCAAAGTGCTGAGATTACAGGCATGAGCCATTGTGCCCATTGACTTAAGGAGGAGCTTCTTAAAATGAATGACTTCACAGTGAGTCAGTGGTATCTCCTACTCCAGGTCTTTAATTAAAATATTATAGAAATAATATATTTAGTTATTTGATAGAGAACATAGTCATCAACACAATGAAATAAAAATTTCTTTACCTTTCCATCTGTTGTCTCAACAATTACTGTTCCATCATCTTCACTCCCTTTTACCTCAGCCTCGATATAAGCGTTCTCACCATCAGGAATCCAGCATTTCTTCTTCCCTGTAGAGAAAAAAAAATGGATTATAGCTATAGTACTTACAGAAATATACACTGGACACTTTCATACTGATAGATCTAATCTCATTTCTGCTAAATCGGCTTGTTGACTACAGGAACTTGCAAAGTTAGATAAAATCATGAAAGCTCATCCTGAAGACACACTCACTCACATAATGGCTCTACAGGAACAAGAAACATCTCAGCAAGCAGCAGCTTGGGGGCGCCATAGATCATTTTGCTACAAGACAGTTACCTCCCAACACCCCTTCCAACCCCAACACTTTCCTCCACTCACATCCCAGGATTTAGGTAACCACCTAACCGCCCTGGTGCTTGCACCCCTTCCAGATTCCCTCCCCAAAAAAACTCATTCAGAAAGGTCTGGGAACAACTAAGTGAAAATTTAGATTAATGGTTACGTTCTTCAGTGTTTCTTTAGACCTCATGTCTAATCTTGGAGTGAAAGTCAGCTAAGTGAAATTACATGGTTGAATTGGCAGGGGGGCAGGTTGAGAAGAGAGAATATGGGTTGTTTATGTCACACAACATAACCAGCTCATATTATTTGCCCCCCATATGTTCTTTTTCTCTCTTCACCTTTCTCACTCTCATACCCCATCCCTAAGCAAAGTAGCCCTCCATAAACTGATTAACCAACAAGAGGTCTGGGGTGAAATGAGCCAGAACTCTTATGAACACCTGAGGCAGCTTCTCTTTCTCTCCCACTTGAAGCAGATAGTGATGATGAATAAAAACTATGATTTTAAGGGCCTGGGTGCAGTGGCTCACATTCATAATTCTAGCACTTCGGGAGGTCAAGGTGAGAGGATATCCTGACCCCAGGAGTTCAAGAGTAGCCTGGGCAATATAGCAAGACCCTTTACTCCCCCAGTCCTGTCTCTACAAAAAAACAAATAAGGCCAGATGCGGTGGCTCACGCCTGTAATCCCAGCACTTTGGGAGGCCGTGGCGGGTGGATCACGAGGTCAGCAGATCGAGACCATCCTGGCCAACATGGTGAAATCCCATTTCTACTAAAAATACAAAAATTAGCTGGGCATGGTGACATGTGCCTGTAATCCCAGCTACTCAGGAGGCTGAGGCAAGAGAATCACTTGAACCAGGGAGTCGGAGGTTGCAGTGAGCAGAGATCCCACTACTGCACTCCAGCCTGGGTGACAGAGTGAGACTCTGTCTCAAAAATAAAAAATAAAAAAATAAAAATTAGGCAGGTGTGACGATGCATGACTGTAGTCTTAGCTACTCAGGAGACTGAATGAGGAAGTTCACTTGAACCCAGGAGTTGGCTCATTTTCCTTTAAAAGTATATATATGTGTGTATATATATGTATATGTAATATATCACACTTTCCTTTTGAAGGAAAGTGAATATTATATATATATATATATATATATATATATATATATGAAAATGAGCCTTAGTAGAAGCTCACAGAAGTCCCCAGGTCACAGCTACTCAGGTAGATGGGGAAAGCCTTTGGCTGAAAAGGGGAAAATGCTAGCCAATGAATGGCTAGGGAAGACACAGGTAAAAACCCCACTATAACCACAGCACTAACAGGTAATGTGAACTCAGTCACCACCATCACCTCTAATATACGAGTCACAAAAGCTAGAGAGGGCTCACTGCAGCAGGACAGATGGTCCTTATTTCCCAGAGGAAGGCAGTAAGACTGGGGAAGGAGTGTGTACAAAAGAGCTGAAGTTGGGCACCATTCGCCCCTTCTTCCACCATGCTTGTTTCTGCAAAGAATTTGGTTGCTCATGACTTTCTTGCTGTCAGCGCTGCCTTCTTCGTTTCCCTGATTACAAACAATTCACCACTAAAACTGCTTGGCAAGAGGAGTTTATGTTCCCATCTAGCTGATTGTGCATTTGCTTTCTACTTATCGTTTGTGTTTTAAATACTGGCTTTGCATTGTATTCATTATTTTGGTCCCTTTTTGCAAAAACTGATTTTGCTTTGTGTTATGTCTATGAAAATATGCTTGTTTTTGAAAAGCACCCAGTTAGCATACATTTTTTGTGTATGTTTAAGGTAAAATGCTCTGCATTTTAAACCAAATGTTATCACTTGAAAGAAACTTGAAGGTCACCTGGCACAGACTCTCTCCCTCTGTATCTCTCTCTCTTTTTAGAAAAAGAACCTTGGGAGAGAGATGAAGAGAGTTGCCCATAGTCACATAGCTAATTAGTGGCAGTCACTGTAATAATGTCTCTAGAAATGAGATCATCCACCTCCTGAATCAGTGCTTCTCCATTACAGCCTGCCTCCTCTAACACATGCTTAGCTTTTTCTCCTCCAATTCTTCTCTTCAGGAGTAGGCTCATCGCCTGCCTCATGATGAAGTCTCTCTTTTACCACCCCTGGAAAAACTTAGTAGGGGATAAAAATTATCAGAAATCCTTCCTCATCTGAGGCCCAAACCCTGACAGGGGCATTTTAAAAAATGAAGTAAATGAACTCCGTCAATTTTAATTCCTGGTGTTCATGAATAATGCAGAGCTGGAAATGCAGATAGCAATGGATTTGAGTGAGACAGCCAGAATTTTAACACTGGCTTTGCTTGTAACAAGATATAAAGCCATATGTCTTCATCTCTTTTGGCCGTTCGTATTCTCATCTGTAAAGTAGGTCTTTTCCTATATGATTTCATAGCTTTAGACAATTAAATATCTTTTCCAATATAAAGCTAATATGTGCTTATTGAAGAAAACTTGAAGAGTAATGTATGAAGAAAAGAATGTTTTTAATCACCCATAATCAAACAACTCAGAGATAGCCACTGTTACGTATTTGAAGTATTTATTTTGACTTGTTTTTCTAGGATATCAATTAAATCGGGGGTAATACTATATTCAGTTTTAGAGTTATTTTAAATAGATTGCTTACATGTTCTAATATAAGAATTATTTACATTTGGCTTTGGACTGGTGTTCTGTCTTAGCTCTAAAACCACTTGGGCTTCTTCACTGACACCCAGGAATTCTAGTTTTCCTTCTCAGGTATCATAATAATACATTATACTTATTTTTGTCACATTTATAGTCTCATTTGGTCCTCACAGCAATGGAGGAAGGTAGACAGGACAAGTATTATCTCCTTTGACAAATGAGGAAACCAGAGCTCAATAAAGTGAGGTGATTTGCTCTAATTACCCAGCCAGAGATGGTCAAGGACAGGGAATTTGAACCCAAGACTACCTGCTAAATACTTGTCATCACACTGCTTCCATTTGACCCGAGTTCAAAAGAGCAAACTCCATTGTCTACCAGCCTGGGAAGATGAACAACTTTTGCTAACACTTGTCTCTTTGCTGCCAGTGCATTTCTATGAGGAAGGATTGTTTGGTCCAAAAAATTAATAGAAAATTATGTACATTGCTATGTTTTAAGTAATTATTTACGGTGCTGACTTAAATAAATGCATCATCCAATTATCTCTAATGCTTAGGCCCAATTTTTTTTTTTCTTCCTGGCACCACTATTATCTTGTCCTCCATTATCTAACTACCTGCGATAAGCCTCTGCATGACCAGTTCTGACCTCAGGGATAGTTCGGTTATTGTTTTTGATTTGATGGATTATAATTAGCCTAAAATCTAATCACAGTCATGAATCCAATGACTGGAAACTGGGAACTGATCCAGGACTGGTCTGTGATGGAAATATAATATCCTCCATAACTGGCTTGAATTATAATTGGTCATATTGAAGTCTAATGTTGACTAATTCTGAATACTAGAACAACATTCAGCAAGTCCTTCTGTTGCACCTACTGAATAATTTTGGATTAAGACATGTAGGTAGCTTGATGCTATATCACACTGTGAATCTGATTTCTACATCTCCAATTAGCTGAAATTCAACACAGACATATAAAGGTAGCAGGAAAAAGAATAACATTTTAGAGATTTCAATGTAGAACTTAGCCTTTTTTTTTTTTAAGGCTAAATCCTCATTAACCTTTGTCCTTGCCTGTAACTACCAAGGAATTATGAATCAGGGTGAGCAAGTCTCCTAATTATCTTTTGCTTAGTGTTGGCTGAGTGACCCTGCTGACCTAGAAGACCGCCAGAGGCAAAGCTCCAACATCAGAAAATTCTGGAGAGCCAGAGACAACTTCAAAGTCTGCAGCCTTACCAGAGTCTTTCCCTTTCTTCTTCCCCACAATGTACAAACATCACCTACCAGTCTAAGTCACAGGCCCCTCGCTCTACTGTGGCATTCACTGATAACTAAGAGGTTTCTAGGAAAGGCTTTGTCTGTGGCCATTCCTGCAGGTGTCTGTGTTACAACAGGGGCTCCTTGAAGAGAAAACCTGTCTTAGGACCAAGTGTGTAGGGCCCGGGCCTAGGCTGCCTCCCAGCCACCATTCCTACCCTGAATACTCAGAGGCCTTCCATTGCTCAGTTTCCTAGAGGCTGATCACACCCCAAGCAAATAAGTTAGGCTCTAGAACTGATGGCTCCTCTCTATCAATCAAATATCTTAGTCACCACCTTGAAGGAGCAAAATAAAGTGAAGCCAGCAGCCACCACATGTCTCACCGTCCAAGGCTGTGGCCTGTAGTAGAAGCAGCTCAGCTTCGCTTCTTCTGAGGAAGGCTGCGGCTTCTCCAAGCTCTGACAGATCCATCCTTATTAAAGCAATCCACCAAAACAAGGCTAGGCCTAAACGTGAGTAGAAAAGATTCACTCTGGGAAAAAAAAAAAACAATTGGTACAGAGAAGAAAAAAGTGGAAATCAAGCTCTAAATGAGCAATCATTCATATACATAGACCAAAGAGTGTTAAGTTTTCCTATTACTACCTGTGCCTCTTCTTTCTCTTTGCTGTGTCTCAAATTTATACAAAATTGGACTCAAGAATATCTGACTCTAGCAGGGCTGACTTACCCACTAGACATAGAAGGTACAGTGCCTGAGGCCCATGGTGCTCTTAGGGGCCCATGAAAATGTTTAATTTATTTTAATTTTTTATTTTTTATTTTTTTTTTAATTTATTTATTATTATTATACTTTAAGTTGTAGGGTACATGTGCATAACGTGCAGGTTTGTTACATATGTATACTTGTGCCTTGTTGGTGTGCTGCACCCATCAACTCGTCATTTACATCAGGTATAACTCCCAATGCAATCCCTCCCCCCTCCCCCTCCCCATGATAGGCCCCGGTGTGTGATGTTCCCCTTCCTGAGTCCAAGTGATCTCATTGTTCAGTTCCCACCTATGAGTGAGAACATGCGGTGTTTGGTTTTCTGTTCTTGTGATAGTTTGCTAAGAATGATGGTTTCCAGCTGCATCCATGTCCCTACAAAGGACACAAACTCATCCTTTTTTATGGCTGCATAGTATTCCATGGTGTATATGTGCCACATTTTCTTAATCCAGTCTGTCACTGATGGACATTTGGGTTGATTCCAAGTCTTTGCTATTGTGAATAGTGCCGCAATAAACATACGTGTGCATGTGTCTTTATAGCAGCATAATTTATAATCCTTTGGGTATATACCCAGTAATAGGATGGCTGGGTCATATGGTACATCTAGTTCTAGATCCTTGAGGAATCGCCATACTGTTTTCCATAATGGTTGAACTAGTTTACAATCCCACCAACAGTGTAAAAGTGTTCCTATTTCTCCACATCCTCTCCAGCACCTGTTGTTTCCTGACTTTTTAATGATCGCCATTCTAACTGGTCTGAGATGGTATCTCATTGTGGTTTTGATTTGCATTTCTCTGATGGCCAGTGATGATGAGCATTTTTTCATGTGTCTGTTGGCTGTATGAATGTCTTCTTTGAGAAATGTCTGTTCATATCCTTTGCCCACTTTTTCATGGGGTTGTTTGTTTTTTTCTTGTAAATTTGTTTGAGTTCCTTGTAGGTTCTGGATATTAGCCCTTTGTCAGATGAGTAGATTGCAAAAATTTCCTCCCATTCTGTAGGTTGCCTGTTCACTCTGATGGTAGTTTCTTTTGCTGTGCAGAAGCTCTTTAGTTTAATTAGATCCCATTTGTCAATTTTGGCTTTTGCTGCTGTTGCTTTTGGTGTTTTAGACATGAAGTCTTTGCCCATGCCTATGTCCTGAATGGTACTACCTAGGTTTTCCTCTAGGATTTTTATGGTATTAGGTCTAACATTTAAGTCTCTAATCCATCTTGAATTAATTTTTGTATAAGGAGTAAGGAAAGGATCCAGTTTCAGCTTTCTACTTACGGCTAGCCAATTTTCCCAGCACCATTTATTAAATAGGGAATCCTTTCCCCATTTCTTGTTTCTCTCAGGTTTGTCAAAGATCAGATGGCTGTAGATGTGTGGTATTATTTCTGAGGACTCTGTCTGTTCCATTGGTCTATATCTCTGTTTTGGTACCAGTACCATGCTGTTTTGGTTACTGTAGCCTTGTAGTATAGTTTGAAGTCAGGTAGCGTGATGCCTCCAGCTTTGTTCTTTTGACTTAGGATTGTCTTGGAGATGCGGGCTCTTTTTTGGTTCCATATGAACTTTAAAGCAGTTTTTTCCAATTCTGTGAAGAAACTCGTTGGTAGCTTGATGGGGATGGCATTGAATCTATAAATTACCTTGGGCAGTATGGCCATTTTCACGATATTGATTCTTCCTATCCATGAGCATGGTATGTTCTTCCATTTGTTTGTGTCCTCTTTTATTTCACTGAGCAGTGGTTTGTAGTTCTCCTTGAAGAGGTCCTTTACATCCCTTGTCAGTTGGATTCCTAGGTATTTTATTCTCTTTGAAGCAATTGTGAATGGAAGTTCATTCCTGATTTGGCTCTCTGTTTGTCTGTTACTGGTATATAAGAATGCTTGTGATTTTTGCACATTAATTTTGTATCCTGAGACTTTGCTGAAGTTGCTTATCAGCTTAAGGAGATTTTGGGCTGAGACAATGGGGTTTTCTAAATATACAATCATGTCATCTGCAAACAGGGACAATTTGACTTCTTCTTTTCCTAACTGAATACCCTGATTTCTTTCTCTTGCCTAATTGCCCTAGCCAGAACTTCCAACACTATGTTGAATAGGAGTGGTGAGAGAGGGCATCCCTGTCTTGTGCCAGTTTTCAAAGGGAATTTTTCCAGTTTTTGCCCATTCAGTATGATATTGGCTGTGGGTTTGTCATAGATAGCTCTTATTATTTTGAGGTACGTTCCATCAATACCGAATTTATTGAGAGTTTTTAGCATGAAGGGCTGTTGAATTTTGTCAAAAGCCTTTTCTGCATCTATTGAGATAATCATGTGGTTCTTGTCTTTGGTTCTGTTTATATGCTGGATTATGTTTATTGATTTGCGAATGTTGAACCAGCCTTGCATCCCAGGGATGAAGCCCACTTGATCATGGTGGATAAGCTTTTTGATGTGTTGCTGAATCCGGTTTGCCAGTACTTTATTGAGGATTTTTGCATCGATGTTCATCAGGGATATTGGTCTAAAATTCTCTTTTTTTGTTGTGTCTCTGCCAGGCTTTGGTATCAGGATGATGTTGGCCTCATAAAATGAGTCAGGTAGGATTCCCTCTTTTTCTATTGATTGGAATAGTTTCAGAAGGAATGGTACCAACTCCTCCTTGTACCTCTGGTAGAATTCAGCTGTGAATCCATCTGGTCCTGGACTTTTTTTGGTTGGTAGGCTATTAATTATTGCCTCAATTTCAGAGCCTGCTATTGGTCTATTCAGGGATTCAACTTCTTCCTGGTTTAGTCTTGGAAGAGTGTAAGTGTCTAGGAAATTATCCATTTCTTCTAGATTTTCCAGTTTATTTGTGTAGAGGTGTTTATAGTATTCTCTGATGGTAGTTTGTATTTCTGTGGGGTCGGTGGTGATATCCCCTTTATCATTTTTAATTGCGTCAATTTAATTCTTCTCTCTTTTCTTCTTTATTAGTCTTGCTAGTGGTCTGTCAATTTTGTTGATCTTTTCAAAAAACCAACTCCTGGATTCATTGATTTTTTGGAGGGTTTTTTGTGTTTCTATCTCCTTCAGTTCTGCTCTGATCTTAGTTATTTCTTGCCTTCTGCTAGCTTTCGAATGTGTTTGCTCTTGCTTCTCTAGTTCTTTTAATTGCGATGTTAGAGTGTCAATTTTAGATCTTTCCTGCTTTCTCTTGTGGACATTTAGTGATATAAATTTCCCTCTACACACTGCTTTAAATGTGTCCCAGAGATTCTGGTATGTTGTATCTTTGTTCTCATTGGTTTCAAAGAACATCTTTATTTCTGCCTTCATTTCGTTATGTACCCAGTAGTCATTCAGGAGCAGGTTGTTCAGTTTCCATGTAGTTGAGCGGTTTTGATTGAGTTTCTTAGTCCTGAGTTCTAGTTTGATTGCACTGTGGTCTGAGAGACAGTTTGTTATAATTTCTGTTCTTGTACATTTGCTGAGGAGTGCTTTACTTCCAATTACGTGGTCAATTTTGGAGTAAGTACGATGTGGTGCTGAGAAGAATGTATATTCTGTTGATTTGGGGTGGAGAGTTCTATAGAAGTCTATTAGGTCTGCTTGCTGCAGAGATGAGTTCAATTCCTGGATATCCTTGTTAACTTTCTGTCTCGTTGATCTGTCTAATGTTGACAGTGGAGTGTTGAAGTCTCCCATTATTATTGTATGGGAGTCTAAGTCTCTTTGTAAGTCTCTAAGGACTTGCTTGATGAATCTGGGTGCTCCTGTATTGGGTGCATATATTTTAGGATAGTTAGCTCTTCCTGTTGAATTGATCCCTTTACCATTATGTAATGGCCTTCTTTGTCTCTTTTGATCTTTGATGGTTTAAAGTCTGTTTTATCAGAGTCTAGTATTGCAACCCCCGCTTTTTTTTGTTCTCCATTTGCTTGGTAAATCTTCCTCCATCCCTTTATTTTGAGCCTATGTATGTCTCTGCGTGTGAGATGGGTCTCCTGAATACAGCAGACTGATGGGTCTTGACTCTATCCAGTTTGCCAGTCTGTCTTTTAATTGGAGCATTTAGTCCATTTACATTTAAGGTTAATATTGTTATGTGTGAACTTGATCCTGCCATTATGATATTCAGTGGTTATTTTGCTCGTTAGTTGATGCAGTTTCTTCCTTGCCTCGATGGTCTTTACATTTTGGCATGTTTTTGCAATGGCTGGTACCGGTTGTTCCTTTCCATGTTTAGTGCTTCCTTCAGGGTCTCTTGTAAGGCAGGCCTAGTGGTGACAAAATCTCTAAGCATTTGCTTATCTGTAAAGGATTTTATTTCTCCTTCACTTATGAAACTTCATTTGGCTGGATATGAAATTCTGGGTTGAAAATTCTTTTCTTTAAGAATGTTGAATATTGGCCCCCACTCTCTTCTGGCTTGTAGAGTTTCTGCCAAGAGATCTGCTGTTAGTCTGATGGGCTTCCCTTTGTGGGTAACCCGACCTTCTCTCTCTGGCTGCCCTTAAGATTTTTTCCTTCATTTCAACTTTGGTGAATCTGGCAATTATGTGTCTTGGAGTTGCTCTTCTCGAGGAGTATCTTTGTGGCGTTCTCTGTATTTCCTGGATTTGAATGTTGGCCTGCCCTATTAGGTTGGGGAAGTTCTCCTGGATGATATCCTGAAGAGTGTTTTCCAACTTGGTTCCATTTTCCCCCTCACTTTCAGGCACCCCAATCAGACGTAGATTTGGTCTTTTTACATAATCCCATACTTCTTGCAGGCTTTGTTCATTTCTTT